TTGGTGATATCAAACTTGTAATTTGATTATAAGTCCATGTTTCCTCACGATGTTTTCCTTCATCAGTCAGTGATGTCTAAATACTCTTATAAAGTACATATGACTCGGGAACATCACATTAGAAAGTTCTCATATATATTTTCAGACTGAATTCTATCATATTCTTTGGCAGCATCTCGTCCTCTGTCCTTTGACCTCTACAGATAACTCCAAACCTCACAAGGTCAATATCGATATATATTTCTATATTTAGACCACATCCCGAATGTGACATGGTGTTCAGATAACTGAAAAAATATATCTACAGGTCAAAGGTCGATGTTGAAGAAAGAGAAATGTATAAAATAAAAGGAAAAGATAAATATTAGTGTCTAAAAATAATATTTAGTGTAATATTATTTGTAATAATCATTAATTTGGATTGTTTCATACGAAACAGTTATTCAAATTATGTACATATGTATATGGTTGTAATTCAGACCTTGTTTTGTATGTAAAATTTATTTATAACAATTGTGGACAATTTAAAAATATTTGCTGTTTACAGATATATAAAGTATTTATGTGTCACCTATAGTCAGTGGCCTAGTGGTTTAAGATCCGCCTCTCATGTATGAGGGTGCATGTTCAATCCTGGCAAGTAGCAATGTGACGTTACGAGTCATATGTACTTTATAAGAGTATTTAGACATCACTGACAGATGAAGGAAAACATTGTGAGGAAACATGGACTTATAATTTCACAATTATAAGTTGGAAATCACTAACCCGTCTTGAGAGAGCGTAGTGATTAATGCTCAAGTCTTTTCCATGTGAGAAGAGGCCTTTGCTCAGCAGTGGGCTCTGATAGGATGATGATTTGTCAACTCGACTTGGTTGGCTTGTCCTGGGGACTTAGGTTTGGACATATGCATAAAGTATGTTACAACAATAGACAGTTAGAATCACGTTACTGACTTTACGTTTGTCTTTATCCTGCGAGAACCAGACCGAATTCCATAGTAAATTATAGCCTGTGTCATTTTATAAAGTCTGAAGAACATCTTTATAAAATTTCATCAAAATCTGTTTAGTAGAATTTTCGTGAAAGAGCAACAAACAGACACACATCCTCACTAACTCTAGCATTTCTGCAATCAGTAGCAAGTATTATTTTAATACTATATAACTTATGTTTAATTTTAGAAATCTAAATAATAATAAAAAAACTGGTCATTCCTGTGAAACAAATAAAAACATGGACAAAGTCGCGGGCAGAAACTAGTGCACATAAAATCAAGTCTCCTATGCTTGTAATTTTTTACATAACATCGTGTATATTACGTTTCCCAGCGAGCGTGGTGGGTAAAAAGTTAGAAATCAACCCGCGATGCAAGTAGAGCATTAAACGTGCGGATACATTACGTGTGACAGAGACTGCGTTTCCGGGTGTTGACCGACTTGGAACGGAGAGGTTCTCAAATACACTATAACTTCTATGTTGTGTGTTTGTTTGTCTTTTTCTTTTTGCTTCTATCTACAAACACGGAATCATTTAAATGAAACTAATATTATTAGTAGTACTACGCGTTTTTTATTATTTTAACTACATACTCCTGACGTTTCGGTTACTTTTCAACAATGATCACGGGCAGACTTACCCGATTATTTTGACGTGAAGAAGATTCATCACAGTAGCTTGTGATGTGTCACAGCCTTAATGAAGACCAGCATTAATCCTACTTCTTATTTAATATAATAATGATACTCTCAATATTTCACGTATTTGACCGTCGCTTCTTGGCTTCGAAACGGTCTGTCAAGTACCAATGTGATGTTCGCGAGTCGTATGTACTTTATAAGAGTATTTAGACATCACTGACAGACGGTGACGGAAAACATCGTGAGCAAACATGGACTTATAATCAAATTATAAGTTTAAAATCACCAACCCGTCTTGAGCGAGCGTGGTGATTAATGCTCAAACCTTCTCCATGTGAGAAGAGGCCTTTGCTCAGCAGTGGACTCTGATAGGATGATGATTAATAAAAATGATTGTCGCTTGGAGTTGAAATCAATAAGACTCTTCCATTACATTACATACTCCCGACGTTTCGGCTACTTTTCAGCAACCGTAATTACGGGCAGACGAGATATAGTTTTCTACAAAAATAAAGCACGCGTAGTATGATACGAAACATGTAAGTTTCATTTAAATTAATAAAATTCGCGAAAATCTTAGATCTCATTATGCTAAGACATTTGTAAAATAATAATGACCATTTATTTATACATAATAAATCTCAGATTTCATGACATAATTTGTATGAAAAGATTTTCTTTCTTATTCCTGGCGAATATTATCTATTTCCTTGTTTTTTACCAATCTTTTTAACTTTCTTCTTATAAGTTTGTACCAAAAATAAAGGTCATACAACTGTATTCGCAGCGTTAAATACTCTAAGTGTATATAACAACTAGTCTTGTATCTCCTGTTAGCGCGCCTGTAATTATCACTGACACGTGAAACAGTTACTTATGAAATGGCTGCGACTCTGACATTCAACTTTTACTAAATATAATATTTAATATATATGTATAATTGAATGTAAAGTCTTTTTATAACTAAAATAATTACATTTTCAACTTCTTTGAGCTTCACTGTGAATATTTATATACTAGCTGCGCACCGCGGTGTTACCCGAGGAAGTCCAGGATATCCGGGATGTAAAGTAGCCTATGTGTCATTCCTGGACGTCAGCTTCCTGTATACAAAATTTTATCAAAATCGGTTCTTGAAGAAGTTACAAACATACACACAAACACACAAAGTTTCGCAATTATAATATTAGTACGATTTTTTACATAAATAAAACTCTTAATTTTATTTCATTTTATTCAGTTTATTATTCTTACCACTAGTTTCCATCACTCCACACTACTCGTCTCCGGTCTGTCATTCAATACGTTAATACTGAGTGAGGACAGTTAATATTTAAATTCTTTTTCATATATTTTATTGTTTCAAATATAATGTAGTAATGATTATGATTATCGTTCAATGTAACGTGTTTTATTTCGTAGTCAAAGAAACTAACAATCTTATAGCCGAGTATTGCTGTGGCATAGTAAATATATGAGAAGGTGGCAGAAGGCAGGGTTCAAACTTATACTATGTACTTCAAGACATATATATATATATATATATATATATATATATATATATATATATATATACTAGCTTTTGCCCACTTCTTCGTCATTAGTAGCAAATGACGAAGCCTTCGTTAATTGCGGTATTAGTAATTAAGTAATATATGTATAGCTGACCGGGCGAGCTCTATTCCGCTTTAGAGGTCGTAAATAACCAGATATTGCAATTTATTTCTTATTTTCTTATTCGATCGTACAGAATTAAGTATCCTATGTCCTTTCTATGTTCTAATTTATCTCTCCACTAATCTTCATCCATTTTAGAGTTATAAATAGTGTAACTAATACGACTTTCTTATATACGTAGGTCTTCTGTTGTAACATACAAGTTTTAACCACATCCTATGTTTGTAATCATGATGATATATTCGCGTGTGTCAGTCAGTGTTGGACGCAACGTGTAAGGAAATACTGTTATGAAATACGCTTACCACGAGTACACAACACACTGCATACGTAGCGTCTGCCGTCACAATCACCCAAATACTCTTCTCTTCTACCTGGCAATTTCCCAGCTTTAGCCAGGGTCTGCCTAATCACCCAAAATATTAATCTGTTATTACATATCAGTGAATTTAAAACTGTTGATGCAAACATGTGGTAAGCGTTCGAGACCTTCATTATTCATACGTAATGAAACTATATTTTGATAGGGATAACTGTTGGTGTTCAGTTAAAAACATGTAGTAAGACTGAGAATGATAGTTAAAACTTAAATGTGTATTATTAGGTCGCGGGGAATGTTAAATAAATAAAACTAGTAGTAAAGATAGAAATAAATGACTAACTAATGAATAAAAATATTCATTACTATTGAAAAGTATAAGATAAATAAATAATTTAAAATTATTATAACTTGCATTGCAAAAAAAAAGTTGTGAAACCTCGCAAGTACCAATGTGATGTTCCGAGTCATATGTACTTTATAAGAGTATTTACACATCACTGACAGATGAAGGAAAACATCGTGAGGAAACATGGACTTATATCGAATTATAAGTTTGAAATCACCAACCCCGTGTTGAGCAAGCGTGGTGATTAATGTTCTAACCTTCTCCATGTGAAAAGAGGGCTTTGCTCAGCAGTGGGCTCTGATAGGATGATGATGAATGATTACTTGCATTATAACCCACAAACATAAATGTTTCATAAATAATTTTTATCTTTAGTCCAACCAACCAACCTTACCAATAGTTTTTTACCGTCTTTAATACGAGCAAACTGTTCGTTTTTCAATCTTACCATGTTTTAATACTTTCGTGTACAGACATTTACGAATTAGACACTATATAAACTGTTAATATTTTGTTCGGCGATACAAACTTGTAGTAAAATTACATAATACGTAATTCTTTTTAACAGAGTTACATATTCATTATAAATTCATTTGAATCAAATATCTTTAAACATAAAAGGAAGTCATGTTAGTTACACAAATTATAACTCAAAAACGACTGTACGGGTTTGGATGAAGATTGGTGGAGAGATAGATTAGAACATAGAAAGGACATAGGATATTTTACATGCGATCGAAAAAAAATACATATATTTAAACCAAAATCTTCTTATCTACTGCCTTTAAGGAAGAATATAACGCAGACGAAGTTTCTGACAAAAGCTAATTTAAGTTAAAGCAAAAAAATATTTTTATTAAATTATAAGTACGAAACTAAAAATTTAGTTTAAGTTAGACTATTACGATTTAAGAACGAACCAAGAATTTATTCTTCTTGAAGTAACATCTTTATTACGAGTATATATTGGTTACATGATATTATATGAAGCTCCTGTTTGTTCCCAGGTCCAGAATGTTTCAGTACGACTATGAGAAGCGTCTTCCCTCCAGAGACCGTCGTTCCAGGCCTCTGCCTCCACGGCCTGAAGACGCCCTGCCTGCTAAGACTAGTGTAAGATACACTTTGGGTTACTAATACACATACATATGACCCGGCATTACCCAGTGGCGTGCACACCATAGATGCAAATAACCACTGCATACCCTACACATATAACAACTAAACCTATATTGTTTAATTCTTACTTAAATACTTTTAATCATACATTACGAAATACAAATGTTAATAGACAATTAAAGGTAGTTGAGAGATTCATAAAATATATGTATAGACTTTCATTCTGATCGGAATGCTGTAATATTTTGCGCGAATTATCAATGTTTAAATGAAATTAATTAATTCTGATTACTTCGCATATTTTATTATATTTAAAAACTACATGCTCCCGAAGTTTCGATTACTATGCAGCAACCGTGGTCACGGGAGACATATCGTCTGCCCGTTAAAAATAATAAAAACAATAATTTCTTTTAAAATTTAAATCAATACTTGCGAAAGATATCATTATTATCAATGTTTTAGAGGAGGGAAAGATGAAAATTGGTATATTATTTTTCAAACATATTCTGCTTACCCTATCCCAAATCTCTGTGCACGTCAATGGCATTACCCTATTCTGTAGGGTAGGCTATGAGGCCTATAGTTTAATGCGTTAGATAAGGTTCCTTAAACCTACACCTGGGTCACAAGTCCCAGTCACTATTGAAGCTCCTCTCACTACAACGATGGACCCGACACCCGCACCGTGAATATATGGAACGAAGGGAGATTTCGTCTGAATTTATTGCCTGTGATTACATGTAGATTAAAGAAAATTTTCTCAACGAGAAATGTATAGTGTGTTAAACGATATATAATGTTTTTCAAAAGTCAGCAACAACTTTTACGACCCATCCAATCTTTCGGGAACCAAAAGTAATGAAGGAATATATATTAACTGTTAGTTTTTGGGTACATAAAGATAATTTATTGTGTAAATCGATTCCATAGATTGTCAATCACAATATATTTTGTAACGTCAAATATCAGTGTGGCACTTGTCATTAGAGTATGACAAGTGTCCCTCTAATATTAAACGAGTGGGTAGTTAGTTAGCCACGACGTGTGAAACTGAACAGTCGATATTAAAGAGTGAATATTAAATCCAATCATATCGAAGTAATCCATCATTATTTATTAGAAAACTAATTAATTCTCAATTATATTATATTATTAACTAAGTAATTCTCATTATAGTCAACTAGCGCCATCTGTATGATATTATAACTTACCCTCACCCTAAATGTTACAATTGAATATTCTAAATAGGATACAATTGTTAGACTGGGGATTCTGTTAAGAGTTGTGGAGTTATAAACATATAAGTAAAAGTACTGCCTAAATTATTTCTAACAATATGTTTACCTTTTTATAACTGTCAATTTTAAAGTTTGAACTCATTTCTTTAGTTAGTTACATTGAAGTATCGGCGCCTCACATCAAGTACAGTAAGTTAGTTACTACAGTTACTACTATAACTCAATATTTTCAGATTCCTCAGTTAAATACCTTTGTTATTTAACTAAACAAAAGTTATGACAGTTAAAATTTAACTATTATCTCACTTTGTTAGTTAAACCAGTCGTGATTTTGATCTAAGTCCTGGTATGTAACTCAGTAACTGTAGTTTTTAATATAATTATTTCCACTCAGTGACTGCGAGTGTAACAGTAATCGTAATGACAGCTGATATAGTGACGCCGATATTACTACGGGTCACAGTATAGTCGAAGAAGAAATAGTTTAGTATAAAACAGTTGATTAAGGTGTGTGGATGTTTGTTGTTTTTTGATGAAATCTGTAATAAAATATAGTATCTTTTTGTACTCGTCCTGGTTGTTGTGGAACACATATAAAAAGAATTCATAGTCCGAGTTCTTATCGTCACAATACAGAGTACAGACGTGATGTTTCCCGTCCCTCACTTTATAACCCACGTTAATACATACTACAATGTGACAAGATCAATAAATTAAAACTCGTAACTCTCCGTGTAGTGACAACAGACGTCACTAATGGTTTTTTAACATGTATATTATATTCATTTCTCAATGAAAACAACTAAAGATAACGCGGACTAAGTCGCGGGTAACCATTAGTTTTTATATAATGAAATCCAAAAGTTTTGCGAGTATTCATTTAAATGAAACTCATAAATTTGCTTTGTCGCAAAGTAATCAAAACGTATGTTTTCAAAACAATAAAATAAGCATAGATTCCGGAAATATTAGTGTCATTTAGTTTTTAATAGGTTTCTTCCATTGATAGACCTCCATAACACAAGGATCTCGCAAATTCTGTTGATAATACATCTTCATAATCCTTCTTCTGCCCCAGGTTCCCCTCAAGGTGTGGGTGATCGCCAGCGCGTCTTGTTTCGCGGTGTGCGGGGCGCTGGTGTTGGCTACAATTATCATCACTAGGTGGAGCTCCGCGGACACTTACAGCACGAGACAGGTGTACCAGGAGTCCAGGGTGAGGGTACACAACAACAACACACAACAACACACAATAACGACAACAACACACAACTACAGGGTGACTGGTGAATTACTATCAATATTTAAGGAGAATACTCGGTACATGATTCTCATTCGAATTATGTAAAAAAAATAGGCACTTAATTTTTGACAAAATTTCCGTATAAATAAATAAAGTGTGGACACGTTCCAAGTGTTCCAAGTGTGAACGCGTGCGGCGGCGTGCTGATACAACAACACGCCGCCGCGCGCGAGTGTGTGTGTGTGTGTATACCTAATCTGTAGGGTGTTCATACGATGCGTAATTAATTACATAACTTTTGGTTAACTTTACTTAGAAGTTTATTAATATTTATGTTATATTAATTTTTATTTTGTCATATATGATCGTCAAATATCACGTCCTCAAGTATCGATGGTAATTCACCAGTCACCCTGTATAATAAATATACTTTGTAGGGGCTTACATAATCGAAGTACTTTCTTCTTCTTTTTCTCCTTTAGTTAGTGGCATTTCTTTATAGATTTCATCAATGTCGTATGCCGAAATTATACTGAACTATGTAAAGAGGGATTTGTAAATGAACAAAGTCGCGACTAGAAGCTAAGAACTTTGATACTACTAAGATCTTGTTAAATAGCTAATTGTTTGACTTTGTAACTGTTGTTTATTTAGTACATGACGAAATTTTGCAGTAAAAATATATGATTTGGTCACAGTATAGATATGTTGAAGTATTCGTCGGCTACAGTCGTAATAAATTTGAACCTGTTAAAGCCCTTAGTTATGATCTGATGAAGTTCAAGAACAACTTTGTTATTTATTCTGTCTATATATTACACATAAAAAAGACAGATTATAACTTCAATTCTGCCAAAAATGAGTTAAGTTGTTTTAGCATATGTATGAATGTGCATATAATTGTATTATTTAATTGCAGGAACCAATCTACGCCAATTACTATCCACCGCCCGCTCGGACCACTACTACCACCACAGAGGAAACAGCGACCCAGGAACAAGAGGATTCACAGATACCTATACTAGAGAAACTGGCGATATTCAAAAACATAGTAGCAAGTCGGGAAAAGAAAAAAGAAGATAAGAATTTGATATCAAAACACCAACTACATCCGGTCCAAGACACGTCCTTGCATCACCCAGAAAAGAAAATAGAAAAAAAGGACCAAGCGAAGTTACCAGATGTAAAAATACCAGAATTCAAACCGACTTTACCTGACGTGTTCATTGATTCCGGGATCAAGCTATCAGATGGATACATCGCGGGTCTGAAGTCCGATGATAATTATGAAGAATACTACAACGATGAAAACTTATATGATGACTACATGCAGAGTAATACGATGACCAGCTACCTCATAGAGAAGGTGATGGAACTACACGACTGGATCACCACCGACGCGGACTTTGAGGCCCAAGGTGCAAAGAACACTACGCATGAGTTCGGAAAACTATTGAAAGCTCTGAATGAGAGTCTGGTGGAAGGGAACATGACTATCGTGATGAACGAACTGCGGCACATGTACCTGGGAGAGAACTTCACGGAATCGGGCAGCGGCAGGAGAGTCATTATCAGTAACAGCACCAACCTGCTGTCTTTCGGCATCCTCACGCTGGACGTGATGCTGCTACATAACATACAGCTCATGGCCTGGGAGAACCAGGTAAGGTCACGGGACGAGATTAGTGAAAGTCCAATATAAAGTATGTTCTTATGGTCTATATGTGATATTTTTGCAAGAAGTTCATATAAATAGTTTCCAGTGTAGGACTACTTCTGGTGTAGTTATCGTCTTGGAATAAAAAACAAGTATATTGTTAAGTTCAATCTTTTAATGAAATGGAATACTTTCGAGAGTATTCATTTAAATGAAACTAATATTTGGATTACTACGCGTATTTTATGATTGTAAAACCTACATACTCCCGAAGTTTCAGTTACTTTACAACCGTGATCATTAAGACGAGATGTGAATGTCTGTCAGTTGGTCTTGTTATTCATCATCTCTGTAATATTAGTTTCATTTAAATATTAAGTTTCTCCTAATTTCTTCAACTAGAAACCAGTCGTTTTAATATTCACTATATTTTCCACTTCTTTTTCTTTCAATTCCTCATGATTTCCTCATGTTTTCCAGGAGTCTTCTCGCTCCAAGATGTTGAAAGACCCGGATGTATTCGCTTTCAACGCTCTGTTCATGGAGCCGTCCAAGGTTGAAGCGAGGAGGAGTGAGCTGCTGGCAGACTCGCTCGGGTGAGAACCAACACCTACCACACACTATTAACATGATAGAACCTATATTAAAATGATAAATTATATTTTCTTTAAAACATTATGAACGGAAAAAAAGGCTTCTTTTTATCGTCAATTTATAACACATGAAAATTATTTTATATTTTCATAATTTTAAATGGATCTGTAACACTGTGACAATTAAAGTGATATCATATATGTAGATAAAATTGGACTTTCACGGAGTTTGAAACAATATAATAATTAATTACCAATAATCAAAGGTTTTAACAATCATTTATTAATGAGAATGTAGTTTCTATTATACTTCTTGTTTTCTTGCTACTAGAAATAGTTAGTAATTTATACAAATATTATAAATTAATGTAAAGTCAATATATTTTATTATAACTTAAAAGAAAGACGTATAATAAATACTTATTTGATTCAACCTTTAAGTGTCTATTATCCTTATAACGAATGTCAGGTGTTGAAACAATACTGATAAAAGATTAGTTAATATAAATGCAAGTTGTACATTGAAAGAAAACATTTCAATAACAGGAAGCGACAAAACCGCGTTGATCCGGACGACTGGCAGCTCGGCCAGAACCTGCTGGAGAATGTTCTGGAAATGGGGATGAGCACCGCGCGGGCCGCTATACATCTGGGACGGGCCTTCAAGAATACTAAGTTAGTATCATTAATAAACATTCACCAGAACTAATAAGAATCTGCCATTTACGAAGTTTTCTTAGTCTATTAATAAATTTGTACGAGAGTAGGTCTATAAATGTATCTAAACCTACTAAAAGACTTGGGCCTGTCCAGAACTAATATCAATTCATTCTTGGAACGTACTTTGAAGGCAGCCCTAGTAGGTTCGTTCCAAAATTAGTTAGAACGAGGAGTTTGAACAGTGGAAGTGAGCGTTTAACTCGCGTTAGATAGGCGCCCCTTAAACCTACACCTGTGTCGCAAGTCCCAGTCACTGTTGAAGCTCCTCTCACTACAACGATGGACCCGACACACGCACCGTGAATACATAGAATCAGTGGCGGCTGTACCTTAAGTGCGCCCGTGCGCTGAACCACCAATTCAAAATATTTAAAAATTACAAAATATTATGTCATCTTAATTTTTAAATTACCATTTTAATATTTATTTTTTAAACATACAAAAAGGTATAAAAAATTTAATTTCCAATTATGGTCAAAAAGTTTGAGCGCTTTACTAAACTAATATCTCGTGCGCTCCGGTGAGTGCACGAGGACTGCTAATACATCTTGTATGAGACACGCATCAATACGCCTGGCGCGTGAGACAAAAGATAGTTCATAGAAATGTACCGAGTAACGAGTCGGTTCTCGCGCGCCGCACGGCCGAACATTACCGAGAGCACCCGATGTATGACGAATTGAGCCGGCCGGCAAGGGGCCGGCCGAAAGGATGGGTGCTATGATTGACATTTCGTTAATCGTTATTGGTATTGTTTCAACTTTCACTGTATGCGTGACGCGTTAATTCGTTATTGTTTATAATTATTTCCGTAATTCGTTTTAGTTTTTATTTCGTTTCTATAATAGAACTTTTATTCTGTACTGTGTTTTTTATTAGTTGAAAATGAGTATAAATATTGATTATATTAAAGAAAATAACAAAATTTTTCAAAGTAAAGTGAACATAAAATTGGCCGGGCCGCCACGGCCCTTTTTAAATTTAAAACAAGAGTGTAAATCGAAAAATAAAGCATTTATACGAAGTTTTAAAAGTGAAATGTATAATAGAAAGAAATGGTTGTGTGGATGTGAGCGTCTTAATGCATTCTTTTGTTTTCCTTGCATTATTTTTGGCGGAGAATCGATTTGGACAGAAACTGGAATCAGATTTTATGTACAAAAAATAAACATATTTTATGTCAATTGTTGTTTTTGTCAATATTTTAGTAAAGTGAACCACCAGTTCGATAACCCACCAGCCGCCACTGCATAGAATGATAAGAGGATTTGTCTTTAAGCTTACAAGAAGTCTGCATTTAACTCAATACGTAGAGTTTAAAAGTTACATTCATAATTCATAAGTCCTTACACGACACTATCATCATTCATCATGTAGATTGTATAGGAACTGGTGACGCTCCGTGAGTAGTTTTACAACCCAAACATGAAGTAAGAGCATTAATACAACCGGCACGATAAGATCCTCATGATTGTGAACTTTAATAGTTACAACAAATACATATATAAAAGAAAGTCGAGTTAGTTACACTATGTATTTATAACTCTAACGGCTGTACGGGTTTGGATGAAGATTGGTGGAGAGATAGATTAGAACCACGAAAAGGACATAGAATATGTAAATCTGCTCGATCGAAACAGAAAATATTTAAAAAATTCCAATATCTGGTTATTTACTACCTCAAGGGCAAAATAGAGTTCGCCCGGTCAGTTATACACATATTACCAATTTCTTAATTAACGCGGACGAACTCGCGAGCAGAAACTAGTATACAGGGTGACTGGTGAATTACTATCGATACTTGAGGACGTGATATTTGACGATCATATACATATAACAAAATAAAAATTAATATAACATAAATATTAATAAACTTCTAAGTAAAGTTAACCAAAAGTTATGTAATTAATTACGCATCGTGTGAACACCCTACAGATTAGGTATACACACACACTCACACATACGCGTTGTGCGGCGTAGTGTTGTATCAGCACGCCGCCGCACGCGTCCACACATGGAACACTTGGAACGTGTCCGCACTTTATTTATTTATACGGAAATTTGGTCAAAAATTAACTACCTATTTTTTTTACATAATTCGAATGAGAATCATGTACCGAGTATTCTCCTTAAATATTGATAGTAATTCACCAGTCACCCTGTATAATATAAATCACACTAATATAATATATTTATTTTCCAGGATGGTAGTAAGTCAGCTATCAAACCGCGACTCATTAAACGCCAATATACAACAGCAGTTGTCTCGTAACCTGGACGCCAACAGCCACGCTCTCAACCACCTGCAGAGCTCCTTCAACAGCGACAGTTCCAGCAGTTCCAGTAGTACAAGTTACACTGACCTGGACTGTGTGTGGCTTTTGTATTGTAAGAACCTGGTCGCGACCTCCAAACTAAACGCGCCGTATGGCACCATGGCGAGGATAAATGGGTTAGAGCTTATATATCTTTAAATGAGCAATTTTTGTACATAAATAATTGGAATCTCGGAATCGGCCCATGAAATTTAGAATACGGGAGTTTCGGGAGCGATAAATTGATATAGCTAGGAATCATTTTTAGAAATAATTATTTTATGAAAAAAATAAAGGCGTTTAAAATATGACTCCTCCTGACATCTATTGTCGAATAGTAATACTACTTGTTGCTAATTGCTTTTACTAATTGCTCTAACGACCCAACAGCAGATGGCGTTGTTAATGAACAGGAAGTCAATGAGTGTTTGTTTTGAGTTTAGACTAAGAATTTAATTGTTGATTTATATTGTTTTGTGCCTTCTTAACGTATTCACTTAAAAATGTTTAAACGAAATAAAAAAAAACAAAATAAATACCAGTAATTTCGTAATCCAAAGAATGTAAAGAATCAATTATAAGAGAACTCCATGGTCAAAATTTTAAGATGAGATGTAGAGCCTATCTGTGGTCAAGTTACTACAGCGCGAACATGTTCTGTCTCGACCGTAAGTACCACCCTCTCACAGAAGATCGGCGTGAAGCAGTCTTTAAAGGCTGCGTTTTGTATCAGAATTAAGAGCCGGATGCCTTTTCTTTTTTTCCCTCTCTTCCCCATTCAAGGTCCGCAAATCTATATTGCGGGTGTTCATAATCGACGGTACTACCTCCATCTAGTAGACCACCTGCTCCGTTGCCCCCTTAAGCATAAAATAGTCGTTTACTCATAGTATATAAAGTCTCAATTCATTATATATTCTGTCCAGCCTGGCGCTGAGGATGTTGACTGGTGAATTACCCTCGGAGCGAGCCTTCGATACGCTCCTGTACGAGGTGCTCTCAGGATGGACCGACCTCAAGTGTACAGACATGTTCCCCAGGTAAACATTATACATTATACAACACTAGCTGACCCGGCAGACTTCGTACTGCCTCAATCAAGAAATAAATTATGTCTTATTTATTTTTTTGGTGTTTACCTTTAAGCCATAAATCTCCGTGTTCTGAAGTGCGACAAAATGATTGACATATTAGTTAGTTGTTAAATCTAATGTCAAAAGACCGTTTGTATGTGAAATAAAAAAGCTGTGTTTTTAGAGTTTTCCCGGAAATTAATAAAAAAAAATCAGCTTTTAAACCTTCCCTGAACCTCCACGAACATTTCAAGGCTATGATAAGATAAATCCGTTTAGACGTTCTCGAGTTTTAGTGAGACCAGGGAACAGCAATTCATTTTTATATATATAGATTATAATTACTTAATATGAATTCAATTTAAACAAATGTAAGGAGCTGCGCCCCGCGCTGTTACCCGCGGGTTTCCGGGACTTTTGGGATTTCCGGGATGTAAAGTAGTCTATATGTTATTCCTGGACATCAGCTTCCTGTATACAAAATGTTATCAAAATCGGTTCAGCCGTTGGTGCTTGAAGAAGTAACAAACATACACACACACTCACAAACTTTCGCAATTATAATATTAGTAGGATATGACTTGAAGCCTAAACTATAGGTTATGTAGTGTTCATAAAGCTTATATTCATTTTCATTAAGTAGTAAATAAGAAAAACTATTTATAAAATACGAAACTACAATTCTTATTTTTATTATTTTCTAGATGCAGTAAAGTGAACGCAGCGTCAGTGGTGTTGGATTCAATACTACAACCATTTAGAAGATCACAGACTAACAACAACAGATTATAAATAATATATAATGATGGCAACACTCACACGTGACACAACAGGAAGAATTGTAGAATATATTTATAATGTTTTAAGTACAAAAAAGATTTTATATAGTTCTAGAATAGTTGTGTGAAATACTCTCCATTGAATAGAATTATAGTTGTAAGCTTGTCGTTCATTTGCCATAGACTATCATATTTGCAATAAAAATAAGTTAGTCTATGGTAAAACAGTAGCATAATAAGAATATAGACTGATTAATAAAGATTTAGTGAATTATGTGTGGTTTGAAGTTTCCTTGTACCGAAAATATAAGCCCGGTGTTATTTAAATGAAACTAATATTTTTCGGATTATACTACGCGTAATTTATTATTGTACTAGCTTTCCGACCGCGGTTATATCGTGTTTCCAAAAGAACCTTTCAAAAGTCTGGAATAAAAACTATCCTATGTTCTTTCTCAAGGTCAACTCTATCTCTTTACTAAATTTCATTAAATCAGTTCAGTGGTTTAGGCATGAAAGCGTAACAGACAGACAGACAGAGTTACTTTCGCATTTATAATATTAGTAAGGATAACTACATACTCCACATCTGTTAGGGCAAAGTGATAAAGAAAGTTTTGTAATATATTATAATATCCATTGAATAATCGAGATATACAATTATTTTTTTGTTTTCTTATACGATGTCGTAAATAATTATATTTTTTCCGTTTACATAGCAAACGCAGTCTAAACTCTACAAGATTTATCAGAATAATCTACTGAGTATTGTATATAATGAGAAGGTCTACAGAAAACTCCCCGATTTTTTTTATGGAAAAGGGAGCAACTGAGCAGACGGCCTATCTGATTGAGGTAGTACCGTCGCCCATAGACATACGCAATATAGTTTGAGGATGTGTTGCCAGCCCTGATTAGGCAAGAGGGGGAGGAAAAATAAGGAAAGGGAGGGAAAAGGGAAGGGGTAGGAGAGGAAGGAGTATGTCTGTCTCTTATGGATATCCTACAATAAAATTTTTGTCATTTCCTTTTTCGATAAATAATAGGTAATATTCAAAACGATTTCAAACAAAACAGCATTCATTATTATCCAATTAACTAATTTTAATATATTGTTGACTTAATATATATCTTTACTTCAACATTAAATTTTTCTGTAGTGTATTTAGTATCAGCATTGCACTTGAGAAAAGCTGGGGCGGGTCGCTAGTATATTATAAAGATTAATAAAAATAAAAGAGACTTATCTTAACATATGTTCAAGGGTAATAAAACCATCTCTACTGAACGTACCCTTTATTAACTAGTATCCGCCGCTGACTCCTCCTTCGAGGAAGTTCTTCAGCACGTCCATCAAGTTACTAACAGCTGAACTGGACAGCTTGATAGTGTCATACAGGTTCAAGATCTTGTTGTCACTCCAGCCATACTTATCAGACTCCATATCTCTCTTCAAATTCTTCATATTAGCATCGAGAGTGTCAATATTTGCTACGATGTACCCAATTTTGTAGGCCACGTCATTGTTAAAGGCTGTTTTAATCGGCTGCAGCGAGTTCACTTTGTATATAATCTCATTAAATCCTTCATCTATGTAGGTGAAGAGTTTGTTTCTGACTTCATCATTAGTCGGTCCTGGTGACCCCATCATTGTTCTTCTTCCGCTGGTATTCGTGATTTCTGTTGTATTTTCGACTGTAACTTTTTCTGTGACCGTATTATTAAGATCTTGGGTATTTCGTTTAATTCTCTGTCTGTTTCTGTCCCCGTTGTTTGGAATATAATCGTTGAAGGCTCTAAACTCTTCTTGCTTCGTGTATTTGACTATGTTAAGTATTTGGTTGAGGACGGACGATAGATTGGTCAGAACTTCAGTCAAATTAGATTCCATTCTCTTGAACCTTTCGTCATCGTATTCTGCCGCGCTGTTATTTCTTCTCCTGGCCTGTTTCCATAAATCAGCCAAGCTCCTGTCGTGTTTCCTGGAATATTCCAGGTGATCTTTGCTATTTTGCAGGGAGTTTTTTTGGCCGTTATCGTAAGCGTCGTAGTCGTCACGGGAATGAACCTCGTACACCCTGAGAGATGTTGACACTGCTGCCTGTGCGACGCCTGCAACACAAAACATATGATGGTTGTGATAGAAACATACATCGTTCGAAGATAAATTACTGTTTATAAAACTATCGAGGGAACACTTCCTGGAACATTAAGGAACAATTGTTTACACACTATTTAAATAAAACAATAGTTTTTAATTAAAAATTGAAAGTATGTACATATATTCATGTTTTTATAAATCGCAAGGATTTCTTAAATCAGCAGACCAAGAAATAGACAAATATAAAATTTAATTTTTCACGCACTGTAAAGTTATTATTATTATTATTATTTGAAAGTTAGAATAAAAATATTTTCCTAAACAATGAGCAAACATACAAATTTATATCGCCTTCTCAGAATTCGGTGATTATTTGAACAAAAATCTATCAAGTTTTTAAGTTAATTCGAGATAAAAAAAAAGGTTAAAATTATCATTTACATAAAATTTTACTTTATAGTTGAAAAATCTGTAACTTTAATATGTTAAATTCATTGATCGTCTTTTAATAGCATGTAGAAGGCAAACAGGGGTACAGCTAGACTCATAACAAGCAGCCACCTCAGCCGCCTAGGGACGCCTACAGTACCAGGGTCATCATTCTGCCTTTTCTGACTTTCTGATTACGTATTCATTGCTTTCATGATGAATCCTATACTGTAGTCCCTTGGGAAAAGTTCAGTTGACCTTTTTTTGATCGAGAAACCCGGCACTAGGTGTTCCTCCATCCTTTTATTACAAATGTTAGTCGCATCTGGACGAAACAAGCAATGATATTGGTGTAGTATGACTGCGTCTGTGTTTTCTTTGAATTATTATTTGAGAGTCTTTATGAGAAGTGCATTCTCAACATGCAACATCATTTCCGAACAACAGTTACAATGAGCGTAAAGCACTATTCAGCCGATATTTAAAAAAAATTGCTAAGAAACTATTAAGTTTACGTTAAGGCAGAGAACAAATTAAGAGCACACACTTTGGGTACCACTGCTGGTATACCGTCAGGCATCAAATTATGGACATTTAGTTGAAACAGCTCTTGTGAAACACCTTTTGCGTCAAGCTCATATAATACATATAGTATTCAAATCGTTTAATAGTTGGAGGTGAGTTAAGTGTGGTGCTACAGCCATTGAGCTAAGTGCAGTTCCAGGCAAAAGATTATCCAGTACATTTCCTTAGAACTGAAGAACAAGTTACCAGTTAAGGAGATCTACGATTTTCTCCAGTATTCATTCCAATGAATTTAATATTTTCTGATTATTATGCGTATTTTATTTTATATTATTATTATTTTATTTCATCTGCTCGTGATCAGTTGTTGCAAAGTAACTAAAACGTCGGGAGTATATATTTAAAATAATCAAATACGCGTAGTGTACAGATTTATTTAGGTTACCAGGTGTCTGCATCAATGGTGATAGAGATTACTGCATATAATATTCATCAGCAGACTTACAAGCGACCAAAAGGGTAGCTTGCCAGTCGTGAACAAAGTCTGCCGATGAAATGGAACTTATCTCTGGTTATCGTTCCTTTACTGGATCTCAAGGTATTGTTTATAAGACCTTTCACATCAATTTATAACAGTATCCAGTTTTTAGCGACCTCTATAGTACGTGTCACGTGACTTCAACTACAGTTCATCTCTAGAAAAACCGTAATTCCTGGATAAATTATAGGCAGTGTCTTGATTTGAAGTTGGAGTTATATTACTAGAAAGTAATACAAAATCTAATAAAGAACGAAAAATATCCCTACGAGCGAACATACTCGCAAATATAGTGTATGTATTTGAATTAATAGTTTTTCAAAATCACATTGTTTTTCTTTACATTTAAGTTGTAGTTATTATTAGTTACATTTATTTTTATGTCTCGCGGCTCGCCTTATCATAATTTTTCCTGTAAACTCTATGGTCTGGGATAATTAAAGAAAAGAAATAACGTGTAATTGTTTCTTGAAAAAAAAGTGTTAAATGTAGAATTAACCAATAAAAGGTGGAATTGAGGAGAAATGAAAAAGGAATAAATTTTAAAAGTAATTTCTTTGGTTACAGAGCAACGCGAGTTAGGTTTCTTTTAGTTTAGTACCTTAAAAAATAACTTAAAAAACTAAATTATCTTATTTATGTACTTTACGTGTATCAACTCACATAATACAAGAAGTGGCAACACTCGCATCTTCCTCGGTCGCTCTCGCCTCGAATGACATCGAAGTCAAGGCACGGCTCGTTAATACAACAAGTTTCAATTAATTTTAACAACAACACCATTAGACTATGACTAAATCACTTATTGGAACTGAGATTCGTTTTGGTTAATACATGTATTAAAATCAATCAATCAAAACATATATGAATCTGTCGAAGCTTTATCCAAAAGTTACGTTATTTAAAACAGCTCTCTAGTCTCCTAATACAGAGTTTCAGAACGTCTCATTAATATAATAAATATATAAAATTATATTTCAGTGCATAAATATTCTTCTTCTTCTACCTGGCAATTGCCCGGCTTTAGCCAGGGTCTGCCTTACATGTTGTAAATGGTTTTTTTCTAATTGTTTTTACGACCGGCCGCCTGCCTGACATCAACCCTCTAAGAATACATAACGATTGTATAGATCTTTATATAATTCAATTTAAGTACTGATATTAATGCAAAAAGAAATAAAACACACTTTCAGTTGTTCATATTTAGACGTCATATGATAAATTATATAAAACATATTGTATTTAAACAAAATCTTAATATAAAATAAATTAATAATTGTTACCAGTAACAAAAATCAACAAGTTATACAATTTAAACTGGCAACGAATACAGAATAATATTTTCCAAAACAATCTTATTTATTTCAATGGCAACTGTTTATTAATGGCGGCGAAGCGGCAATTCTTTATTATTAACGTGATATTATAAAGATATGTTAAAATGGATGGATATCTGAACTCTTCGCTGGAGGAGAAGACAATATACGACATATACCGGGCATGTCGGCTGTGCGGTGCTGGCGCTGGCTATAAGATGCCCATCATGCAGAACGTTGTACACCTAGACAGTTCTGAGGTGGAATTAAAACACAAAATACGAGAATGTGTCCAGATAGAGGCGAGTTTTATATATATAATAATGGATATAATGAAATCTGTACTGTAGAACTCATTTGTATACCAATAACTTTGTATACAGGTGTAGATGTTGCCAAACTTATTTGTTTTGATGATACCAAGAGTATTTCTTGACATACATTACTGATACAACTTTATATGTTTTAAAATTAATTAATTATAAGTGGAGATTAAATGTAGTTTTATCATTAAATGTAGTTTTAGATCGGAGTAGTGTAAAAAAACTAATAATTACGATCCACCATAAGTTAGGTTAAGTACACTCAAGTACTATAATTATTTATCAAGTGTTTTCGACTCTTTGGTGACTGAACACGTATTTATTGTATAAATTAACCTTAAAGTGAATTTTAACTTATAATTTTGTTATTAAACATTATTTCCAGGTCCACCAAGAGGATAAAATGCCACCATTGATATGTGAACTGTGTGTGGATAAAGTGAACGATTTCTACGAGTTTTTAGAAATGTGCCGTCAGACTAATAAACGCACCCGGCTCCGTCTGGGGCTGCCTCCTCAGACGATGCCACGAGGCGCGCCGGATGCGGGAGACTGTATATTAGGAGTGACCGAGCCTGTGTATCTGAATGAGGACTCCAATGAATCACTTCTGAAACCCCGGGAAAGGAACTTCAAGGGCAGACTCAAGAAGGAACACGAGTCTAATAAGGTTTAACATATATATGAAACATATACTATGTAATGCTTTTTACTATATTGTGTTGGGATGTTGAGTATTAAAATTCCATGAAGAAACTAATGTTTTTGGTGGAATTTCTTACAATATGTATGCGTGAAAATTTTAAGGGTGTACGTTTGTATGTTGCACTTTTATGCAAAAACTATGATATGTTTTATCCTAAATGTTCATTAAGTTACTAAAGGATTAAATGCTAACAATTATTATAATATACAAAGAAAAAATCCAAGGTTAATTTGATAATAAATCTGTTTCAGAAAGTATCTAAGAGTAAAGACAGCCGTAAATTATTAAGACAGGAGACTCCACCGAGACACAGAGCTAGCAAGAGAGGGTTAAACGAGAATGTGGCTCTCAGTACCTTACAGGTGAAAACTATTGTATATATATATATTAGTTATGCTTGCTCGGTGTTGTTATAATAATATTAGCTTTCCGCCTGCAGCTCCGCCTGCGTTGAGTTCGGTTATATCGCGTTTTCAAGAGAACCTTTCAAAAGTTTGGGATAAAAACTATCCTATGTTCTTTCACAAGGTCAACTCTGTCTGTACCAAATTTCATTAAAATCAGTTTAGTGCTTTAGACGTGAAACCGTAACAGACAGATTTACTTTCGCATTTATTATATTAGTTGCCGTCATTCAGTTTGATATTTACCAATATACATACACGACTTAAATATAGTATTATTGAATACATATTCTCATATAACCTCAATATTACTCACCATTTCTGTGAGTGGTGTTGTGGGTAAATCCTTTATGATAATGAATTGCTATCTGTAATGTTTCAGATGGGGTCTAATAAGAGGTCAGGGATGATGCCCAAGTCTATATTGAGGAATGAAGAGATAAAGGTCTGTATATTATATATATTTAGGATTCTAACAAAATCTTTATAAAAATATAGTTTTCTTATAAAGCCAGTACTTTTAAATAACAATAAAACCTTAACTGGAGCAAACTAATTATTATCTTATGCCAAAGCATCTTAAATGAGTTAAATTCTATTTACAATAACACAAGTCGTGTTCACAACATACTTTCCCGCGTTAAAAGAGAACAAGTCAAGCGTCATAGTTTTAATATCACTTCGGATGGGTTCGAGAATATAAAGGTTCGGTTCGAATAAAAAGTGTGTTCCCTAAATATATATATGTTTGTCAATATATGTAATATTCTATCTCCAGAACTTTAATAAAAACATTCTCAGTATAATAATAATATTATACTCCCATAGTTCATTATCCATACCTTTAAAATAAATGTTGGAGTTTGTACGTCCCTTAAACCTACACCTAGGTCACAAGTCACAGTCACTGTTGAAGCTCCTCTCACTACAACGATGGACCCGACACACGCACCGTGAATACATTGAATGATGAGAGGTTTATTAATGATATAAATATATTGTTCCAGGTTGAAGAGGACTGTTCTCCGTCCAGGTCTAAGAAGAGTCGGGACTCAAAAGATACACCAGCTACTAAGAGAGTTAAGTATGTGTTCAACACAGAAGGATATGTATTTAAACTACAGAGAGAGATGAAACCTCTTAGCATATACTATATAACTTGTATAGAAGAAAGTCGTGTTAGTTACACTATTCATAACTCTAACGACTGTACGGGTTTGGATGAACATTGGTGGAGAGATAGATTAGAACATAGAAAGGACTGGATATTTAATGCTGTTCGATCGAAAAAGACAAATAATACTTGATAAATTCCAATCAATCTGGTTGTTTACTGCCTTTAGAGCGGAATACAGTTCGTCCGGTCAACTATACATATTATTGTCAACATTAACGCGGACGAAGTCGCGAGCAGAAACTAGTATATAATAATAATTCCAAACTTCCAGGATAGTTGATAGCAAGTCTTCCCGGCCAGCCAATAAGATGGATTTCAAATGTACGACGTGCAAAGCTCAGTTCACAAGCAGGCGCTCCTTGGACAGGCATACAAGGACCCATACACAGTATGTATTATATTTTATTTACATATATATTAATAAATATATTTTTTTCTATGTGAAACGAGCAGAAGGCCTACTTGTTGGAAGGTAGTTACCGTCGCCCATGGACATTCGCAACATAGATGTTGTGGATGCGTAACCAACCTTATTTTTTTTGAAAAAGGGAAGGAAAGGTTTTTAGAAAAAGGTGGGAATAGGGAAAAGAACAACCGTCTCTCTCACTCATCATACGAAACGCAGTCATTGAAGACTACTTGACGCTGATCTTCTGTAAGAGGGTGGTACTTACGGTCGAGACAGAACATGTTCGAGATTTAGTAACTTGACCACAGATAGGCTGTAATAACTAGCACCTGTAATATGATGATGTATGTATGTATATATGTTTGTATGTCAGTAACAGACGGTTGTACTTGCAGGAACCACAAGAAGGCGAGCAAGACATTCAGCTGTAGTAAATGTAAGAAAGATTTCCCCAACAAGAGTACCATGGACAAACATAAATGTACTGGCCCTCCCCGCTGTGAGTACAACACTATATATATATATACATATACAGGGTGACTGGTGAATTACTATCGATATTTGAGGACGTGATATTTGACGATCATATATGACAAAATAAAAATTAATATAACATAAATATTAATAAACTTCTAAGTAAAGTTAACCAAAAGTTATGTAATTAATTACGCATCGTATGAACACCCTACAGATTAGGTATACACACACACTCACACATACGCGCGCGGAGGCGTGGTGTTGTATCAGCACGCCGCCGCACGCGTCCACACTTGGAACACTTGGAACGTGTACACACTTTATTTATTTATACGGAAATTTTGTCAAAAATTAAGTACCTATTTTTTTTACATAATTCGAATGAGAATCATGTACCGAGTATGCTCCTTAAATATTGATAGTAATTCACCAGTCACCCTGTATACCATTAGTTTATTATGAAACTACATTTGTCATACATAAACCTACATGGATAAGATAGATTTTCCCAGTAATTAGTTTGATAAACTTATTTTAAGGTGCCAAAATAATTTAACTATATACATTTATATATATATTTCTGTCTGTTTGCAGACAACTGTTCCCTGTGCGGTCGTTCTATCAACAACGCGAATAACCTCGCCGCCCACGAGAGAGCCTGCCGCAACAAAAAAGGTAAAACTTTGTTCAAGTATACACAACTACAGAATTAACTATACAAAAGTCATTATAATCGTACTGAATTCAGTCTACATAAGTTGCTCTTAGGAGCTACTGTGGTAGAATCTGCTATACGATTCTTGACATTCATTGTTAAAATTTGTAAGCAATTAACAAGTATTATTTTGAGTAAAACCACCTTTTCTTCAAAATGGAATCCTGTCCATCGTCATTGATACTAAATGCTCAAACTCAAAGCCTTTTAAGGTACTAGGCTTTTGTCTCTGTTCCACGAGGACCCCTCGCTCTCACATATACTTTGATAAGAATTTAATGAAAAGATAGAAATTTTACATAATAAAGACGAATTTTATGTATTACCACTCTCTCTGTACATATATTTCTGACTGCCCTATCATATGTATTAGCTAAGTTTTTCTATAATATATTATTAGAAAGGAAAACATATGATATTCAAAAATTCTTTCGCCGACATAAGCCGCCTTATTAATATTCAAGACTAATTTCACTTTTTAAACGTTTTATACATTATTTCATACAAATTACGGCAAAACTTTTGCAATAGTTGCTTTGCTTTTGCTTTTGCAATACTCGCTCCTTATATAGTTGACTTGAAACTTGATAGTTTAATAATTAATTATGATTTAATTTCCAGAGTTTAAAATAAGTCCGGTGCTCATGAAGAAATTAAAACCTGTACGGATACAGCTCCAGCGGTGTGATCCTTTGTTGGAGAGACGGAGAGGGGAACGCTTTGATGTGTCCTCTGTACAAGAGGTGTGGATTATATTATACTAGCTGCGCCCCGCGGTGTCACCCGGTCATTTCCGGGATGTAAAGTACCCCATGTGTTATTCCTGGACGTCAGCTTCCTGTACACAAAATTTTATCAAAATCGCTTCAGCCGTTTGAGCGTGAATAAGTAACAAACATACACGCACACTCACAAACTTTCGCAATTATAATATTAGTAGGATTTACCTTCACCATAAATATGATCAACATATTTTGATAAAACTATCAAATAATATAGATTTAAAATCAGATAGTAATACATTTAATTGAAACTAATATTTTTCGGTGAATTTACTTTTGATAAAAAATGACATACTCCCGATGTTTCGCATACTTTTCATCAACCGTCATCATAAAGACAAGATGTGAGTGGCTGTCGAAAAGTAGTCTAAACTTTGGGAGTATGAAGTTTTTTATCAAAAATAAAATCGAGTAGCATATCCGAAAAATATTAGTTTCATTTAAATGAATAAGAAAAATAGAATCTCATTATCAGATTATATACTTTCTCTCCATACTTAATAAACAGTATGTTTTTCAGAACTTTGGCCTGGCCAAGAACTGCATCTACCCATATCTGAGAAGAAGCATTAAGACTGAACCGCCTTACATGGTTAATATACACCAAGATATAGATGAGTTTGATTTAAACCAGGAATATGTGCATTGGGACTCGGACAGCACAGAATCTGACACAGAAATGAAACACACAGTCAGCTCATTAACCGCACTCACATTAAGAACAATATTCTCAGATAAATTCATAGGAAAAGTACCCAAAAGAAAAAGAAGAATTAGGAAGACATCGGATTCAAACTTTGATTCAGAGAAACTCGGGATAGACAGCATCATAAACAGTTTGGATAAAAGAGATGATGACTCATTATTTGGTGATGAGAAGGTTGATGTTATCACCAATGATGACTTTGACTCGTTACTGACTGACCACGAGAGTCAGTCAGTGGTCAAGGAACAGAGCAGACTAGATGACTTGAGTAACAAAGATATAGGAAATATAAGTCATGATTCAATAGATGCAGAGATGAAAAGCAATGAAGATATTAATCATACAGGTCTGGAAAGTGATCTGAGTCACAATCAAACAACCGAAGACTTGAGGCCGTGTGATGTTAATAGCGACAGTAGGAGTGAAATAACTACAGACAAATCTGTGGATTGTGAAGATAATAATACAGTATGTGGCGATAGTGTTAGTGATACACAAGTTAATGATAATGATACGAGAACTAATGATAAGGATACGATAGTTCATGACAATGATACAGGAGATAGTGAAACACGTGCTCATGATAATAATACACTAGTTAATGATAATGATATGTCCGTTAATGATAATACCAAGCGAAGTGAGAAAACACGAGATAATAATACGCTACACAATGATATGTCCGCTACTGACAATGTCACACGAGATTATGATAAAAGAGATAATAGTACACCAGTTAATGATAATGATATGTCATTTAACGGTAATGACACGCGAGATGATGATACAAGAAAAAATGATACGCCAATCAACGATAATGATATGGATGATGAAAATGTAGATATCACTATAGAAAAGGAGGAGGAAAAATTTCTTATTAACATTGAACTTAGTATAAATAATGATAAGGATGATGACAAAGATGAACAAACTGATTTATATGATGGAGAAGTGATTGAAGATATAGATGATAAGAAATTAATGCAGGCCTTGAATGAACAACTGGGTGAAGATGGGGATAAGGATGATAGTACCGAGGACAAAGTTAACAATGACCTTGGAAGTATACCCAGCGGTGAGCTGGACTGATGACTTGCATGTGAAATGAAACTGGATTTAGTTTATCATTATGTTTTAAACTCATAAGCAAAACTAACATCTCAGTTGTTTATATGAGATATATATATTTTTTAATAATAATTAATTGTGTTGATTTGAGTTAATACAGAATATATTGTAAATAAAATAGATTACATTTTATGTGATGTTTTATTACTTTTATTGAAGTGTTGAAGCTAGTGTCTCTGTTCTAATATAATATATACATAATAAGAACTAAACTATGATTGAATACTTAGATTTTAGAGGAATAATAAATTTATATGAATAAATAATTATCAATACTATACATTATTGCTTTTATTTATTGTTAGTTGCGATTTTCATTAAAATGAAGAGTAAATTGCGTTTTAAAATCAGATCAATTGATTTTCACAAAATTTTCGTTATGTGGTTAAACTGAACTGTCGTACTTACTGTTTGTTTAAAGCAATTCAAAGTTTAAGTAAAGCTGCATTTAAAATTAAGGGAATCTATTATGAGTATAAATTAATGTATGAAAAAAGAAAACAATTGACAAATAACTAAAGTAAAAAATATACATCACCTACGAATGTATTACCTAGTGAGGTCGAAAACATTTCAGAATATATATGTAAGACACATGTTAAAAGTTTTTGGAATACTTTTTCAGTTAAAACGGATATAAATAAAAGTTGAACCATGATCCATTATTCAATTTTAAAGTTACACGACATACCTAGTATAAATCGAAAAACTAAGAGAATAACAAAAGTACGTGATAAAACATTTGAAAAATATTGTACTTTCCCGCCACTTGTCTTAAATATAAAACGGTCAACTGCATGAAAAGTTATGCCAATGTAAGTGTGATTATTAGTATTAAATTAACTAAATGTATTCATTCACCTAAAGACCATTATTAACAAAATTAGTTACGAATTAATCTGACAATTAAACATAAAAATTATACAATTAAATATGTAAAAAACAAATAATCATTGCACTTTGAAATGCTCTCGAGTTTGGTTGCAATCGGTTAAAGAAAACAGAGACTTATTTATTATGTACAATATAAATTGCTCGTAAAAATCAAATAATGTCGTAAAAGCATCAGAATGTTTTTCCATGTACTATTGTTAACAGGTAAAGAAAACTTTAGATTATATTTTATCAATAATTCACTACAAATGATTTATGTTACAATTCTTGTTTAAAGGCTCTCCATTATATGTTTTCGGATTTGGGATACAGTTAGAAGGTCTTATAGATTTGGGTCCGAAATGGAATTACAAATACAAACTCTTTCCTATAGGAAAAGATTTTGACGATATAAAGAAAACTTATTTGGAGGGCAGAAAAGACAATGATGAGAAAAATACGGAAAACGAAAAACGAATTAAAATAATGATGAAAGATCTTAAATTGGATGAAAAGGGATTGGAGATTGAAATGGGACAAGATATTAGGACGCCAGGTGTGGTGACGAAATATGATAGAAGCCAAACAAAACAACTAAACGATGATGAAAATAAACAACAAAAACAAAAAAATGCTACCGAAATTGATGTATTTAAAGAAAACTTACAAGAATTTCTAAAGCACATCATAGATAAAGCTGTTAGAGTATGGGACGATATCGCCAGGCTGGCAGATGGCGAGAAACTCCAGCGTAAAGTCAACGAAATGAAGAAGAATTACATCCAACAATTCGGAGGATTCGTTAAACAATCAGAGAATCACAAGCTGAGGACGAAACTGAGCTCGCAGAAGTTCATCCTGAACACTATAGACACATCCAACAGGATCATGCAACGGCTCGTCAACTACCTGGCGACGAACGGCAACTTCGCCAGGACACTCAACATATTTAACTTGGAGATAGATAGAGAGAAACAGCTGGAGTATCTGTTCGCCTGCAAGAAGTTCGGCGTGTGTCGCAGCAGGAAGGAGTTCAGCGATCTAATGGTTGAAATCCTTGATATAATACTACAGGCTGATAATTTTAAACTACAACAAGCAGCGAACGCCATCACAGAGTCTTTCAAATCGACTGACTTCACTCTAACCATAGAAGACAGCACTCAGAAGGACATACGTAAAGTAATTCAACGCATCGAGCTTTGGGGTCCATTAGAACTGAGAGCGATGTTCTCCGTATTGAAAAACGCGTTGGTGCACAAAAACGAGCCCTTCATAGTATTTCAAAATAAAGACTTACAGATCATAAACAAAACTACAGCGTTCCAGGAAATTGTGGACACGTTAGATAAAAATATCTTATTATCGGATAATGCGGTTCAATTTGATAAAGTTATAGATAAATTAACGAAATGGAGAGAAGGATCTGGTAGTGAGGTTCAGGGTGCCTTCGAGTCTCTTGTGAAAATGATCAAAAATGGATTGGAAAAACTCGATTCGAAAACAGCTGAAGATGTAGACAAAAACTTTAAAGTACTGTTAAAGCCTCTCAGACTATAATTTATATTCTTAGTCTAAGCAAAATATGAGTCCAACACAATAAAATATTTAGCTGACCTAATATTTCATTCATTAAACATCTAAATAAAGTTACGAGTTTGTATGCGAAATAAAAAAAAGTTACACAAAAGTAAATTTAAACTCCAACAATACAAATTATGTAAAATTTCACAGTTAAAACTACTTACTGTGATTAAGAAACAAATATTTTTAACAAATAATATACTTTTAAATAATTAAAACTTTGCATGCTATAGTTTTATTATTATAGAAAATATATAAAACTGAACCTCATTTCATACAGTAGGGATGCAACGTAACATTATTTATAATCTGTGCTTTGTAAATATTTGACCAAATACATTTTTTATCTGTGCAGCTGCTATCAGCTATACAAAATTTTGTGTTTTCAGCAAGCAGTGCAGTCTGAGTCTTTTTATTTGTGATTAAATTGTTTTATAAGTTTTAAACTTTTATTCGGGATATCTCAGAAGGGGTCCATGCTTTAAGTAAGTCTTATATATTTTTAAAACAGTTCAATACTGTATATCTCATCTCCGTGGAGGGTTTAACCTATACTGTTAAACTTTTAACCGCCGCTTTGCTTATTATTTTTACAAAAGTAAATTTAAAATATAGAAAATCATCTTATTATTTAAAAAAATATTGTTTAAGTTTATTTCTTTTTGATATATATATGAACCTTAATAAATTTCGTGTAATATTGTGAAAAGTTTCAGTAATTCTGGGTACAACGTAGTTGATTCAAGTCTCAAATATTTTATGATTAATATGTCATCTTCAGAGATTTTTGTTAAAATATTCTTAGTGACTACGTCGTTAGTTCAAATCACAGAATGTATATAATTGTTCAATAGTAAGTCTTACAAGCACGATTTATTTTGGTCAAAAATTTTCTTATTCAGAATTTTTAACGTGTGCTCTAATATATTTTGTAAAGAATCATGTGTTGTAATTGTAATTGGAGGTATGAATGACTACAATATATATTACAATATAAAATATACTATATAATGCACTTACTATATTTCCCAAAGAGGGTTGACGTCAGGCAGGCGGCCGGTCGTAAAAACAAATTGCCAAAACTATTCACAACATGTAAGGCAGACCCTGGCTAAAGCTGGGAAATTGCCAGGTAGAAGAAGAATGCACTTACTATATGTCTTAATTAGTTTTTCATAAAAGATCAAACTAATCATATATTTTTTTTAACTACATATTGTGTTGTTCATTTTTTTAATACCATTCCACTTATTCATTTTATGATAACCATTCATTTGTCACTTTGCCATATATATACACTACTTTTTGATTACCAGAGTTTTAATTCTATAGATTTTCAGTAAAGTATTTGATATTAAAGTTGACAAGCAAAATATACAAGTACATATATATGTATATTGAAATAAATTGTATATTTGAGTCTTAAGATAAATCTTATTAAATATCCTTACATATAAGTTCATGTACCACATTTTATATTTTGAAAATAATATATATATTTGTGGATTATATAAAGTTTATAAGCTACAAACATAGTTGTACAATCAAGAAATTAAAGCTCATATAAATGCATCAATATTACGTTTTGGCCGCGACATGACCTTTGTTAGAGTAGAGAGTATTTTTAGTTTGAGTGTATGGAAGTTAAAGGTCAAAGGTCAAAAAGTATAAATATGTCCAAAAATGATATTTTTAAATAGTTTCAAAGCTTGTGCTAAAATGTATATATATTAAAAGACTGTATTTCTGTATATAATAATTATTTATAATTACTTTACAATTTGCTAAATATTTTAATTACTTTTCAACTATATACAATGAGATGGAAGACATCCTCATACATATATATATTATTATTTGTTTCAGATCTGAAATGGTTATTTGATATTTTATCTAATCAAGGGTGAACCGAGAACAGTCATCATGTTTCAAAAACAGACCTTCGGAACGACCAACACCGGTTTTGGTGAGTAATTAATGTTCAACAATATATAATTAAGATATGAAACCTCTCATCATTCAATGTATTCACGGTGCGTGTGTCGGGTCTATCGTTGTAGTGAGAGGAGCTTCAACAGTGACTGTGACTTGTGACCCAGGTATAGGTTTAAGGGGCTCCTATCTAACGTTAAACGATCACCACCACCGTACAAGCTCCTCTCTATACCTAAACATTATAATTTTATGTGAATGAAGTAAATGTATTGTGTTCTTAAAGCAATTATTGGTATTAGTCACAGAAATATATATTGTATAACATGTAACTATACAATATGCCTCTCATGTTAAAAGTCTTCAATACTTTAAACTCATTTTACAAGATAATATACATGTACACACATACAACTCAAATTAAACATGACTTGGTAATATATATACAAAAAAATGTTTGTGAACCATTTACAACAAGAATGGTTATACTTATTTGGTTGAAAATTAGTTGGGGTTATAGATTATAGCTAAGAGATGGACATAGGATACTCTACATCTTGTATATAAAAGAAAAAAAACAATAATTAAAGTTAGTAAAATCAAAAATTAATTACTTTAGTTACTTTCTCTAAGACTAAACAGTTTGTTTAGTCAGCTATACATTTTTAATTCTGAGTGATGCAGACAAAGTCGCGTTCATAAACGAGTATATATATATGTACTAGATATTTACCCTGGAATGCCTTATACAATATAAATACATTCTCATTAAACTGAACCTATTAAGGGCTATTAAAACTATAAAAAAACACCATGATAAAGTTTATTCATAATACATATGTATATTTATTTATCACCTGATGCTATAAAAGAGGTGTTGGGAGTTTAACTGTATGTCTGTACGGATGTACCACTTTCAATAAGATTCTTATCATTTGATAGTCAGTTTCAATGAAGTGTTTTTCATCTATGTTTAATATCGGTCCAGACAGAGTACCAGCCCTTTAAATAAAGATGTAAGTCATTATTGCCTATGATAACTTGATTAATTTTTAGGCGTGCGTTTATTATCGTGCAATAAGGTTGGTTATTTAAAAAAACACACACATATATTGTTAGAACAGAAAACACGTTATGTTTCTTTTTTAACTATCGTCAGCTAAAGGACACTTTAATAATATTCAAGACTAATCAGGGCAGAGTTTCTTCTCTTGACAATAGTTGAGAACATGAAGTGTCAGATTGTCAGTAACGGCGCTCCTTATATAGGTGGCTTGAGGGTTGATAGTTTAATAATTGATTATCACATATATATGGTTACTAGCTTTACCCCCCGCAGCTTGGCCTGCGTGGAGTTCTATTATATAGTTTCCAAGAGAACCTTTCAAAAGTCTGGGATAAAAACTATCCTATGTTCTTTTTCAAGGTCAACTCTATATCTGTACCAAATTTCATTAAAATCAGTTCAGTGGTTTAGGCATGAAAGCGTAACAGATAGACAGACAGACAAAGTTACTTTAGTATTCATAATATTAGTAGGGATTACATTTATATTATCTACGGCTATACAAATTGTAGGTTAGATATGAAAAACCCGCTTCTGCTTCTCAAGTTAGTTCTATCCTTGTTACATCACATTTCATTCCAGGTTCCTTCAACTCCGGAGCCAGTACATCATCACCGTTCAGTGGCTTCAAACCCGCGGCCAGCACCAGCGGCTTCGGAGCAGCCCCGGCCTTCGGCGCCAGTGCCACCCAGCAGCCCGCAACTGGTGGAGGTAAATATTGGACACTTTTATTATAATTATTAATATTCTAATGAGATTTTTTCTTTTATGTGATTTTGAGGGTAGCCATAATGTAAGACTTTTCTTTAGTCTTCATCCTGGTAATTTCCCAGATTTAGCCAGGGTCTGCCAGGGGTAAGACTGTTTGTCTATCAGTAAGTATGTCATGTACCGTGGTAATTGTTCTTATAAATGATGAAATAAAATGACTGATAAAGTTTTATAATCAGAAATTTACACATAGAACTGTTAATACAAACCACCACAACAAACATGAGAAATAAAAAAGACTTGTTGCCTTAAAATAATTAAGGTGTAATTACATTGTATATCTCTAATAATATTGAACACTAAGTTCTATGTCCATACATTCTATAGCTGGAACAATATGAATGATAGATTATACGACATGTAAAGCTAGTTGTACACTGATAACTAATGAAATTGACTTGTAAATTAAATAAAGCTTGTTACACACCAGGTCTGTTCGGGTCTAGCAACACGTCGGGCGGTCTGTTCGGGGGCACCACCTCCACGAACTCGGGCTTCGGCTCCTCGGGCTTCGGGTTCGGGGGAGGGAGCGCGGGCGCGGCGGGAGGGGGAGGAGGGGGTCTGTTCAACAACACTAGCGGGGGGCTGTTCGCAAACAACCAGAACAACACCGGCTTTGGAGCTAAACCTGCTACTGGTGAGATATATACCGGCCCTTATAGATACATAAAGATATAGATGAGAACTAACCCTAATATACATATTGTATACAGGGTGACTGGTGAATTACTATCAATATTTAAGGAGCATACTCGGTACATGATTCTCATTAGAATTATGTAAAAAAAATAAGTACTTAATTTTTGACCAAATTTCCGTATAAATAAATAAGTTGTGGTTCCAAGTGTTCCAAGTGTGGACGCGTGCGGCGGCGTGCTGATACAACACCACGCCGCCTCACGCGTGTGTGTGTGTGTGTATACCTAATCTGCAGGGTGTTCACACGATGCGTAAATAATTACACAACTTTTGGTTAACTATACTTAGAAGTTTATTAATATTTATGTTATATTAATTTTTAATTTTGTCATATATGATCGTCAAATATCACGTCCTCAAGTATCGATAGTAATTCACCAGTCACCCTGTATAAGATGGTTTAGGTCTTAAAGATTATATTACTTTACAATTATCCTTATTTTTTTTATTTATTTTTTTCCTTCATTGGTAATCCAACAGCGTTACAGTAATTTTAGAATAGTAACAATATAGCTATAAACAAGACCAATTTAGGATTACACAAATTTACAGTTCTACAGTTACACTCGAGCGTACAATTAAGGATAAAAAGAAAAGGGAAAAAAATTCATCTTATATTGCTGTTCTACAATTTTTTTATTTCGTTTACAGAAACAATAACACGTCAAAATGTTATTTATTTTAACTAAGAGACCATAGAGTTTATACATAAAAGTATAGACAAACCATAAATAACAAATAATCAAAAGACATAAATAATAACAATTCCAACCTAAAGAGAAACAATATCTTTTCTTTTATATACATTAAAGTCATGAATGGTGGTATTGCGAGCACAAAGACTTTGTCACACTGTTGCCAGAATATTATTATACTAGAGAAATCATTCAATGACAGTGTTAAAACTACAAATGATCTAAAGTTGATGTTTATCATTATACATGTCAGGAATTCATCTCAGTATTGCCATAATATTATACTAGTGAAGTGATCCAATTCCAGTGTTGCCACTACCAAGTGTTCTAAAGTGTATTATCATTATCTGTGGCAGAACTTAATTCCAGTGTTGCCAGAATATCACACTCGAGAAGTGATTCAATCCCAGTGTTGCCACTACAAAGTGTTCTAAATCTAATTATAATTATCTGTGGCAGGCTTCGGTTTCGGCGCGGGCTCCGCCCCGGCCCCCAGCGGAGGCCTATTCGGGTCCCAGCCCTCCACGTCCACGGGCATCTTCGGACAACAGAACAACACTATGGGGACTGGCCTCTTCAATAATACGGCCGGTGAGTTCACTATACTGTTAAACTATCGGTGTGTAGTTTAAATATTAACTCTTAAGTTCTGTACAAATTAACTTATTTATTATTTAACAATTTTTTAAACATGCCAGAAACATTTAGAACAAAAATATGACACAGGGAAAATGAGTTTAAAAGGTATACTTATCCCTAGAAGAGATTTCTTCCAGTATACCAAAGAAAGAAGAAGTGTAGACAGAAAACTTAAAAGATAGACAGGCAAAATCGAACAAAGGAGAAAAGATACAACAAAAAAAAAAACATAAACTTATACTAAACAAAAAGAGAAAAAAATAAAATAATAATCATTAAAAAAAACATTAAACTTACTACTCGTTTGTTCAGTGTACTCTTTAACTGTAGGTATGTAGTTTAAATATTACTCGGCTTAAGTTCTCTATCTATACAAATAATACTTGTGTATCTTTATTTCTGTGTTGGTTCACTATTTTTGAACTATATATTGTGAATCATATATATGTATATGAGAAGTATTACATCACCATACCTTATAGTGGGCTTGTGGGTTACTCACTGAAGTAGAATTTCTCTCAGCTCATATTTTATTGAGTCTTTGATGACAACCTTTGAATGAGCCCATTTTGTCGACGAGAGTTCAAATCTTCGTAACTAGCATTAGATTATTACCTCTATCTATAATAAAGTAGGTTCACAAAGGAAAGTTTAAGATAAATATTAGAAAAATATTAATTACTTTTAGACCATTTTTTAAGTTTTTTGATATAATTTATTACTCACTGTGAAAAAATTACCTACAAATTAAGTACATTAAGTTTATGCTAGTAACGCGAATTTGCTCCTCTTCCGAGATATATATATGTATGTATATTGAATTCAAGTTTAATAATTAGAACATAATAAATGAAATGAACAAGACCAACTGACAGACATTCACATCTATGTATCAATGATCACGGTTTCAAAGTAACCGAAACGTATGGAGTATGTAGTTTATTAAAAAATAAAACCGCGTAGTATGTCCGAAGAAATATAAGTTTAATTTAAATGTATATTTATTGCAGGTGGTTTCGGTCAGCAGGCGACGGGCACGGCTCACGTAAAGTACAACCCGGTGGTGGGCACCGACGTGGTGGTCAAGTCTGGCTCCTCGCAGAACGTGAACATTAAACACCACTGCATCACGTGCATGAAGGTTATATAAAGAAAATAAATACTACATATATATACTAGCTTTCCGCCCGCAGCTTCGCCCGCGTGGAGTTCGGTTATATCGCGTTCCCAAGAGAACCTTTCAAAAGTCTGGCATAAAAACTATCCTATGTTCTTTCTCAAGGTCAACTCCATCTCTGTACCAAATTTCATTAAAATCCGTTCTTACCTGACCTCTACTCGCCGAGAGGAATAATCCTACCAAATTTCAAGTCGCTACGCCTTATGGTTCCAGAGATATCGTGATGAATCAATATATAGGTGGAAATCTCTTATATATATATATATAACACTGTAGTAATGTTTTATTTGTCGGTGTATTAAAGGACTACGAGTCCAAGTCTCTCGAGGAGCTCCGCCTTGAGGACTACGTGGCTGGTCGTAAGGGAGCCAGCGGAGTGTTCGGCTTTACTCAGACGGAGAACAAGCCGCTGTTTGGAGCTACCTCCAGTGAGTAATAGATATTCAGCTACTAGCTTTAACCCGCGACTTTGTCCGTGTTGATTTAGGAATTAGTAATATATGTATAGCTGACTGGGCGAACTCTATTCCGCTCTAGAGGCAGTAAATAATAGTCCGGTCAAATTAGACGTTTAAAGTTATCTAAATTACCAACAAGCTGAAAATCGGTAAGATTGTTTGAAATATCATTAAAAACAAAATTTGAAAGTTCCCCATCTTTCCCCTGTCAGAAAAAAAATAGTCAAGGTTAAACGTAAACAAAATGAGTTTTTCGCAATTTTCAGCAAAACGGTAAGTTTTATCATAAAAATGTCTCAGACAAAAATTGTAGATCATAAAATTATCTATAAAAAATGTATCAACACTTTTTTTTTCTACGAGCCACCGTTTTTGAGATATAACGATTCAAAAAGTTGTAAAAGTTGTAATCGTCATAATATGCACACGTTTCTATGAGGTACTGAGAGTACTTAGCGCGTTTTTTTAAAACAATCTTACCGATTTTCAGCTTGGTGGGAATTTAGATAACTTTACTCTTATTTTTTGGTCTGATTTGACCGAACTTCAAGCAGATATTGGAGTTTATTAAGGTTTTTTCGATCGAACAGAATTGTATATCCTATGTCCTTTCTATGTTCTAATTTATCTCTCCACCAACCTTCATCCAAACCCGTACAGACGTTAGAGTTATAAATAGTGTAACTAACACGACTGTCTTTAAAGTTACACCTAAGTCTACATGATTGACCCGATGTTAGTATAGCAATACCATTCCATAGCTTGTGTGGTATCAGGAATCTTCTGGTTCACACGGCTTGGTGTTCGTTCCGCGGAGTCAGCGGCGTCACTCGTTATATATTTTATACATACAACGATGTCGCCCCGGCGATGTTCATTTATTTTTTCATATGTAACGCGTACGTAACAATCTATCTTTTATATATAATCTAATTTATATATAATCTGTGCAGCATTCGGTCAGCCAGCTACTACAAGTGCCCCGAGTCTTTTTGGATCTTCAAGCATCGGTTCAACGCCGGCCTTCGGACAAACAAGTATGTATTAGTGATTCTTCAAGTAATAATTAACTTGGTGATTGATTTAAAACAAAAAAAGTTTATTTATAAGGTGCTATAATTAGTTTTACAAACGAAATATGAACTAAAGAAGTGGTTACTGACTTAAACGAGGAGAATCAACAATTAAATGTCCACTCTCTAGTTGGGTGTAGTTTGTACTGAATTAATTATATGGAACTATTTATATAGATTCATAATTTTAATTATAAAGATAATTTACTAGTTTTTATTTTATACAATGACGTGAGGAAGACAATCTGCAAATTACTTTTGTGGCTCCCTCTACCGTCATCCAAGATATTAATGTTAGCTATCAGATGTGTATCGATGCTATATATATATATATATTAATATGGACAGATCCAGGTTATTAGTGTATGTATGTTAAAGTATATAGAAAAATACTTTATATATAAAAATGTTTGTTAGTTAAGCGTTATGTATGAAACAACTCATTGTTGTTACAAGTAGTGTCGAACTGTGTCTTAATTACGTTTGGTGGCAGCGAAGGATGTAAGAAAAATCTGTTTTATTTATTTTATATATTCCATTTAACAATTATAGACTTATATTTAACTACTAGCTAGGGTGGGGTCTTTAAGTCAGCGATTGTCTTAAAACCCATTCTATAATTAAGTCTTATAACTAACTACATACTAAAGAGGTGTCTGTAAGTCAGCGGTTGACTCCAGACTGAATATATGTAAAAATCTCAATCTTCATTCTCACCGATGGTGCAAGGCGTGTGGTGTCCACTTCACTTTCCCAGTCCCACCGATGGCTCAGAGTCAGCATTCCGAACATTATACCATTAGGCCAGTGCAGAAGCCTTTAAAATTAATTAAAAGTGAAAATAAATTATAGTAGAATGAAACTCATTAGAAAAGGAGGGGAATATTATAAAAATAAAAGGAATACTAATTTACGGGCGATCTGAGGTCGGTAAGGATATGGGGATGGGTATTTAAGGGTAAAAAATGGGTTTTATCGATTTCCGGCAAAACTAAAAGTCCTACGTAAAATGCTCTTTTGTAATTTATTTTTAATAGTTGTGTACTCTGGAAGTTCTCCAGATAGTCCTTCTTTTATGTAATTTACAGAAAAATTACATTAAGCTGCTAAAAGTATTAAAAATAAATTGAAAGAAATTGGAAAATTCCAAACGATATCGAGTGTCATTTCATTAAAAGGGCATGCCCCTTTTATCCAAAAATGGTACTGTAAGTAAGAAAATTATATTTTTCTTCACCATCGGAAAGTAGAGATTTCAACAAATTGAAAACATACCAAATTTTTGAAAATAGCTGATATTTTGACGGGTGATTTTTCGATTGAAAATGATGCAGATTTTTCGGTATTTATTCAAAATAAGTTAAAAAAATAAATATTTCTAATCAAATACATTAGAGTGTATTTGTAACATCAAAAGGAAAGTTTTCACCAAATTTCGTGACAAAATATTGTTTTTTGTAACAGATAAAAATAAAAAACCAAAAACTTGGTTTTTCGAATTTTTCACATAGATTTTGAGGTTATGTGAATAAAATGTTAGTACAAAAGTTTTAGATCTTTTTTTGAAGCTACAACTTTGCCATATAATATTTTTACGTAGGACTTTTAGTTTTGCCAGAAATCGAGAAAACCCATTTTTTACCCTTAAATACCCAACCCCATACCCTTCCCGACCTCAGATCGCCCGTAAATTATTTTTCTTTAATTTTTATAATATTATCCTCCTTTTCTAATGAGTTTCATTCTACTATAATTTAATTATGTTTTAAAAGCTATTTGCATTGGTCTACATTGTTATACCGTGAACTATGTCTGGTTACGCTTGCGTAACATATTCATAAATATTTTATTATAACATGCTAGTGTCTTAATGGAAATTAAACATCTTAAACCACATATATTTTCCAGATACGTTCTCTTTCGGCGGAGCGCAGCCGGGGGCGCAGACCACGGGACTGTTCGGAGCTAACAAGCCGGCCTTCGGAGCTACAACCAACACGGGTGAGAGAGATAGAGAGAGAGAGAATAGTAACATACATGACGGTCTAAACGTGGTCAGTAATGAATCGTTTGCAACGTGAAGTAGATCATGAATACCTACTTAATATCTAGGACCTAAGATATATATTATTTATTGAATATTCTTTGAGTATTTAATTATTTTCTATATATAGTATGTGTGTTCAAAAGATATACCACTGATGTTAAAAATTCACACGGGGTAGAGACCTTATGAATACATGGGTAATCTTCAATCTAGAATCAAACGCGGCCATTATCCATTTCGTTGAATTTTATGTAAAGTGATAAAAACGTGGTTTTTATTTGATTTGATTATTTATTTATCCCTAAACAGTACAGGATAAAGCCGGCTTTGTAACGAACTCCAAATTTTGAGTTCCATTTTATATGGGATAATTCCATAATTCATGCGTAATGTATTTCCATACAAAACTATGTCTATAGACAATAAAACTACACCCATAGTCAAATTTTGACATGTATGTATATAGTATGTATGTATGTCTGTTTTATTCCAGGCACAAGTCTCTTCTCAACTACAACAACCCAGGCCCCAGCCTTTGGCACCAATACATCCACATTTGGTTTCGGAGCCAACACACAGAACCAGGTGATGAGATACAACATATATACATACATACATACACTGTCTGTCTGTCTGTCTGATACATACATGCACTATACAGGGTGACTGGTGAATTACTATCGATATTTGAGGACGTGATATTTGACGATCATATATGACAAAATAAAAATTAATATAACATAAATATTAATAAACTTCTAATTAAAGTTAACCAAAAGTTATGTAATTAATTACGCATCGTGTGAACACCCTACAGATTAGGTATACACTCACACTCACACATACGCGAGTGGGGCGTGGTTTTGTATCAGCACGCCGCCGCACGCGTCCACACTTGGAACACTTGGAACGTGTCAACACTTTATTTATTTATATGGAAATTTTGTCAAAAATTAAGTGCCTATTTTTTTTACATAATTCGAATCAGAATCATGTACCGAGTATGCTCCTTAAATATTGATAGTAATTCACCAGTCACCCTGTATATAAGAATATGTTGTTATATACTACTAGCTTTCCGCCCGCAGCTTCGCCGCGTGGAGTTCGGTTATATCGCGTTTCCAAGAGAACCTTTCAAAAGTCTGGGATAAAAACTATCCTATGTTCTTTCTCAAGGTCAACTCTATCTCTGTACCGAATTTCATTAAAATCAGTTCAGTGGTTTAGGCGTGAAAGCGTAGCAGACAGACAGACAGACAGACAGACAGACAGACAGAGTTACTTTCGCATTTATAATATTAGTAGGGATGTGCATGTCTTCTATGAACCGCTATCTTGTTCTTGTAGAGAGAAACCAGTTGATTTTAAATTCATTTTACACAAAAAGTACTTGAAAAATATGATATATGTAACTTATATATGAATTAATTATTCACTTATTGACTTATACTTAACCTTTAATTCAACCTTAATTCAAAATTCAAAATTTAATAAGGCATCCACGACACAAGCTCGCTTAGTGTGGACGCCCCTGGTAATCGCGCCATGTTATCACTTTAGCAAAATGTTGTTATGTTTGTAATTGTGTTCCCTGTTAACATTGAGTTACTGCTGGTAATAAAGTATTTTTCATTTTTTCAACCAGATTATAAATGTGTATATGTTTCATACATCCTACTACATGCCACGGTTCATGATATGTTGTTTATTAATGTATGTATATCTTATTTCAGTCGGGAGGGTTGTTCAACAGTAAACCAGCGACCTCGGGCTTCGGTACAACGCCGAGCTCGGGCTTCGGGGGCTTTGGTGGGGGCATGTTCGCTAAGACTAGTACAACCACCGCACCTTTCGGTACCACTACTCCTGGTATGTGACTATATATATACTAGCTGCGCCCCGCGGTGTTACCCGCGGATATCCGGGATGTAAAGTAGTCTATGTGTTATTCCTGGACGTCAGCTTCCTGTATACAAAATTTTATCAAAATCGGTTCAGCCTTTCACACACAAACTTTCGCAATTATAATATTAGTAGGATGACAAGATTTAGAATTTTTTAGATAATATTTGAATAAATTTCACAATTAGTAATATTGTTAGTTTTGGTACATTTATAATCTATATGGGACATCACTAGTTCGATGTCCCATCACTACTTGCGTGCGCGGTCTGATTATCGCCATTTTTTTTGTAAAATATGAAATATTACGTAATAAATATTATTATAATAATATTAGTGTTTTTCCTACTAAAAGTTAACAAATATTTCTCCCCCAGCGTTTGGTTCAACGGGTTTCGGCACCAACACTTCTGGCTCAAGCCTGTTCGGGAACAACACGTTCGGGAAACCAGCGACCACCACACCGTCCTTTGGGTTCAACACACAACCTACCCTCGGTATGATATGATACGATATATTTTATGATAAAGGAGGCAACCGAGTAGATTGCCTCTATGATAGATGTAGTACCGTCGCTCATAGACATCAGCAACATTTCTTATGTCGCGGATTTGATTTGATTAGTTAAGAGGATGAGGACATAGTGGGAATGGGAGGGAAAAGCGAAAGTGCAACCGTCTCTCTCACTCATCGGTCTAAACGTATCCATTAAAGACTACTTCACACCGATCTTCTGTGAGAGAGTGGTACTTACGGTCGAGACAGAACATGCTCGAGCTGTAGTAACTTGGCCACAACTAGCCTCTACCAGCTTGAAATAGATATCAGTCTCAGTAATGAGAAGAATTCTCATCATTACCATACAATATATTCTATGTCTTTGTAATTACATACTTAAATATTGTAGATATTAAACTTTTTTATTCAATCATACAACAGATTCAAAATTCAAATGTCACCATCTATATAGTATTGTCAGTGTATTAATGTATGTATGTTTTTTTCCTCCAGGTCTGGGTACCGGTCTGGGCTCCTCGTTCCAGTCCAAGCCGGCCAGCAGTGGGTTTGGTACCCTGGGAGGGACAGGCTCGCTGTTCACACAACCAACACAGAACACATTCAGAACTGGTACACACATTTATATAGTTTCTATTATCCTTATTAATAATGATAATAGTATTGTGCGTTTGATTTAAGCTGAGCTTTGTATTTGTGTGAGTGTACACGGATAGTGTAGGTGTGATGTCAAATTATTGAATTCCACGTTCTCTTCTAGTTTTGAACCGGTTTGTACTGATTTCCTTCGCCCAGCACCTTCCGCACTTCACCCTTTGTACTGGTAGCAATGTCAAATGTTGAAAATGCAATGTCAAGTGAAGAAAAATTTGTATTGTTTTTTCAACATTTTTATTACTTAATAATTTTTTTTCCATAATATTTGCATTTGGCATTTTACAAGTATTGCTTATTTCATTTTGAATATAGAATAGATCTAGCACTTATGTATCTATTTAAAATATATTAAAATTGAATTCTAAAAGTGTTTTGTCTAACTCTACTTTTATTTTCACTCACACAAATGCAAAGCTCAGATTAAATAAAACGGACTATAAATTGTATGCTTTATGCTCCTCATTGTTAATGTTCTTCCTATATTTGTATTTTTTCATATGTCAGATATTTCTAATAATACACTCCACAACAACATAACTGTAGAAACTGTTCTTGCAAATTGTTTTTACTCTACCAATATAATTTATTACAATATAAGTTGTATGTTATGTAAATATCTTTATATATAAAAGAAAGTGTTAGTTACACTATATATAACTCTAACGACAGTACGGGTTTGGATGAAGATTGATAGAGAGATAGATTAGTAAATAGAAAGGACATAAGATACTTTACATACAATTGAGAAAGAAAATAAATTGATCAAATACAAAATCTTATCTACTGTCTTTAAAGAACAGAGTTCGCCCAGTCAGCTATACATTTATAATTCTGAAGTTAACGCAGACGAAGTCACATGCAAAAGCTAGTATAGTATATTTAAATTAACTCATATATGTATGTATGTTTGTCTGTATTTTCCAGACTCGGGTGTGGGCGGAGGTCTGTTCAACAACACTATGGGCTCGCTCGGCAACACACAGATGAACAACACCAGTGCTACGGGGTGAATATATTATATATACATCTGATAGATTAAGTTAGTTTTGTTATATATATGAATTTGATATAGTTTTATTGTACTCTACAATATTGAAATCACTTCACTTACTGAATACATCACACTAATCAGCGACAGGTTTCCATATATTTCTAGTAGAAGTAGTAGTAGAAATTTTCTACCTTCATAATGATATCAAAGAATTCGCGACCATCATTTAAATTAAACTAATATTTTCGTATACTACGCATATATTATTATTTTCAAACTACATACTCTCAATAGTCAATGTTTCGTAAGGTAATCTTGTTAATGTATAATGTTAGTTTAATTCCTAATATTCTATATATCTGTATGTACCTACAGTGTTTCTCTCGGCGGTTCGTCCAACGTTCATGAACAGATACTTACTCTAGTCGCCCGGCCATACGACACGCCGCTCTTCAAAGACCTGGCGCCCGATACAGGTGAATTATATGCTTATATTCCTTAGGTAGACCCTGGCTAAAGCTGGGAAATTGCCAGGAAGAAGAAGATAATGCTTATATACTAACTATTCTGCTATATATTATATATTATTATTTGTTTGTATGTATGACTTATATCAAAGTTTTAAATGTCCTCTAGCGCCATTTAGTTGACTCGTATTTTTTCCATAATATTCATGATATTACCATTTGATCTTTTACAAGTTTTGGTTATTTTATTTTTAATCTAAAATAGCTCTGTTATGTATCTATTTAAAATATAATAAAATTTAATTCTAAATGTTTTTTGTCTAATTCTACTTTTACATTCACTCACACAAATGAAAAGCTCAGCTTAAATCAAACGCATTATACTTGTATGTATGTAATGTATATGTCATCATTGTGTCAGTCGTCAAATCAGTACATAGATAATATTCAACGCGTCTTAATATAATCTGTGTTATTTATATAGTTATAATTAAGTTATTTATCATCTACGTACACTAGCGACATCTACGGAGGAGGTGTTGAAGCCTACCAACCCGTCAGCCGTGAGGGCGGTTCTGGATTCATACAAGGTGTCCCCCGGGAACAGACTGCGGGTGACCGTCAGGCCCGGAGGGGGGCAGCGACACGACAAGGTAAGGGGGGGGGACCACACATACAATGAGTTAGATCCAGTTTACACAAGTCGTGTTAACAAATACTTTCCCTCGTAATAGTGAACAAACCAAACGTCTATCTTAACGTCACTTCGGGTGCGGTCGGGAGTTTAAAGGGACGGTTTATATTAAATGTGTGTTGAATATATATATACTAGAAGACCCGGCGAGCTTCGTATCGCCCTATAATCAAGAAATATCTGTTACGTTTTTTTAATAAATAAAGTTCGGTTATACTTTAGCCTCAGAAATTCGTACTGGTTATGCTATTATTAATTTATATATATATATATATATATATATATATATATATATATATATATATATATATATATATATATATAAAGATAAAACTGGTACAGTTCCTCATTAACATGTAACGCTCTGTGTTTCCAGAAATCTCTGTTCGATGGATTAGAGGAGGGAGACGCGAGTGTTGAAGACAAACTGACAACACGACCCAGTAGGAAGAGACTCGTGTTGAGGAACAGACCGGCAACTGACAGGTGATACACACACACACACACACACACAGAGCGAGAGAGAGAGACATACACATACTCTGTATGAATGAGTGAAAGAGACAGACTGATGGTTATATTACGTGCAGGTCGCTGGAGGAGAGCCAACAGAACGGCGGCGAGGAAAGACAGGCGGCGGAACACGACAAGACGGACGGAGAACACGCGCGTGAGTATACTTAATACTATGTGCATACGGTACGATTACTATAAGTCACACACGAGATACTGACGGTTTGACGGTAACGATGGTGAAGAGGAGGCAGACATACTCCTCGACATATACTAATGGACATGCCTTAGAGATGAGAATTGTTGCACTCCGAAAGAAAGAGAGGAAACGAAGTTTCGGTCTATCTTTATCTCTCTCAAAATAGTACCGTACTGACTGAGCGATAATCATCTATGAGGAAAGAGATAGTACTAGACCGAAAGCATAGGCCATCTTCTCACTCTTTTTGAATCAAAAAAATTACTGCAGATTATACGGCATGTCCATTAGTATAAGTCGATGAACATACTGATAATAAGTATCAGAGAAACACAGAGAACCGATGGTAGTCTTAAACTTGGATATACAATAAAAAATTATTGACTCAACCTGAACTCGAACCTGTTACCTCGTACCTGTTACCTCCTATATCGAGTGTCATTCACTTTGATAACTGAACTATAGAGATTAAACGACAGTTGGTGAATAATGTGTTTGATGATTTTTAATATGAATGTAAAATGTTACAGAGACTGACGCCGCGAACAACAGACACGGCAGCTGGTGAGATACACACACACACACACACACTTAGAAAAAGAAATCATTTACTATAAAATAGTACTTTAAATACCTTAGTATTCATCTATGATTTAAACCCATCATTAATTACTCTCAACCAATACATTATATATATACAAAATAAAACTTATCTCCATACTCAATAATCTAACATTGAAATTAACATCAAAACGGACCCACTACATATATATAATCAGTTGTATAATGTTGTTTCAAGGCTCGCATCTCCAAAGAACTCAAGCTCGTGGAAGGAGAACGAAAAGCCAGCGGAGACTGAACCGGCCCCCAGGCTGTACCCGGACCTGGGTTAGTGTGATGAAACGATTATGATGGAACTATAATAATATAATAGATGTAGTTAATTGTTAGAGAAGAAAATATGTTATGATTTTTAAAAATTCCCTTCGTCCAATACAATATTCTGAACCTAATATCGATTATATGCAACAAAGTCGTGGATAAAGTCTAGTATTCAAATATTAATGATTCCCTATATGATTATATTTACTAAAACTCTAATAAATATTAGTTATGTAACTCTTCACTTCTCTCTATCGGTTGTCACATCACTATTTTATGAGAATAACACTATACGTAATTTTTTAGTATATGTATATTAAAAATTCGTTGACAGAAGGAATTTTCTTATGTTCTATTATATTATTCCTAATGTCTGATGTCTGTGTTCATATAGATGTGGTTTATACAACTTGATAAATATGTTGACAGAGAAGGAGCTCCCGCCGCAGGTGTCGGACAGACGAGCCAGCTGGTAAATATATATTATTATAGAAATAATAACAATTTTATTACAAATGTTAAATATATATAGGAATTAAAGCCGAATGATTTAAAAAAAATCAATGTAGTGACACAAATTACAATTATTCATTGTGAACTTACAAATTTAACTTTAATATCAAAAATAAATGATCAAATATTCCCAATACACAAACAGCCAGTGACATAACATTAATAATTTGTATGTGGATACTATGAAAACTACTTAAAACGAGAATAATTCCGTACGAAATAACCAACAAATGGCTTCTCCTATACCTACCTTCACTTTAATAGTGTTTTTGAACTATATTTTCCATATGCAGGAAATATTGTTTAATAATAATTATCATTTATTTCAGACCATATTACATAGATCCATATAGTGTTAGTACGTTTCAAATTAAATTTAATAAATGAATTGGTTAGTAAATTTATGAAAGCAAAGAAAAAGCAATTTTATTTATAGTTTTTTTTTATCCTAACAATATTGTTTTTTCCTTATAGTAATGCACCAATATCTCCATTCAATGTATGTATGTATGTATGTTTGTATGTTTCTAGGTTGTCATCTCTGCCCCTGCGTCCTTCACCAGGGTCTGTGGACGCGGAGAGCTCAGTCAGAGAACTTGTACGGGGAGGCAGAGACAAAGGTAGATAATTAATATACTAATACTTCAACATTGATGAAAATAATATTTATTATGTTCAAAACTACATAATGACGGCGTTTCTTGCAGAAACGTTGCCAGTATGTAGTTTAAAATAATAAAATAGGTTTAATAATCCGAAAACTATTACTTTTATTTAAATGAATACTTTAAATCTTAGATATCAATATAACTGTTTACATACAAGATTCCAAAAGACCATTTAATACGCGTTATATATTATTATCATTAATTTTATAACCCCAGTAATGTCCAACCCCCTTTAACCCCTCAAAACCCCCAACCCCTAGAGTCAAGTGAGTCCCTAACGTTCTGCTGTCACCGCTGGGGCAAACTACCGGGATGTACGAAATGCGAGAAAATATCACATCAAATAAACGGCAGATACGGTTAATATATAGAGTAGAGAGATGTAGAATAGTTGTAACTTGTATTAGTTATAGAATAAAGTTAATGAGTTAGGTGGTAATGTACAGACGGACATATACATAATAAATTCAATGTATATTTTTGTAGGAGCTTCTGACAGTGTATTATATGTATTGTAGTGTTGTTCAATATTTTTGATATCGTGCTATAAACAGGCAAGGAAATTAATAATTAAAAATCTAAAGACATATTAAAGTTAAAGACTTATCTGCAATGATGGACATTAAAACTAAAAGATAAATAAACTTCAATTACAAGTTGATTTGATAATAATATTTCAAAAATAGCACCACGTGTTGACGTGCTTTTGAAAAATAAACAAGACCATTCTTCTCATTTAAATTTGGTTTTAATTGTAGTGTTACCTTTATCTTTTTACCGGCGGCACCTCGAGTAAGTCTAATGACTGTTTGGATAACACTGATGTATTGTATATTTATACTATAAGTTTTACTTTTATGCTACCGTCTTCTAGTTATTAATGTTTAAGTTATCCTATTTTGGTTTTAATTGTATGTTATATAATAATAGTTAATATAGAAACTTATGTATAAAAACTATTGGATTACCAAATAAATAATACTACATATTATGGTTTCAGTATCTGAGGAGGAGAACATTCCCCCCCGGGAGACGGCCCCCCACCCCGCCGGGGTGAAGCTGACCAGGCCCGGGTACTACACTATACCTAGCTTGGAAGAGATGATTGGTACGTATATAACACATACACACACACACACACACATACATACATACACACACACTTTGTATATTGAAGTAAAACTTCATTACGCATGCTTGATTTGAGAGTAAGCTGGTGAATGCGTGACGAAAGCATTACGAAAAGTGTGATCAGGTGAGGCGAACGAAAGTGAGAGATATAAGTTAGTGGAAATAGATATAAAGTGCTACGGTTCGTATATTACTGTAGTGGCAAGGGAGAGAGCAGTGCGCGCACATTTTCTGTCTCGGTTCCTTTCATTTGCATGAAACATATATATATAACGAATTCGCTCGAAATAGGTTCGTTGTGGATTTGTACGCGGTAGAGGTGGGACCGAGAAGTATAACAGCGAAATCTCTCTACAACCTACTAAAAGACTTGGACTTGTTCAGAACTCACATTAATAAATTCTTGGAACGTACATCGAAAGCAGCTCTAGTAGGTTCTTTTCAAATTTGGTAGAGAGAGGAGCTTGTACAGTGGAGGCGAGTGTATAACGCGCTTTAGATATGGGTTCCTTAAACCTACACCTTGGTCACAAGTCCCAGTCACTGTTGAAGCTCCTCTCATTACAACGATGAACCCGACACACGCACCGTGAATACATGGAATAGTGTTACATAACATGACGTGTGTTTCCAGAGTACATCCGGCCCGACGGCTCCTGCCGCGTGCCCCACCTCACCATCGGCAGGAAGAACTACGGGAACGTGTTCTACGACTGTGAGATAGACGTGGCCGGCTTAGACCTCGACCAGTTGGGTGGGTATACACACGCGCACACACATACACACACACACACCCCTCACAGAAGATCGGCGTGAAGTAACCGTTAATGATTGCGTTTCGTCCGATGACAGAAAGACAGTAACCTTTCCCTTTTCCCATTCACTCCTAACCCTTTCCTTTTCCCTCTCTTACCAACTTTTTCCATTCCCTCCTCCCTGTTCAAGGATGGCGACCCATCCTTAACCTTATATCCTTCCGTCCTTAACCTGTAATAATCATAAATAAACACACTATCGCCAAAAATCGTATCAAGTATTACATATTAGTGTGACAGTATTAATTCCCTTTCAGTCCACTTCCTCAACAAAGAGGTAATCATCTACCCGGACGATGAAGTCAAACCTCCAGTAGGGTCGGGCCTCAACAGAAGGGCTGTGGTCACTTTAGAGAGGGTCTGGCCGCGAGACAAGAGCGAGAGGAGGCCCGTCACGGAACCAGACAGGTATCTAACAGCTGGAACCTGGAAATATTACACCTGGAACCTGGAATATTACAGAAGTACAGAAATACAGGTGTTAATGATGATTAGTCAGTGATAACCTAGTGGTTAAAAGGCCCGCCTCTCATACACGAGGGGGACCGTTCAAGTATTACGTAAGCACTGTGGAGGGACGGGGGTCTTTGGTTTGATTATTTTGAATGACGTGGGTGTATGGGAGTCTAAGTAATGACTACGTCTTCGGTAGTTATTAACTTTTTTCATCACATCGAGTAGACCATAATAAAATATAATTATATTTTTTTTTTATGCATTTATATAAAAGAAAATACAGTAATTGAAAATCTTTACGTAAGCATGGGGGGAGGGGGTAAGAGCTTTGCTTACTTTTGCTGACAAGGGGGATGGAGGGGTAAATAATTGTAATAAATCTGCTTACGTAATACTTGAAAGGCCCCAGGGCTTGGGTTCAATCCTGGCAAGTACCAATGTGATTTTTCCGAGTCATATGTACTTTATAAGAGTATTTAGACATCACTGATTAATGCATTCCCAAAGAGGGTTGATGTCGGGCAGGCGGTCGTAAAAAGAATTAGTCAAAACTATAAACATGTAAGGCAGACCCTGGCTAAAGCAGGTAAATTGCCAGGTGTTAATGATGATGTGTATGCAGGTTACTGATGATGGACTACGAGGGCAAGCTGAGGCGCGTGTGCGACAAACATGATACGAAGTTCATAGAGTACCGGCCGCAGACGGGCAGCTGGGTGTTCAGGGTTGGTACACGTTGAATATTATATTATATGTGTATATAGAGATCAGTTTTAGTTACTGGATGTTTGTACAACCCTAGTTAAGAATGTGTCATATTTAATAATTATTATGAAAATGAAAAAATGCTTATTAACAAAAAACAACATTATAAAATGAAATGTCCGGTGGTGCCCACACTAGGTATTCCTATATCGTGGGTACCAATTGATAGTTTTACACTACATGTTTATTGTTGTCGCTCGGCTTAGAAAATAAATTACATAATTATTATTTAACATACATTGCATATTTTAAGTAGAATTAACTTACAAATGGTCTTATGTTGATGAATAGGTACTATACTAAGTGCAAGAAAAGTTTTTCGGTGGTATCATGAGGTGGTCAATGAGGAGAGCCAAGAAATAATTTTTGTTTTGGCTTGTTTAACGGAGCAACGTTCAATGTCACAAGCGTTAGCTACTTTATTTTAAATAAACGACTCAGTGAAAGGACTGAAGCGTCTAGCAAAAGATGTCTTAATTTTGGACAAGGAGAGCCTATAGTCCCGACCTTTGAGTAAAATTTTGTAGTCTTTTGAAGATATAGTTGTGTGATGAACTTTAAGTGCGATTTTTGTTTGTATGCTATTTCCTCTAGAGAGATTCACCTTAAACCGACCTGGTGAACCTTTCTATACACGATAATCCTATTACTAGAACATTGTTAAACATTTTCCTCTATATTTTTTCTCGATTACAAACATTAACAAAAGAATCTGGTTAACATAGCTAATAGTTTCGTCTACTCGCCACGAGATGGCTCTGCAACCAAATGTCGAAAATATTTTATTCGGCGTGACTTTATTGTTTTATATGTATTAATTATTCTGTTATTTTACTTGTAAAAGCTTTAACATTAACCTAATCCACTCAAAACAAGTTCAAAACCAGATATTCACATCTTGTCCTAATGATTACGATTGCAAAGTAACCGAAACGTCGGGAGTATATAGTTAAAATAATAAAAATATCCGCCCCGCTCTCTCCCACGTCCCTACAGTAATATACAAACCGTAACACTCTATTTTCACTAACTTATATCCCTCTCACTTTCGTTCGTTTCGCCAGATCACACATATCGTAACGCTTTCACCAGCTTACCTCTAACTTAAGCGTGCGTAAAAAAGTTTTACTTCAAATACGTGTAATTCAAAGTTCAAAAGTAGTATACATTAATCTCAGTTACAAATAAGTTAATTCTCCAGGTCAAATGATCACGTGTTCATTCCAGGTGGAACACTTCAGTAAATACGGCCTCACAGACTCCGACGAAGAAGATGATATAACTCCCGACGTGCTCAAGAGACAGCTGGTCGACCAGAAGTTACAGAAGTCTGCAGCACGTGAGTTATATACTATATATATAGTGAAGACCTGGAAATTTTGCTGTAGTGTAGTCACATGTTGAAGCGCTGGACAGATAAAAAATATATATATATCGTCGGGGAGAGTGCAAAACTGCATAACCATTATCGGATAATTTCGCGTATTTACATTAGAAGCAGATTAACAGAGGAATGTCTAAGCTGAAATATTTCGTAAAACGACTTTCAAGGTAATTTTTTCACAAATAACAATAAATTGAATAATTACTAATTGTGAAAAAATTACCTCAAAAGTCGTTATATAATATTTCAGCTCAAACTTTCTTCTGATCTGCTTCCAATGTATATACGTGGAATTATCTAATGCTAGTTACGCGGATTTGCACTATCCACGATGATATGGTGTATTCACAGATTCCAACACTGGACCTATTAAAAATATATATTTTATTAAATATTTATAGACAATTCAGAAAATATAAAAATCGCTGAATTAATGAGGTTGTGTTGATCTGAAATATCAAAAAACATGAAATTGAATTTAAGTTTATTAATTATATTGTCGATTCTTACTGAATTATAATATAATAATATTTTACTTTATTAAACACCATCCCACATCAAAAACTTCCCATTTTACTTGCTGTAATGACACAATTATAATGTCACAAGCACCTATTGATAATCAAGTGTAAAGCTGAACTGTTTTACAAACATATAAAGATACTAGGAGACCCGGCGAACTTCGTATCGCCCTATAATCAAGAAATAATAAAATATCTGTTACGTTTCTTTATTTATATTTTTGAAGTTTTCCTATTAAAGCCATAAATCTCCGTGTTTTGAAGTACGACAGAATGATTGACATATTAGTTAGTTGTCAAATCGAATGTCAAAAAAAAAACGTTTGTATCAACAACTACTAATAAATTAAAAAAAACATTGTCCAGCGGACAAAATTGTGAATCTAAACAATTCCCAGATCCCTTGAACACACACAAAAAATTTCTTCAAAATCGGTCCAGTCGTTTGAGAGAAGTTCAGTGACATACACACTCACAGAAGAATTATATATATATATATATATATATATATATATATATATATATATATATATATATATATATATATATATATATATATATATATATATATAAAGGTATCTAATTTCTTTATATATATTCCAGCTCCTAAGCCCCCTCCACCTTCAGCCGCCCAACAGCCAGGCCTAGCAGGTCTAGGAGGTCCGGTCGCTTCAGTTACATCGGGCCCGGGCCTGGGCGGGTCCGGATCGGGACCTTTAGGCCCAGGCCTCACACTAGGACTATCAACTACCTCTGTAGGGAGAGACGAATACATGGAACAGACATCACTCAATCTATTGAATGGCACCAGTAAAGGTTAGATTGGTTAGGCCTCGGCCTCGAATTTTGCGGGCAGCGGAGCGGCAGCGGCGGCGCCACGGAAACGCATACAATTCTCCAAACTAGCGGGCAGCGGGCATCGCTGTATTCGAGGGTCGGTCCATTTGATAATACGCGTAAGATCCTGCCGCTCCCGCTGCCGCTCCGCTGCCCGCAAAATTCGAGGCCGAGGCCTTATAGTTGACTGACTGGTGGAAGAGTGGTATATGTATATACATAGTAAATAAAATAAGGAAGAAATTTCGTTTTTTATAGGCAAAATTTGTATATAACATATTTTCATTTGTATAACTTTAAAAACGCATTGTTTACTTGACTGTAGACAGAAACAAGATTTTAAGCCGTTCTTAAACTTACAAGCAATGATCTCTTTACACTTTTATTTTATAAAAACAATCTTGACACAAAATCAATATAATTTAAAATTCTCCTGTACTCGTGTATGTCTGTATAGTTTATATTCACACCTCACGCCGGTAGATGTTGCTGTCTGTGTGTGTGTTATATAAAACGTGAAGCCCGCTACGTACGTCACTATATGTTTTGTTTTAACACACTCTATACATACTGAGTGTGTTTCATGTACACACAGACAGAGACAGGTTTAAACTAGTTGTAATATATGTAGTGTGTTTTTAAATAGTTAATGTTGTTGTAATATACTTGCAGGCTTCACCATGGATGTGACTGAGGATGGAGACCAGAACAGTCTGTACCAAGACGGAGGTGAGCATACATAATATATATACATATATATAAAAAAGAAAGTCGTGTTAGTTACACTATATATAACTCAAGAACGACTGTACGGATATGGATGAAGATTGACGGAGATAGACTAAGAGATAGACTAGATCATAGAAAGGACATAGGATATTTACTTAATATGTTCGATCAAAAACAAAACCAGAATTAATAAATTCCAATACCTGGTTATTTAATTATTTATAGCCTCTAAAGAAAATAAAAACTACATAGGATATTTAATTCTGTACGATCGAAAAAGAAAACCATACTTAATAAATTCCAATATCTGGTTATTTAATTATTTATGGCTTCTAAAGAACATAAAACTGACATAGAATATTTAATTCTCTTTGATAGAAAAAGAATTAATAAATTCCAATATCTAATTATTTACTGCCTCCAGGTCGGAATAGAGTTCGCCACGTCAGCTATGCATATATTATTAATTTCTAAATTATCGCAGACGAAGTCCCGGACAAACACTAGTATATACACATATCATATCAGTTGTATGTCCTAATATATCTGTTTATTAATGTAAGTGACTATATTTACAGGTGTGTGTGTGAAGAGCCCCACAAGTGAACTAGCCCGACTGGAACACCGCGGCAGTCACCGACTGCAGCTTATGAAGGCGAGCTTGTACGCTGATGGAGCGGGTACGAACACACAGACACACACACACATACAGAGACAGACACACACACATAGACACATATAGATACGTATATATCTCGTCGGGGATAGTGCAAATCCGCGTAACTACCATTGGATAATACCGCGTATCTACATTGGAAGCAGATTATTATCAGAAGAAAGTTTAAGATGAAATATTTGCTAAATTAACGACTTTTTCCCACAATTAATATTATTTACGAGTTTAATTTATTACTAATTGTGAAAAATTTACCATATCCAATACCATTTACTTGGATTTCTACTATCCCAGACGATATATATTGTAGTGTATGTGTAGTATATAAGCAGATGACAGCTAGTATTGAGGAGCAGTAATAAATTTATGTTCAAACCTAAAGCATACTTTATTTACCAAGTCCCGTCCTTAGAACACTATAGTACTATCTGTTTCTTTCTATCATCAGCGGACGTGATGGAGGAGGTGTCTTCGTTCTCCACGGACCAGCTGGTGCCTCACGCGGTGACGTCACCACCCCCCACCAGCGACACGCATCGAGAGGTGATACAGACAGTGGATATGGAGCGAGAACAGACGGGAGGTAGGACATGTATATATATACTAGCTACGCCCCCCAGTGTTTCGGGATGTAAAGTAGCCTATATCTTATTCCTGGACGTCAGCTTCCTGTATACAGAATTTTATCAAAATCTGTTCAGCCGTTTGAGCGTGAAGAAGTAACAAACATACACACAAACTTTCGCAATTATATAATTTGTAGGATGTAGAGCCCTCTGCTGGGCTGCCTCTCCACACATGGAGAAGGTTTGAGCATTAATCACCACACTTGCTCAAGACGGGTTGGTGATTTCAAACTTATAATTTGATTATAAGTCCAGGTTTCCTCAAGATGTTTTCCTTCATCAATCAATGATGTCTAAATACTCTTAAGTACATATGACTCAGGAACATCACATTGGTATAGTTCGTTAGATTTAAGCTGAGCTTAACATTTGTGTGAGTGAAAGTAAAAGTAGAGTTAGACAAAAAACTTTTAAAATTAAATTTTATTCATTATAAAGATATACATGACAAAAGAGTTTAAAAATAAAATAAGCAAGACTTGTAAAAAACCAGAAGGAATTTTTATGGAATAAAATTAATTAATTAATAAAAATTTTGAAAAAAGTACACAATTTCTTCTTCACTTGACATTGCGTTTTCAACATTTGACGTTGCTACCAGTACAAAGGGTGAAGTGAGGAAGATATGGGGCAGTGTAAAAGCAGAATAAACCGGTTCAAAATTTGAAAAGAATGTGGCAATCAAAAATTTTACATTACACCTACACTATGCGTGTGCACTCACACAAATGTAAAGCTCAGCTTAAATCAAACGCACTATACTTGCCATGTATCAAACCTGCGCCCTCATGCACGATAGGCGGGCCTTAAACCTCTAGGCCACCACAAATCTTTATATATATAACTCCTCTGTGAGTGTATGTCACTGAACTTCTCTCAAACGATTGGACCGATTTTGATGAAATTTTTTGTGTGTGTTCAAAGGGATCTGGGAATTGTTTAGATTTACAATTTTGTCCGCTGGACAATGTTTTTTTAATTAATTTTTAATTTATTAGTAGTTGTTCATACAAACGTTTTTTTTGACATTAGATTTAACAACTAACTAATTTGTCAATCATTCTGTCGCACTTCAAAACACGGAGATTTATGGCTTTAATAGGTAAACTCCAAAAATATAAATAAAAAAACGTAACAGATATTTCTTGATTATAGGGCGATACGAAGTTCGCTGGGTCTTCTAGTATATACAGGGTGACTGGTGAATTACTATCAATATTTAAGAAGAATACTCGGTACATGATTCTCATTCGAATTATGTAAAAAAAATAGGCACTTAATTTTTGACAAAATTTCCGTATAAATAAGTAAAGTGTTGACACGTTCCAAGTGTTCAAGTGTGGACGCGTGTGGCGGCGTGCTGATACAACACTACGTCACGACACGCGTATGTGTGAGTGTCAGTGTATACCTAATCTGTAGGGTGTTCACACGATGCGTAATTAATTACATAACTTTTGGTTAACTTTACTTAGAAGTTTATTAATATTTATGTTATATTAATTTTTATTTCGTCATATATGATCGTCAAATATCACGTCCTCAAATATCGATAGTAATTCACCAGTCACCCTGTATATGTTTAATGGTTTATATATTATCATGTAGTATATGTATGTTATATGTTTCAGTGTCGGAGGTGATCTCTCGGCCCATAACAGTTCATCCTCATACCGTGGTGCTCAAGTATCACAAGAAGATACCGCCCTTCAAGGAGACTATAGCCGGTGAGTTGAAACACACACACACAGACACACACACATAGAGAGAGACAGACATACATAAGAGAGGGACAGAATGTTACTTTCAAATACAACAAGACATTTGTTTAAGTAATTTATTTATTTATGACAACAATAACACATTATTAAAGGTGGCACCATAAATTCATTCGAGTTTTACCGGCCACCAGTGTCGTCGTGAATTTGACGACTTAATCTACCTAATATTAATTAAACTGCTACAATTATTTGGAACTAAACTTCTACTTAACAATAAATTGATAAAAAAAATCTAATTTCCTAATATAGTATCAACTAAGTTTACTTAAATCATTCTTATTGTAATAATTATTTAAGTGGGTAACTTCTATATGATATATACATATATGTATGTGTGTATGTCCAGGTCGTCTCTCAGCATCATCCCTAGTAGACTTATCTATATCCCGAGCCCGCCTGTCCCGCTGGTGTGGCCGGCCCGGAGTGATGATAGTACACTCCACCGCAGCCGCTGCTGACCATCTGCCATCAGGTTAGATATACACACACACACACACTGTGTGGATGACTGTACTCATGATATTATATAGATAGTAACGATTGAAAGATTATATATGGACTATGAATTTAATTGAATATGACCATGTATTATATATATGTAAATGAAGCTCTTTTACTCTACATTTAATTTAATAATTACACTTATGTACTATAATTTATTATCTATGGTAGCACCACTTCTTACTCTGCATTCATTATATATTGTAATCTGTAGAAAAAGGCTCTCTGGTTTTGTAAGTTTAAGTTTAGCAAGATTTTTGAAAAGGAATAACGATTGTTTAAAATAGAAATTGAAGCAATAGCTTTTAATGTTGTTTCTCTTTACAGAGGAACAATTACAGTTTTTTGTTTCAATTAACAACATATTACATATATAATTACATATAAGGAAGGTTACTGTATCTCATGAACAGTGATAGTTGTTCTTATAATCAATGAAATAAAATGACTGATGTAGTTTTATTAATCAGAAATGTACATATAGAATTGTTAATACAAACCACCACAGTGGGTAAAGATCATAGTGAGCACAGTATAAAAAATAAAAAGGCTTATTGCTTTAAAATAACAAAGGTGTAATTACATTGTATATTTCTAATAATAATGAACACTAAGTCCTATCTCCATACATACTATAGCCGGTACCATGATTATAGTTCTAAGTACATACAAGTGTTGGTAGTAGTTTGAATATCAAATATTTTTTTAACAGTATATCAAACTTCCAAACTTCGGTATGTTAACACTTCCAGTTGCAACAGTTCTTTGTTTCTATGCATCGAGCTTACCGTACGAATTGTCAAACTACCCAACAATATTTTTATAATTGTATTATTGTTTTAAGTGAATGTAAATTCTTTTAAATAAAGTTCTTAAACCCGATAATATGTTGTAACCAACAGTGTGTGACCTCGGAGCCCTAGGGCTTTACGTGTCGGGACGTGTCGACACAGACTGGAGCGAGCAGGTCATCATGAGGATCGGCTTTGGAGCTCCGGAGGGGACTGTGGCTATGGTTGGTGACATACATACATACTGAGAGTAGTGAACAAAACATTATATACAGGGTGACTGGTGAATTACTATCAATATTTAAGGAGAATACTCGGTAAATGATTCTCATTCGAATTATGTAAAAAAAATAGGTACTTAATTTTTGACCAAGTTTCCCTATAAATAAATAAAGTGTGGAGACGTTCCAAGTGTTCCAAGTGTGGACGCGTGCGGCGGCGTGCTGATACAACACCACGCCGCCGCACGCGTATGTGTGTGTGAGTGTATACCTAATCTGTAGGGTGTTCACACTTTTGGTTAACTTTACTAAGACTAACTTTACTAAGACTAACTTAACTTTTGGTTAACTTTACTAAGAAGTTTATTAATATTTATGTTATATTAATTTTTATTTTGTCATATATGACCGTCAAATATCACGTCCTCAAGTATCGATAGTAATTCACTAGTCACCCTGTATATATACAAGCTGCGTCCCGCGGTGTTACCGGTGATTTTCGGGATTTCCGGGATATAAAGTAGCCTATATGCTATTCCTGGACGTCAGCTTCCTGTATACAAAATTTTATCAAAATCGCTTCATCCGTTTGAAAGTGAAGAAGTGACAAACATATACACACACTCACAAACTTTCGCAATTATAATATTAGTATGATAATGATGGAAATTTAATCGTTGATTTATAATATTATGATTGATTCTTCAAGCAAAAATTGTGATTAGTCTAAAACCAAAAAAGGGTTTTATTTTTAAGATATGTATAATAATTACAAGCAGAAATATGAACTAAGCAAGGTTACTAACCTAAAACGAGGAGAATCAACGATTAAATGTCCACACTCTACTTGAGTGTAGTTTGATTAATTAAAGATACGAAACTACTTATATTAAACAAAATTTATTAGTTTTTATTTTATACAATGATACGTGGACAAAGATGTACAAATCAGTCTCTAGTGCTTCCCTCTACACTCATCCAAGATATGAATGTTAGCTGTCATTGTCACATGTCAATCAATGTTTTTATGTATATACTATCAAATTTGGTTAGGTAGAGAGAGGAGCTTGTACAGTGGAGGTGAGCGTTTAACTTTAGATAGGTTCCCTTAAACCTACACCTGGGTCACAAGTCCCAGTCACTGTTGAAGCTCCTCTCACTACAACGATGGACCCGACACACGCACCGTGATTACATTGAATGATGAGAAGATTCGTCTCGTATATAACATCTTAATGCTCTTCTTCCCCCAGGAGTGTCTGTCCCGTCAGCTGGGCAGTCTGTTAGAGTATTCGGACACGGACACCACACGACCAGTCTGTCCGCGCCTGGTCGTGAGGCAGGAACCGATACAGAGGAAGAGGCTGCTCGAAGAGCTCCTGGAACACGCCAGGCTCGCTGAGGACTATAGACCCAAGGTAACACACACACACACACACACTTTTATGTAGTAGTATTGAATGAAACTATATTGTTGTTTTTTTTTTGTAGAAGTAATTTAATTTAGTTAGATGAAGGTGTTATCGTTGTTATAAAACTTTTTAGACAGTGCTGTGAATACTTGTAATAGGTGTCATATGAAGACCTATACATATGTACTTTTGACTGTATTTTTTATGTAGGTAAATGTTGCATATGTGTACTGTTGGTGTTCCTAAGTAGACAAAATAAAATAAATAAAATAAAATATTAAAGTCGTGTATGTATATTGCTAACTATCGAACTAAATGACAGCAACTAATATAATAAAGTGATCTGCCTACATTACACTTGACATACTCATACATACACTCAATAGTATCAATGTGTCTAACACTTGTATGTGTCTATTTCAGTTTGGTGTGTCCGGAGAGTATTGTGTCCAGGTGTGGAAGTTATGTGAAGCGCTGTGGGGCTTGGACTTGGAAAATGATGGTGACTAACTATATATACATAATAGTTCGGTTATATCGCGTTTCCAAGAGAACCTTTCAACTGTCCTATGTTCTTTCTCAAGGTCTACTCTATCTCTGTACCAAATTTCATTAAAATCAGTTCAGTGGTTTAGGCGTTAAAGCGTAACAGACAGACAGAGTTACTTTCTCATTTATAATATTAGTAGGGATACCGGAGTAATGCGCTCCGTATTATTATTATGATCCATTTTCTTTATACATTGCTTTAGAAATAATACCACGGACTTCCCAGTAACAGATTTGTATTCAAATTTAGAGTTTCTGTTTACGATGTTTTCTCACTCAGTGCCACCAATAGAATGAATAACTAACAATATTCGCCCTTTTAAAGACAGTATCGGGTGATTTTTAATAATGTTTAGACGAGGGTAGCAAAAAATGATTATAAACTCATTTGAAGTTAAAAAATAACGACTTATAAATATGATTCGGAATCCACAGTCGCGCCCATATATACATTATGTATATAGGAAATAAAAAGTCAGTGGTGTCCTAGTGGTTAAAAGGTCTGCCTCTCATGCATGAAACGCGGGTTCAATCCTGATCCGGGCAAGTACCAATGTGATTTTTCCGAGTCATATGTACTTTATAAGAGTATTTAGACATCACTGATTAATGCTTTCCCAAAGAGGGTTGATGTCAGGCAGCCGGCCGGTAGTAAAAACAATTAGTCAAAACTATTACTACATGTAAGGCAGACTCTGACAAGAGCTTTGAAATTGCCAGGAAGAAGATATATAGGAAATAATATTACTATATTAATGTATATAATATACAGGGTGACTGGTGAATTACTATCAATATTTAAGGAGAATACTCGGTACATGATTCTCATTCGAATTATGTAAAAAAAATAGGCACTTAATTTTTGACAAAATTTCCGTATAAATAAGTAAAGTGTTGACACGTTCCAAGTGTTCAAGTGTGGACGCGTGCGGCGGCGTACTGATACAACACCACGTCGCGACACGCGTATGTGTGAGTGTGAGTGTATACCTAATCTGTAGGGTGTTCACACGATGCGTAATTAATTACATAACTTTTGGTTAACTTTACTTAGAAGTTTATTAATATTTATGTTATATTAATTTTTATTTTGTCATATATGATCGTCAAATATCACGTCCTCAAATATCGATAGTAATTCACCAGTCACCCTGTATATGTGTGTATGTGTGTGTGCGCAGGTGTTCCCGGTAACACAGAGCAGTATATAGTGTCCCAGCACCAGCGGTTGGTGGAGTGGCTCAAGGAAGTGGTGCAGAAATCTACTGATGAAGAGCTGGAGCAGCCCGGAGACTTGGAGGATATTGATGGTGAAGTATTATATATATATAAGACTTGTTTTTGTATGTGAGAGGTGACAAACGAGCAGATAGAAATGTATAAAAATGAATTATCCTATCATTTTGAAAAATGATATTCATATACAAGAGTAGATTATACATAAAGACTAACATAAAAAAAAGATATTGTACAACTATCAATGTTTCTGTTGATATTCAATAAAATACTTCTCATACAAAAACTTTATTTTAATCTTTACACATAATATGCTCAGGTACAAGTTATAACAAAACTAAAAGTAGGTAGACATATTTTTTAACAACAGAGTGGCAACATTCACAAAATATACACAGTGGTACCAATGTAATAATATTGATGTATTATTCAATAAAGCTATATTAAAGTCATGTATGTATAGTGGTAAGTATCAAACTGAACGACAGCAACTAATATAATAAAGTGATCTACCTACATTACACTTGACATACTATTATAACAACACCGAGCAAGCATAACATAAGAATTGTTAATATGACAACAGTTTCTAAGTGCAATCATTATAAAACATTAATCTATTGTTAATTATATATTTTAATTTAGCATATAAAATAAGTTTAATTTGCTAATCTGAGGAAAGCACTCACAATAAATAATTTTGTTATCTGTATTCACTTAAGTCTATACTCATGTCTCTTGTCTATGATTTTGCGAACTTGAAGAACAAATTTGTAGTTTTGTTGAACAGAAAATCTCGATTTCATTTAATATAATAAGAATCCTATACAAAACCTAAATAAGTTGTTATCTATCAATAATAATTATCGTAAGTGTTATATTTCCAGAGTACGACGCTCACAGTAGTAAGGTGTGGTCACTGGTGGTTGGTGGTAGGACCTTGGAGGCCTGCAAGTTAGCTCGGGACAAGGGAGACTTGAACATGGCCACCATTATAGCACAGGCTTGCGGTGAGCTTATATATATATTATATATATGTAATATAGGGCCTGTCTGTGTACATGATAACTATAATAAGTAGTACTGAGATTACTTGTACTACTACTACTACTTATTAGTTCTACTACAGTAGAAACTCGATTATCCGGCCCTCAGTTATACGGATTCGCGATTATCGGGACTACGGACAAGTCCGGACAAGACAAAATGTCAAAGTGTAAGAGAGTGGTGTTGGTATTTGGTAAGAGTGGCGTACGTCAATGACAATTACCAAATATTCTATACCCAATGAAACTTACCAAATACTTACTCACCAATTGAAAATTACCAAATATATATTGTAATTTATTTTTTAAATAAACATATAATACTATGTACTTACATATGCACAAAACCGTCTTTTCTTCATACATTTGATTATCCGGATTTTCGATTATCCGAATGCCTATTGACAACGATTAGTCAGGTTAATAGTTTCTACTGTACTTATCACTTAATTCTACTAAATTTTCCATATATTTACCCAAGTCAGTTAGTTATTAATGTATGTATGTATGTATGTGTCAGGTGATCCGTCTTTCAAGAGTCTGTTGGAGCGCCAGCTGCGTGTGTGGCGTGAGTGCGGGGCGGAGTCTCTAGTGGCGGAGTCCCGGCGCGCCACTATCAGTCTGTTGGCGGGACTTCGTCCCCGAGGGTACCTCGAGAAATGTGACTGGCTGAGAGTACTACTAGCGGTTGCCTGGTCAGTACTTATGAGAGATGGTTGTGGTGTTACAATATATATATATATACAGGGTGACTGGTGAATTACTATCGATATTTGAGGACGTGATTTGTGACGATCATATATGACAAAATAAAAATTAATATAACATAAATATTAATAAACTTCTAAGTAAAGTTAACCAAAAGTTATGTAATTAATTACGCATCGTGTAAACACCCTACAGATTAGGTATACACCCACACTCACACATACGAGTGTGGCGGCGTTGTGTTGTATCAGCACGTCGCCGCACGCGTCCACACTTGGAACACTTGGAACGTGCCCACGCTTTATTTATTTATACGGAAATTTGGTCAAAAATTAAGTACCTATTTTTTTTACATAATTCGAATGAGAATCATGTACCGAGTATTCTCCTTAAATATTGATAGTAATTCACCAGTCACCCTGTATATATATATATATATATATATATATATATATATATATATATATATATATATATATATGAGTCAAGCCTTCGTATGAGAAGATTGTATTGAAATAATTTATTATGTAAGAAAAATATTACACAGAGAGAAGAGTGTAGTGTAATATATAAGCAGGTGACACCTAGTATTGAGGAACAGTAATAAATTTAACTAACTAAAGTCCCGTCCTTAAAAGACGACCCTGCCATTAAAGGTTCGGTTTCGGGATCTAAGTGCAGTAAAACAATATAATGTGTAATATTGGACTATAGTTTTTAAGATGTATGAGGAGGCAAATACACTCATATTGATACAAGATTTATTATTAATATGGTGTTGATATGTTCCAGCTACATATGTCCACAAGTGCCGACCCTGGAGCAGATACTACACACGTATGAGAGTTATCTCACGAACGATGAGATGAGTGTACAGCATCCGACACCCGCCTACTATAACACGTACGACGCGCGGCTGGTGAGAAACACACACACATACACAGACAGACAGACATATATATACATACATACATACACACACAGATATGATAGCATATAGGATATAATGACTCAAGGTTTGTAGTGTGGAGTGATAGATGATTTACATATATTAATATTATTTCTGAATTTTGAACATCATTCTAAGTATAAATAACTAAAACACGATCGAAGTCGCGTGCAGTTAGTTGTATATAGTTAATATATATATGTATATAATAATGTTTCCAGGATAACAACCCGTCGCCGTGGCGAGACCTGCGCTACGAACTGTTGACGGCGCGAGCGACGCAGGGCCGGCCTCGGACAGACACACACACATACACACCCGACACTATGGACTGTTCACTGAGGTATTTATTTATTATTAGGGAAACATACAGCATATGATATATATAATAATCATATCTTGACACTTATGCCAGTTAAGTTTCCACTACTGTTTTAACACAGAAGTGGACTAATTTTGATGTAACATAAAATACAACTATTAATTAATTACTAATAAGTATTTTTGACAAGCTTATAAAATTTACTTAAACTATTTTTGTATGTGGTTGTATAGAGGTATATACATACAGACATACACACGTAAAAATATACATACATATATACATAGTCATCGGCCTATCAGACCTCCCTGCTGAGCAAAGGCGTCTTCTCACACGGAGAAAATTCATACATATATACAGCTTGACATTTCATAAACATGAATCTAAGCCAACAAAGAGAAAATGCGTCTGTAAATTATAAAATGATTCACTAATGTTATAGTAAAAACATGTTATACAATCCGCCTTCGGAGATTTATACACTGACATATACAAACAGCCTGTGACATATAATAATAATAATAAACGTTTATTGGTTAAAAGATTACACAGAGTAACACTTAACCTATGTACACAAAAAAGGAAAATAAAATAACAACTGCAACAGGACAAAAATTATGTTAAAATTCAATAACAATAATAATAAGTGTGCAGCAGTGTAATTTAACCAAAAGGAGAACCACTCAGTAAAAAATAGAAGCAATGTTGCTTCTACACTGATTTTCAGTGATCTCCTAATGTGACATATAATAATAATAATAATAATTTTATTTATTTTATGTTAGTAACAACTTAATTTATTATCAATTAACTATGTAATTACATTTACAATTAAAATATTATCTAATTAATAAATAATTCAATTTTATTAGTATTATTTAATTACTATACAATTCAAATATAAATAAATTTTAAGCTTTAATTTTTAATGCATTTTATTTATAAATTTCATAGTACTTTGATAGAATTCACCAATTTATAAATCGTTTTTTATAATTTCGTATCAATTCATTTCAATTACAAAAGAAATGTTATATATATATATGTGTGTTTATTAATATCTCTCGTGTAATACATTCCAGTTTCCTGGTTGGTTCGTGGCTGGGCGTGTGTAATTCCAGCAGCATCACAGGCACGGCCGAGCAGCTGGAGGCGGCCGGCAGCTGGCACCTGGCTGTGCAGGTGTTGGCGTACCACCCCGACGACGTGCTGTGAGTATATACATACACTGCCGGCCAAAAGTTTGAGACCACCCTCATCAAAGTATGAAAATGAAATAAAACTCAAAAAAAATACGAAGTAAGAGGTTTAATTAATAATTAACATACTTATACATTCTTCCTACACATATCTCAGGAAGAAAAAAAAATTATTTACATCAAAAATGCCGTTAATATTTAAACAGATTTTTCATCAAAAAACCCTCCCTTGCATTTTATTACTTTTTTCACGAGTCTTGGCATACGACCAATCAATTTGTCGATTGTTTCTTGTGAAATATTGTTCCAGCTTTCTTGTAAAGTCCTCCACATGTCTTCTTGCGAGGAGGGGCAACGACTACGTACATTTCTATCAAGCTCTTCCCACAAAAGCTCGATCGGGTTGAGATCCGGGCTCTGAGGGGGCCACACCATGTTTTTTAACACTCCTTCTGTTTCTTTAGCTTCTAAATAACCCCTGCATAATTTTGAACTATGTTTAGGATCATTATCTTGTTGGAAAATAAAACTATTTCCAATTAATCTTACACCAGACGGAACGGCATTTTGGTGTAGTATTCGTTTGTACTGCTCCTTTTTCATAATTCCTTCGACTCGTACCAAATCTCCGGTTCCATAGCCCGAGAAGCATCCCCAGACCATAATAGAACCACCACCATGTTTGACGGTTGGCACCACACAGTCTGGCATCATCTTTTCCTCGGCGCTACGTCGAACAAAAATTCGTCTCTTAGATCCAAATATTTCAAATTTGGATTCATCTGTCCAAAGAACTTTTTTAAAGTCTTCTTCAGTCCAGTCTCGATAGGTAAGGGCCCACTGCAACCGTTTCTTTTTGTTTTGTGGCCTAAGTAGTGGTTTTCGAACAGCAACGCGACCAAATAAGTTAGCATCTCTCAATCGTCTTTTTACTGTAGTCAGTGATACAGGTTTAGACCGGGATTTGTTTACTTCTGCGCGGATTTCGGGTGCTGTTAGGCGTCTATTCCTCTTGCTGGTAACGACGATAAATTTATCCTCGCTAGAAGTGGTAGCTCTCGGCCTTCCCGATCGCAAACGATCTCGATAACTGCCAGTCTCTTTATAGCGGGCTATTGTGTTATGAACACAAGTCTTCGACAACTTAAGTTGAGAGGCAATCGCACGTTCAGATTTACCTTCGTTGTGTAAAACAACTATGGTACAACGAGTTTCACTGCTAATTTGGCGCACTTTACCCATTTTGAGTGTTTTCTTTAACAGTGACGAGCTCAGGCTAACCAAAACTTAATTTTATAAAAACTCAGGTAAAAAATATGTTATAGAAAGCGAAAATAATCCTGAACATATGTATTTTTAGAAAGATAATATAATCCTGAACTTGAAACAACACCGAAATTATTAGTAATGAGCAGCTCATAAAAATATTACAATGACTCTACCATCTGGTCTCTGCGCGGCACTCATTAATGTTTTGTAACAATAGACCTTTATAATATCATAACTTACAAATATACGAAAAGAATGACAATAATTAGTAGTTTAATAACTATAGAATACGCAGATATTCAAATCAGCTATTTGTCATATGCACTTTTAAAATATTTTGTTGGTGAATAAGATTTTTACAAGTGGTCTCAAACTTTTGGCCGGCAGTGTATATATATATAAGAGATTTCCACCTAAATATTGACTCATCACGATATCTCTGGAACCATAAGGCGTAGCGACTTGAAATTTACTAGGATTATTCCTTTCGACGAGTAGAGGTCAGCTAAGAACGGATTTTAAGAAATTCCACCCACAAGCGGGGTTGCGGGGGCATTAACGATGGAAAATTCCCATTTTCAACCTATAGCTCCTATAGACTTCAAATTTGATGGGAATCTCCTATATGTGATGTAGAAATGATCTAAGAGCGGATTTGATGACAATCTACTTCCAATATGGATTGCGTATCAGTAGCATTAAAAATACAAACAACCCAAAATTGTTACTTTTTTTATCACCAATCCCTATTTTTTTATATGGTAGAGGAAAGTTTTCTGGGTCAGCTAGTACATATACAGGGTGACTGGTGAATTACTATCGATATTTGAGGACGTGATATTTGACGATCATATATGACAAAATAAAAATTAATATAACATAAATATTAATAAACTTCTAAGTAAAGGTAACCAAAAGTTACGTAATTAATTACGCATCGTATGAACACCCTACAGATTAGGTATACACACACACACACATACGCGCGCTGCGGCGTGTTGTTGTATCAGCACGCCGCCGCGCGCGTCCACACTTGGAACACTTGGAACGTGTACACACTTTATTTATTTATACGGAAATTTGGTCAAAAATTAAGTACCTATTTTTTTTACATAATTCGAATGAGAATGATGTACCGAGTATGCCCCTTAAATATTGATAGTAATTCACCAGTCACCCTGTATATGTAATGAAATGACATTTCATTAAATTCAAACTTTCGTTTCGCGCTTTTGTAACTTGTCGACCAGAGACGCGTCACTATTCACTAATGGCGAATTATGTTTAAGTTTCTGTGCACTTTATGATTATTAAAATCTTTAGAGAGATAAACTAAGGGATATAATTGAGGATGTCATATTAGTGGACTTTAATGTCGTTATTGTATTTTCAGGTGAGATAAAAATGTATTTGTCATAGTTGAACGTAGTTATAATATTGTAAAGGCGTGTTAAATAAAACAAATTGTGGTTTGCTTTGAGAGTCCTCGATAATATTCCTTATATATATATGTATATTATCTGTCTTTATCTTCATCTACATACTATATTAATTAATTGTTCCAGTCGCGGTCATCTAATCCGTCAAGTATTGAACCGTAACGCGCCCTCCAAGTTTGAAGGTCGGGACCAGGAGCGATTGGAACTTATGAAGAAAATCAGGATACCGCAGACGTGGATATTGACCGCGCAGGCTTGGAGGGCCAAATATGAGGTAGGGAGATAGAAGTATATTATATATTACATATATATTATCTTATACCTGTCAATTTCCCAGCTTTAGCCAGGGTCTGCCTTACATGTTGTGAATAGTTTTGGATAATTGTTTTTACGACCGGCCCCCTGCCTGACATCAACCCTCTTTGGGAATGCATTAATCAGTGATGTCTAAATACTCTTAGAAAGTACAAATGACTCGGAAAAATCACATTGGTAATTGTCAGGTCCAGGATCGAACCCGCGCCCTCGTGCATGAGAGGCGGACCTTTTAACCACTAGGCCACCACTGACTGAGATATATATTATATTAATATTTATATATAAAAGAAAGTTTGTGATTTTTACTTATTATTTTTATTTTATCTTTAAATTAGTTTGTAAACTTTTTAATTGTGCACTGTTTATATTTAGTAAATGTTATGTACACTTGTCATTGACGTACATATCTGATGTTATAATATAGTCACTCTAACTGTAAATATTAAATGTGTATGTTGTGTGCTTGTATAAATTTAAAAAAAAAAGTTATATTATGATAGCAGTAGGTGATGAATAACAAGAGCAAATGACAGACATTATTCACATCTCGTCTTAATGATCACAGTTGTAAAGAAACAGAAACCATGAGTATGTAGTTTATAATCAAAAATAAAGTAGTGTATGTATGTAATGAAGATTGGTGGTGAGATAGATTAGAACATAGAAAAGACATAGGATATTTAATTCTCTTCAATAGAAAAAGAATCTTAATATATTCCAATATCTGGTTATTTATCGCCTCTAGGGCGGAATAATTCACCCAGTCAGCTATACGTATATTACTAATTCCGAAATTAACGCAAACGAAGTCGCTGACAAATACTAGTATATAATATATATATACTGTATGTATGTTAATATATTTCCAGCACAAGCCGCTGCTTCAAGCCGAACACCTGGTAGCTGCCCGCGAGTGGACGGAGGCTCACCGGGTACTGGTTGAAGAATTACTCACTGATGCTGTACTATCCGGTTAGTTACTATATATAGATTACTAGCTTTCCTCCCTCGCCCGCGTGGAGTTCGGGTATATCGCGTTTCCAAGAGAACCTTTCAAAAGTCTTGGATAAAAACTATCCTATGTTCTTTCTCGAAGTCAACTCTATGTCTGTACCAAATTTCATTAATATCAGTTCAGTGGTTTAGGCGTGAAAGCGTAACAGACAGACAGTTACTTTCGCATAAATAATATTAGTAGGGATTCTAACAAAATTATTAAAAATATATATATCTTATAAAGCCATTACTTTTAAATAACAAATCAAAACCTAACTAGAACAAACTAATTATTATTATTATCTTAAACTAAAACACCTTCAATAAGTTACATTCAGTTTACAAACACACAAGTCGTTTCAACAAATACTTTCCCTCGTAAAAGTGAACAAACCAAACGTCATCTTTAACGTCACTTCGGGCGCGTTCGGGAGTTTAAAGGTTCGGTTCAAATTAAATGTGTTGTATAAATGTATAAATATATATATTTATTGATGGCTCCTATGTATAAGGACCAATATGCAAAATGACAATTTTACAGTAGAAGTGTTAAAAGTTTGATTTAAATTTATCTTGTACTTGTGACAACTGATGATTTTGTAACTTCGCGTAGCCACTTTAACATACATGAACGTTATTTAAGCTTGATAGACTGTTTTATAAACCTACTAGTTTTTTAAATAAAGATATATTTTTATAATATACATTATGTAAGCTCTTATACATTAAAAAGTGTGTTACTTATGCTTTTTAATGCAATAAAAACCAAGTCTTTCCACCAACAAATACTCATTTTTAAAGGTATATTGTAGATGAAGTGTTTAAATTAAAAAAATGAAAATGTCTAAATTGCTATATTACTTATACATAGGAGCCATCGAATTATAGTGTTGATCCTCACTGTATGTGCAATTCGGATTGTTTTTTTTGATTACCCGCTTCTGTTGAAATTTATTACATACAGTCCATTGCATTTGTTTAATTATATTTTCTAATTTAGTTACAATTAAAGATTCATAGTGAATACACGTTGTTTGAGTTTAATCTTAAGTCTAAACACTGTATGTATGTATGTTCCCAGACAAGTTGTCAAGTATCTCCGGCGTGGTGTGTGAGCTGAGCGCCGCTGCCGGCCGGCATCTGGTGCGAGGCTGGAGCCCCGCCGCTGACTCGCTCACACACTACCTGCGGCTGTGCGAGGAGGTGAGGCGAGAGAAATATAGATGTATATACACAGGGTGACTGGTGAATTACTATCGATATTTGAGGACGTGATATTTGACGATCATATATGACAAAATAAAAATTAATATAACAAAAATATTAATAAACTTCTAAGTAAAGTTAACCAAAAGTTATGTAATTAATTAAGCATCGTATGAACACCCTACAGATTAGGTATACACACACACACTCACACAGACGCGGCGGCGGCGTAGTGTTGTATCAGCACGCCGCCGCACGCGTCCACACTTGGAACACTTGGAACGTGTACACACTTTATTTATTTATACGGAAATTTGGTCAAAAATTAAGTACCTATTTTTTTTACATAATTCGAATGAGAATCATGTACCGAGTATGCTCCTTAAATATTGATAGTAATTCACCAGTCATCCTGTATAGACCTGACATGAGAGAGATAGATATATACATGTGATGGTTAAGTCAGTGGTGGCCTAGTTGTTAAAAGGTCCGCCTCTCATGCACGAAGGCGCGGGTTCGATCCTGGCAAGTACCAATGCGATTTTTGTGATGTGAGGGTTGATGTCAGACGGGGGCCGGTCGTAAAAACAATTAGCCAAAACTATTCATAACATGTAAGGCAGACCCTTGCTATAGGCGGGAAATTGCCAGGAAGAAGATATAGACTATAGAGCGAGGGAGATAGATATATATAGACTTGACATGAGAGAGAGATAGATAGATATATATAGACTATATAGACTATAGAGCGAGGGAGATTAATATATACATAGCCCTGGGATATGACATGAACGAGATAGGTAGATGTATACATGTGATCTTTCTTATGTAAAAGGTAGCAAACCTGTTGACGGTCTATTTGATGGAAGGTAGTTACAGTCGATCATACACATCCGCAACATTTTTTGCGTTGCCAACCTCTTTCCTTTTTAAGGGATAGGGAAGGGTGGGAATAAGGAAATGGTAGGAAAGATTGGAAATAGGGAAAGGGCAACTGTCTCTCTACTAAAAGTCTACTTCACGCCGATCTATGAGAGGGTGGTAGTTCCCCGGTCGAGACAGTATATGTTCGAGCTGTAGTAACTTGACCACAGATAGGATCTACCATCTAATGAATGAATTAATATATATGTGTGTATGTATGTGTGTTACAGATACGTGATGTTGTGAACGCGGGCGGCGCGGGGGGCGGCGACGGATTGAAGGCGCTCCGCCCCTCACTGACGGCCGCTTGCAAGGCGCTGGCGCAGTTTGAACCGAGGTAGGTCATTATGATGTATGGAGTGATGACGACACTAACTACATAGATTTATACAACCCGTTATATAATATTAGAGGAAATTAAAATATATTTATACATAGACTCATAAATGTGTTAATAACAATGAAAAACTTATTAAACTATGTTAATATTGTAATCTACTGTATAGAACTAGAGATGGCGCAGCAATGATTTATGTAAACACAGTCTATTTTTATTTTATTTTATTTAGAAACACCAACAGTATACATATGCAACATTTACATAAAATTTACAGTCAAAAGTATAGGTCTTCATATGTACACCTATTACAGGTATTCACAGCACTGTCTAAAAAGTTTTATATCAACGACAACACCTTCATCTAACTAAATTAAATTAGTACTACACAAAAAACAACACTATTTAATAAACAACAACACATAAATTAAAAGTGAGACAGTTACAATTTTAAAGAGTAATATTTATGCAAAGTATGTTTGAATTTTGAAAATGAATCAAGAAACATGTCCAAATTTGTTATATCTTTATTTAGAAAATTATATAAGTTGCACTTCCTAGCAAGTGGAGAATGCGAATTAAACAAATATCTTCTATTGAATTAACGAATTATTTTTTTAATTATTGTTATTTATTTATATAATACATTACAAATTTCTTTTACGGTGATACAAAATTCCTATCGGATTTATTCGTACACTGGCATTCATTAAGTACACTCGGAACTTTTAGTACATAAATATACTATTTATAACACTATAAACTACATAAGATTTTGAATAACTGATGTTTGTTTAATTATAATAATAAAAACTTTATTGCTTCAGATAGGTCGTACATTAAAAAGTAACTTAAGAAAAACATACATATTTTTATGAGATACAAATTATTATTCATACTGGAAAAAGATTTTTTCTTAATTTACCACTCGTTTTCATTGACGCGTATTGCAATTGGTTGCAAGCTCAGCTATGTGCTGTGCTATGCTGTGATTTTCAGCTTGCTCCTTCTACATTATGTTGACTTAGTTAAAACTCATTGTTAATTAAATATTTAATTATTTATACTATTGTATGTTGACCTCGCATATGAAGGACTCCGAAGCAGTCTGCAGCTCATTCCGAGATGGGTGCACGTCTGGTGCAGTTGTCTCTAGCGGGTGGTAGGCCTTCGCCCCACATGGCGGCGCTACTAGCGGCCCTAAGGCTGCCCCCGGACTGCGCAGCGGCCGCCGCTAGTAAGGTATATACTATACACATGAGTGAGAGAGAAAGAAATAGTGTGTGAGAGAGAGAGAGAGAGAGAATAATAATAGTGGTAGAAATAAAACTATGTAATGTGGTAATGGAAATAGGAAGGGGTAGATATTGATGTTTCAGGAATTGTTAGTGTTTATGGTTAAAGATTTTTATTCTCATAAGAACATACATAAGTAAATAATGTTACACACATACATTAATATTTGATACATGGAATGATTAGTACTACTTAATATGGTCTAATATATATATTTTAAGTTTATTTTTAAAAGCATTTAAACATTTACATTCCTTTATGTAGTTTAGCAAATCATTATATAGTGTTTGTTTAAAACAAACTTTATTAACATTACTTACAAGTCACTATTGATTGCCCGAGCGTTCGAGCGACATGCATTCTTTCTCGCTCTGTGTCTTTTATTTCCCCCTCCAGTTGCGTTAAACGTTTAACGCAACCTTGTTGCAAGTCGCATAAGAAGTTTAATTACAATAACAGTGAACTTGTACTTGATATGTAAGGTGTTGAACTAACTCACTAACTTCTTCTCCTTCCAGATAGCAACTGACCTCGCTGAACGAGCATCGGAGGTGTGCCTGGAGTCGGCTGTGAGGAACTAGGAGAGAACAAACACACACACACACACACACATACACACACACATACACACACACATACATACACACACACAAGATATGCAACACTTGTAATACCAAGAATAATCAATTCAAAATGACATTGTATTGTGAATTAATGTTATTAAATGAAAACTATTATTAAAACATTGCTGAATATGTAACATGTGTGTCCGTCTGTTACAACATATGATGAGAATAGGCCGGAGAGGGATGGTTGATTTAAGAGTATTTTTGTAATTAATTAATTAATGTAAGGTAATGAAAAGTTTGTTATTAAATATAGAGAATAATATACAGGAGTTTTATTGAAGAGATCTAAAATAGAAATTCCTACTAATATTATAAATGAGAAAGTAACTCTGTCTGTCTGTTACGCTTTCACGCCTAAACCACTGAACTGACTTTAATGAAATTTGGTACAGAGATAGAGTTGACCTTGAGATAGAATATAGGATAGTTTTTATCCCAAACTTTTGAAAGGTTCTCTTGGAAACGCGATATAACCGAACTCCACGCGGGCGAAGCTGCGGGCGGAAAACTAGTTATTAATATATTTTGTGTTCTGATAGTGTATATAAGTCTAAATTCTCAATGTTCATCGTTACTCTCAGTCATGTTACAGAATGTGTGAAGCCAGTATGTATAGTTTACAAACACTAGTTGATGCTCATGTTGATACATCACAATGGTTCAGTATTATCATTCATTATAATCACTCATTATAATAATTTTAAGGATTATAGTGGATTGTAATTAGTATAACACAGATGGCGACACTTGTAATAATATTTGGACACACTCGTTAAATAAATCTCTTATTTATAATTAGAAACAATTTACGATAGCTGAATTAATATAATTACAATAAATAAAAGTTTTTGCACCTATTGCACTAGTGGTGGATAAATTATTTTTATCAAATTATTGTATGTTTATTTAATTTTATTTAACCCCTTAAACCTACACCTGGGTCACAAGTCCCAGTCACTGTTGAAGCTCCTCTCACTACAATGATGGACCCGACACACACACACCGTGAATACATTGAATGATGAGAGGATTCACCTCATGATAAATTAATGTAACAAATATTTGAAGTATGAGTGACCTATTCCCTAAATATATCAGTAACTAACTTGGGAAGATGAAATTACTATCTACATATAAGTTTTGTAAAATTCAAAGTATAAAAAAGTCAAAGAGACCTTAATAAGTTTTATATTCATCAATGTTACACAGAAAAATTAAATTTTCCTTTCAAACTATCAACTTTAATAACTATTTATATACAATTATTGTATTCTTTTCGTCCTCATGTGTGAAGTCAAGTCTTCTCCGAAGCCTGACGCGTGGTCTTCTTATGTTCTTTTCGTAGCTGGTACCTCGTCTTGTCTAACTTCATCAGCGCCTCAGCAAGGGTTTGCGCGATGTTCTTTACTTTCGGGTGGTAGTATTTGGTCCTCGCGCGTCTTATATCTCTCAACTGACGGTCTCCTAGCAAATGGGACAATGGATTCACGTTAACCAATTTAGTTCCATTTGGCAATGTAAGGTCTGTCTCCACGAATTCCTCGACTTCCGGTTCTGGAGACTTCTCGACTTCATTTATTTTGACTATCCTGTAGTACGGCGGCGCTTGGGGCCATAGATGACCTATTTTAATACTATCAGAGTTTAAAACATCGTTTATGATAAGAGATCTGTTCCTCTCTCCATCTAGTAAAACCTCCTCGGCTACTCCTGGCACTTCGGTCACTAACCCTGGTTCAGTTTCGTGATACCTGCTGGTATTTAGCTTAAAGTTTGACCGGACTTCTTTATTCACAACCCTGATGGTAACATCATGTGCTTGTGTGTGTTCATCTTTATATTTGACCGGCATTCGCAACCTCGGTCTGATCTCCATTTCCGTTTCCGGCGTGTATTTCGTCAGCATAATAGTCGGCGGCCGCTTATCTCCTGTTACTCTCTTGATCGTAAGGCAGCTTGAGATCGTAATGCTGGACTCTTGTTTCTCCGGCATAAAACTCTCTATGAATTTCTTAGCTGATAGTGTATCGTCCTGGGTCATTGTCACTGGTGTGATAGTCACAGGAGTTGAAGCTCTCTCAATCTCGACTCTTTTCAAGGTGCTTCTGAATGTTTTCGCTCTGATCAGTTCAATTCTCTCTGTACCATCTTCTTCCACACTATCCTCAAATCTCTTACTTCTTTCTTCTCCTATTTTAGTTTCATTATTTTTCCGTTCCATGACTTTCTTGAGTGTTTCAGTCAGTTTGGAGCTAGAATGTTGTTTCTTAATGTGTCTCTCTAGTTGACTTTGATGTCTGAACGCTTTGTGGCACTTGATGCAAGTCTTAATTTCGTTTTTCTTGTGTAAAGCCACGTGTCGATGGTAGTGCTGGAAAGTGTAACAGTTTCGACCGCACTGGCTGCAAGTGAATTTATTTGATACGTTCTTTGTGGTTCGTTTTCGTCTTTGTTTTAACGTCTTCCTCTTCATGTTCATGAGAGGCGCGTCAGAATCGTCTGAATCACTATCTCTATATATTTTATGTTTTACTGTGTCTTCATTTTCTTCTAATGCTGTAACTCTTTGTTTTTCACTCTCTTCTACAGGACTCGTATCAGTCGCTTCACCACTTTTTCCATCACTATCTATATCTGTTATTTCAACTCTATCTAATGTCTTTTCTTTTCTGGTCGCTTCATGACTATCTTCATTATCGACTTCTTCAACAGTAACTTCAACCCCCGCTTCAACATCCTCGTTTTTCTCTCTTCCAGCATCTATTTTATCGTCCGCAACTTTATCATTTCTTTTAGTATATTCTCCAATTATTGTTACATCTTCTTCACATGTTTTAGGTTCTTCATCATTTGTCTGAAGTTCATTTCTCTCAGATTCTTCTCCATCCGTATTTTCTTTGTTCTTATCAGATTTCTTCTCAGTGAAGTGAACGTAAAACTGATCATCGAACTCAACAGAACCATCGCTCTTGTGGTCCAGTTTGATGTGAATGGTGAAGTTCTTCCTCATTCTGAAGCTAATATTGCACATATTGCAAATGTAAGGCTTGATGTCTTTGTGCTGCGAGAAGAAATGACCGAACAGGAGTTTTGGATGTTTGAAAATCTTATCACAGCTCTTACAGTGATATTTGTACAGATGTAGCTCGTGCTTGTGTTGTCTTTGTATGTGTTTTTCTAACACATCAGCCCCGACGAGTGGCCGTTGACAATATTTACATATTTGTAAAGGAACCGTCTTCTCCGATGAATGACTGGCTGCATGCTCTGCATAAGAAGTCACCGAATCAAATGAGAGATTACATGTACCGCACTTCATATCCACACATGTTTTGTGATGATTTCTCATGTTGGTGGTATTCAAAACCTTCTTGCATCGCTTGCATTGGTTCGGGACGGACATTTTCCTTGGATTTTCTGTATATATATGAGTGTTGCAATGCTTAGAGAGGACGTCTTTCGTCTTAAAAACATTACAACATATATCACATACGTAGCATTGTTTATTCTCCTTTTTCAAATGCTCAATGAATAAACTCCTATTGAATGTTGAGAAGCCACACCGAGTGCAGTCGAATAACAAATTCTCACACAGACTTTGGATAAATAACTTGATATTCATATTGAGAAGTGACGATAGCAATGTGTAAGCATCCTGCAACATTATACTGTCATCTCTAAACCTATGTTCAGAAAACTCATGTGTTTCCACCTGACTGATCTCATCAAATACAGATTCACACTGAGAACAGCATATTTTCTGATTCAACTCAGAACATTGGTGTTTAACTTCATGATTTCTCAAAACTTCTTCGTCTATAAAGAATCTAGTACAATATTTACAATATAGTATAGAAGCGAAATGTTCATTTCTCATATGGAATGCGAATTCTTCTAAGTCTGGGAAATTTTGAATGCAGAATGGGCAGTAATTGTTTCTGTTACTAAGATGGTATTGGGATATATGTGTTTGTAGATCTACAACGTCCAGGAACTCTGCCTGGCACACACCACATACTGTGTCCTCATCTATAGCATACTCTTCAATCTCCATGTCTTAAATTCGATTTCAACATTAAAAATTCATATAATTCATAATATACTTGGTTGGTTAGTTGTTTTAAATATGACCTTCATCCATGCAAAGACATAGTATATTCTGCCAGTGTCGCGTACATTATAGAAAATAAATTATAATAATCCAAATTTATTTAAGAATGATAAAATATTTAACAGCCGCAACTGAATTCACAATTAGGAACTTTGTAAATCTTCATATTTATGTAAACAACAATAATTCTGTCATTATTTACTGTCAAGTGTCAAATGTCAATAATCCTTTTAGAATTTAGAAAAAACGATATCTAATTTTTATATATCATTCTCATATATTAATAAGATCAAATATTAGTTAATTAATATTAAAAATATGTGAGTGGTTAAAATTTAATAAATTTTTAAAGGTTTTATTAATATCTAAGGTTTGTTAATAAATATATGTAATAATGAAGGATTACGAAAATTTCAAATACATATAATACAAAACGTTAGTATTAATTTGTATAACAATAACAGAATGGCTGTCAGTTGTTCAAATATTTGTCCCTTTACATGATAATATAAATGCAAATTTTTATTTGCTCCGCATAATTTACATTCCTTTCAAATGATTTATGTATTAATACTCAATACATCAATAATTTAAAAAAATAACTGTCTTTTTTATTACATCCAACACAAATATTAATTTCGATTATAAACATATTAATTTGTCGTATAATTCCTAATAAGCAGTTGAAACAAAGAAGGAAAAAATTTAAATGGCTTCTCGTATAATAAGTACTTACTTTTGTGTGATTAATAAATCAGGAATGTATTAAAAAGATTGAAATTCAAGAATAAATTAAAATAAAATATTAATAAACTGATTATAACACAGTACTACAACAAGAGAATATAGTTTTTAACAAAAATAAAGCACCGGAACATTCGAAAAATATTAGTTTTGTTTTTTGTGTTTGTTTACCCAATATTCAGGGGCCATCTGAAAATCAGTGCTGTGCATTAGCACAGCTTATACTGAGATAAACCCTCTTGCTCCTACACTGTATTCTTTAAATTTAATTATTTTCTTCTGTATAATCAATGTGTATAGTGTATGTGTGTAGCAAATAAATGGTTTAAATGGTAAATAGTTTCATTTAAATGAATACTCTCGAAACTCTACTATCTGTACTGTCCAAAAATACAAATACAAATTAGTAATGATATAGAAAATAATATTACTATTCTACTACATTAATTCAATTATAAATTTGAAATTTTTATAGTAAATAACATAATAATAAACAAAGTATGTATTCGTCACATATAGTCAGCTAGTCTGTGGCTGTTTCTCAACATATCTCAATTCTTACACAGTATGTCAACCCAAGATTGTCATCGCGAGCCCGTACGAACATAGGCGGTCGAGGCTGCCATGCACAAAATCAAGACTTTCAGGTATTTTAGACCGGATATGAACTTAGATCTAGCTTTAGAACTCCTAATACCTGGATTTGAGTCTTTCCAGCACTAACTGCTACATCATCATAACCTAACTTTCGTTCTTATATACCACGTATTTGATAACTTTGTTCTAAGTTTCTATAAGAATTAATTATTATTTATTTATATATATTCTTTAAAAACTAATTTTATTATTTCTTAATAATTTGATATAATAATACTTGGATTTTGTAATAATATAGTTTTTAACAGTCACTCAATTTAAATAAACTTATTGTCATTATTTCATTGAAATTACAATAGTATTGTATTTATATATATTTTCAAGTTATTAATCTTATAATTGAGTTACTAAACCTTTTTAGATATCAAAAATACCTAACTGACTGTTAAAATAGTAAATGAGTTTGGCTAATATACATAGTATTTGTTATTTTAAATTTTATTTACGTAAACCTATCATTATATATAGTATAGATATATTTATTTAGTTTATAACTTGTTTTTGATTCTTTCGTTAGTTTTTCCGTTCAAACAAAGGTGTATCGTGAACTTATCCGACGTCACTCAAGATTATATTTTTGATATCGTTATGTACATTAGTAATCTTAACAAATAATAATATTACCGTTGTTTGGGAGATGAAGTATTCTTTATATTGAGATGAAAAACATTTTTAAATATTTTCTATACTAATTATTGAAATATATTGAATAATTTTATTTATTCCGTCAATAAATTCTCCATTTTTGTCTTGTATGCTTTGTATAGAAAGTATTTGGTTATCAAATGCATTGTGTCATCTCCACTATGTTAGTTTTGTTCTAAAATGTCCTTTAATTACCTATATATATGTTTTTATTAATACAATTGTAATTTAATATTTGATTCCGAAGAATTATAAGAAAAATGATATATTTTTGAATATAAATATAGTATATTATCATATATATATATATATATGTAAGTTGTTCCTTAATTAGTGTAAAATTAAATAAAAGTCTAAATATATTGTCCTCGAGACTCGGTTAAAGATTTTCTTCAATAGACAGTTCATAATGAAGTTAAAAAAAATTATGTCAGTGTGCTTTGGACCTACAGTTGAAGTAAAACTTATTTCGCTCCATATATATGTAACATGTACATTTATCTCATGCACTGGCTATGAAAGGAAGTGAGAAAGAAAATGTGCACACACTTTTCTTTCCTTGTCCCTAATATTACCTTAAGTGTGAATAAAGACGTTTTACTTCAATAATCATTTTAGTTTCTCACAACTTAATTGTTACCAGAACTTCATATATATTTTTTTATTTCCAGATCTTGATATGCGGTGATAGTCTTCAGATCAAACCAGTTAATCAAAAACTATAAAACCCCATCAGGACAAAAAGTTAACGCACAAATTACACGACCTATCGTACGGGCACAGCATCACACACCTAGCTCGGTGTCACCAGAATTCTCGGCAACGAGATAGGTCTTCCAACGATGTCTGGGAAAGAGGAAATGGATGTGATCTGCAAGGGAGTAGCGGAACTGACGCTGCTGTCGTTTAGAAAGTTGGAGGAAGTGAGGCGGCTGGCTCGACATATGAGGAACATCATTAATCATCCATTAACCAACAAGAGCCCGGCCATACTACGCTACTTGAGAGACTTGGATGAAGCTCATAGGAATATATTCCTGAAGAAACGGGAGGGAGTCGAAGTTGAATATATATTTACTACGGAGAAGAAGAGCAGCCTCCAAAGACAAAGGTTTAATAGTCTCCCCGTCAGCGATGTACCGGAAATATTAAGAGCGCAGTTCTCTATAGCTGACAACGCGAAGCAAGTTCATATTTGTGTGGACTGTGATGTTGAGATCGAGCTCGGAGAAGATATACCACTGATGGAATCCCTGCAGAAACATTTCAATCTGGAAGTGCATTTACCCAAGATGAAGAGGGAGAGTGTGGATGTAGCTGAACCGATAGTACTACCGAAGATGTCCAGGCGTTTATCTGCTATGGGAGGAGGGGAGAGCGGCCAGCATATAGAACAACTGATGCATCTCATGAAACCTACGGAGAGATTGGATAAAACGTTCTCTGCGAAACTTGAGACGGCTTTAATAAGACACTTATCTGATAAATCCGAGGCGAGCATTGACGCGGCGGTCAAATACTATCAGGAGGTATACGATAAACTCTGCCAAGAAGTCTCCGGCATAGATTTCTCTACACAGACAAGCTCAGTAGCACCTATCATTATGAGCATCAAGGACAACGTGAACCAAAACTTCGCGGCTGATGCCAACAAGAACTACGAAAATGATGAAAATGACAGACCGGCCAAGAACCAGATGAAGAAATACCGCTACTACGGACCCATAGAGACGTTTATAACGACATTACTCAAGAACCACAAGTTACTAACACTAGCTGATGACCGAACTGGAAAACTAGCCTTCTTCTGCATGGCGTGCGAGTATTACACGCTAAGATTCCGCTACGACAGCGTTTTGAACCACGTGTTCAGCGACACACACATACACAACCTCGCTTACATCCTGCAGTCGGATAAAAACATTCCATACGCGATGGGCGACACCGCAATCACTGACTTAAACAATAAGTTCCTCTTCAACTTCGGCGTGACTAGAGACTCGCGCGGGCTGAGCTGCTCGCTGTGTAAATACTCTATGGAGACAAACGACAATGTGATATTGCACATACTGGATGAGAATCATCTAGGACGACTCTCCGATAAGTTGTACAGGAAAATGAAGACGGATTCACCAGATGGGCAGACTTCTGATGAATGGGGACCCAGGAGTTTAGACTGGGCTAAGTTCTTGGCGACTGTTGGCAAACCATTGAACAACAGAGACCATGTTGTCATAGAGAACTTCATACGCCCGTCTGGAAAGCTAGCCAATTACTGCTCGTGTTGCGAAATGACCTTGAAAGGTCCGCGGCAGGTGCTGTTCAACCACATCCGCCAGAAGAAGCATCTCCGCAACGCCGCCCCTCACAAGTTATCCCTTCTCTACAAGAACCAATGCCGACCAGCTGAATACTACGCCAGTTTCGGCAACTTCTATATATGCACTATCTGCCCTACATACATCGCGCTGCCGTCCTTCGCAGCCATCGTAGAACATTTCGACAGCATCATCCACGTGGAAACGATCGCTAAATTCATCAACTGCGCTCTATATCCGGACAGCGATGATAAAATACTCGCTACCAACAGCATTTCCACTTCCAACGGCGTCCATTGCGACCTCTGTGATATATCTCTTTCTGACATCACTTCCGCTGTCAACCACGTGCTAGCTGACATCAATCATCAGAACCTGATAGCTGAAAATCGTCTTAAAGCCAATAAAGGCGATATAATAAGCGTTTACATGCGCGGGAACCATATATTGCACAACGAAGGCGCGGAGTTTAAATGCGTGGATTGCAAAGAGGTGTTCAAATCAATCCGCTCCTTGCTAACCCATCTGGTATACGCGGAACATTTCGTCAACAAGCCATCCCCGGAAAACGTGTTCCGTTTCTATCTCGAGCTGAAACATAACATATTAATGCTGTCCAGAAATAAATACGATTACTACGACTTTGGAAAGTTGAAGTGTGGTGTTTGTGAACAAGATGTAGAGGAAAATGAGAACGCCAAACGCCACGTAGTGTCGCAGATACACAGAGATAACATGGGGGCCAGTTATATTAATGTTAGTTTAGACGCGTCTGCTATGGAATGAGGTAAATTATAACACTTCTACCTGGCAATTTCCCAGCTTTAGCCAGGGTCTGCCTTACATGTAATAGTTTTGGCTAATTGTTTTTACGACCGGCCGCCTGCCTGACATCAACCCTCTTTGGGAATGCATTAATTGACAACGATTACTGAAAACTATGAGGGTAGATCAAAATTGTATAGGGACTGGGTACATCACTAGCTACTATGAAACTACTGAATGGATTTTAATATGTATTTAGGTAGTTTAACTTGAAGTATAGTTTATTTTGTCGCCTTCCCTCACATATACAGTATCCTGGCACTCATATGTCTATTCGTTTGTTTCAGTCACACTTTGACCGCGGCGTGACCTCAGCGTGACCGCAGCGTGACCGCAGCGTGACCTCAGCGTGACCGCTCCTGACCCGCTGTACTGAGAACAGTTCACAAGTGATATAACAATAATAAAATCAATATTTTATAATTTTATCATCCTTGTTTCTGTTACGAACCCGAATAATATACATATATATTACTAATTCTATTTATATATAACATATATTAACGTATTTCCTCTCAATATTAAAATTGTGTTGTTTCACTTCCGCTATTTATAATTCTATTATAATTACAAACTTCGTTTAATTTTTATATTTTTAATATATGTTAGATATAAGCTATTTTTCAGAACTAAATACAAAACGACTAAAATCTTTGTTGTTTTAAAATGCACTTAGGAATTTAAGTAACAAGTTACTAATACATAATGAATATGGCGCGGGTTCGAAACCTGGCAAGTACCAATGTGATTGTTCTGAGTCATATGTTCTTTATAAGAGCACTAGCTGCGCCCCGCGGTGTTACCCGCGGATTTCCGGGTTGTAAAGTAGCCTATGTGTTTTTCCTGGACGTCAGCTTGTATACAAAATTTTATCAAAATCGGTTCAGCCGTTTAAGCGTGAAGAAGTAGCAAACATACACACACACTCTGATAGGCTGATGATGATGATGAATGAATTGTATGAGAAAATGCTTGAATATAAAACGAATGATGTGTGGAGAAAGTGTTGTGTAATTTTTGTATAGTTGTACGCAAGTGTGGAAGACATTTAGGGATTTTGTTTTCATACTAATCAACTTTGAACAGCTTTGGAGATTTTGATAAAACTATAATAATATGATAACATATAGTATTTTTAGGTTCAGAAGAATGAATATATTAAAAAATACTAATTACAAACAAAACAATTTAATAATTCTTACAAATTAATGAAATAACTAAAGTATTTTTATTAAACCCACTAATACAATGTGATTATAAAATGATTCACGCTACCGAATGTACAGAGATTCGATTGTTCTAACGGTTCACGAGCAATAGAGGGCTTCGGTACAAGACTACAGATCTTTATATCTTCATAAAATTAATTAATTAAATCGTACTTTAATATATCAAAGAGGAGGGTTGCTCATACTATTATTATATACGTGTCTCTCTCTATGCAGTGAGTGACATGGTCGATAGATGGCGCTGACGACCAATACACATATAACGCCATATTAAAATCCAAGACGAAATTACATCGAAATACTTAAATAATAATAAAAAATTAATATACTAGCATGTTTTATAATGAACTTTATAAATATATATAGATTTATCTTTGAATTTGTAATAATTTAAACAAGACCAACTGTGACAGACATATTTAAAAAATTGTTTAATTTAATAATAATTTCAATAAATTTGTTTTCTTTAGAAGATAAGGTTTAGTTGTGTACTCTGAAAGATCTCCAGATAGTCCTTCTAGGTAATTTACAGAAAATTGACATTAAGCTGCTAAAACTATTAAAAATAAATTGAACGAGCAATTTTCAAAGGATATCGAGTGTCATTTCATAAAAGGGACATGATTATTTTATCCAAAAATGGTACCACAAGTAAGAAACTTATGTTCTTTTCTTCACCATTGGAAAATAGAGATTTCAACGAACAGAAAACACACAAAATTTTTGAAAAACGCTGATATTTTGACGGGTGATTTTTCGATTGAAAATGATTCTGATTTTTCGGTATTTATTCAAAATAAGCTGAAAAAAAAAATATTCTAATCCAATAAATCACAGTGTATTTATAACATGAAAAGAAAAGTTTTCACCAAATTTCGTGACAAAATATTGTTTTTTGTAAGAGATAGAAATAAAAAAGAAAAACTTGGCTTTTCGAATTTTTCACATAAAATTTAAGGTCATGTGAAAAAAATGTTAGGACAAAAGTTTTAGATCTTTTTATTACCTACAACTTTGCCGTGTAACTTTTTTCTGTAGGACTTTTAGAAGAGGTAAATCGAGAAAACCCGACCTCAGATCGCCCGTAAATTATTTTTCCTTTAATTTTTATAACATTCCCCTCCTTCTGTAGTGAGTTTCTTTCTAGGTACTATAATTTAATTGTTTTAAAACACAAAAATTGGATGCTATGATATTAGCTTTTTTATAAAAGGGGGCGTTCATAAATTACGTGAGGTGTTTTTCCGAAATTTCTGACCCTCCCCCCCTTGGTGAAATTTCATTCAACCTCCTCCCAAGTGAGATTTTTCAAAATGTGGGTTTCTTTAACGTAAACGCGTTTAAGGTTTTAAATTTACAAAATAAATTTTGCTTCGTGCTTAATATTTAATCTTAAGCATGTACAATCTGGATTAAATGGACCAAAACAGTATCTATTTTTTTTTTGTTTCATAGATTATTCTGTGGTATTTTGTCTCACATTACTTTTATTATACATAAATATACCTATATCTACATAAATGTTTATTATTATATACCTATCTACGTAAAATATTTTCATATATAAGTGGTATTAATATTGTCATTACTTATCTCGTCTCACACTGACCGTGAGTGAGATGAAGGTATCCTCTCGTCGGGAGTCATCTCCGCCCCTACAGCATCCATTGGGTGAGATGTGGACCAATAGGAACACTACGCATTACTTACTAAAGGTTCCCTTCGTAACTACACACGAAGTAGTATACATACTAGCTGTTTCACGCGTGTCTGTTTGATTATATCAAGCTTTAAGTAGCACTTTAATAATACTAAGTGAGTTATGAATGATGAACTGTTGACGCTGCGTGTGTAACGACGATGATACTAGGAGTAAGGTTACTGAACATTGCACTGCCTATATATAAAGTGTAGTATTAAAAATAACTTCGAGACTCGAGTTCTACATTTTGAAATCTTTTTATAATCTTATTTATGATAGAAAACTTCGTTTGATGTACGAATTATTCAGAAATATTGAAGCCAACAAACTATAGCTTTACAATATATTTCTTTCGAATTGTTTAAAGAAATATTAAATTGTTTTATTATGAAATAACAAGTTCACTATGATTTTCGTTCATGAAAATAGAGATATAGGATCAGGTGAAAATAAAACTAGGGATATTCAAACAATATATTCACACATAAATACAACGAAAACTGACACTTTATTCTCGTAACATACATTTTATTTTAAAAACAAAATGAATATATCTACAAATCTATAGATATATATCTATAGATATTGTTACTTCTATATTGTCCGTGTGTCCAAAAACAATTTCTCACTAAACTCCTCCTCTAAAGGGCGTACTGACTCCACATTCACTTCACCAGTCCCGTGTCGAATTCCTCGTCGGAGCGACGCTCGCGCCTTTTGTGACGTTTGACAGAAGTACGACAGATTAAAAATATTTAAAGTGTTTTTTTTTTATATAAAAGCAGTGGATTAAATTAAATTCGGATTTATTTTGTGGCATTTTCATATTTAAATTTGTGTAATTTGTTTTTTAATAGTGATAGATTTAATGTGAAGTGTGTGAATAGTGTTTTTTAATGCGTCGTCTCTATACATAAGGTAAGGATATGTAATTTGTTTTCAGTGATTTTTTAACATTTGTTTAGTAAATGGATAGATTTTTATATTTAGTAAATTAAGTGAGTAGTTTATTGAGAAAGATTTTAAAAAAGCAAGGATTATTATTTTTCTTATTTGATATTTTAGTGACTGGACTAGGGATTTACAAAAGGTAGGAAGAATCAATATGTAACGATACATTTATCAAATTTAATATCAGAATTATTTTCAATGTATTCTTATAAGAATAAATAGGTTTATATACCCCATAATAAAAAATATCAAAATTAAACAGGAAATAAAATAAAATAAAATGAATGAGACATAAAAAATATTTCTTTGAATATGAAAAAAATATATATAAAATTAAAGTATTATAATATGACTAACTACAAAACATTAATTTAATATTTATTAATGAGCTTTAAAGTATTATAAGTCGCATGTATCTAATATATTTACATGTAACCTCCTTGTTAAGATCTTACAAGATGTCAACGGGACTCAACACGTGTAAAGCACGTTCGGGGCAGACTGTAATGTTTATATTACTTACAAGACATTTAGTTTTTTAGTTTCCGTAAATTGTTTAGATTATATAATTATTATATTAAATATTATATGATAAATATTTTTAATTATGTATTTAGATATTTTAATAAATTTTTGTGTGACAGTTTTAAGCTGAACGAAACAATATTTTATTGATTTTTTTTTATTTTGTTAAAATGTTACAAAAAATAATCTTATAAAGTTATTAAAACAAAATAATACGTTTGTTAGTTTTTAAATAAAACAATATAATGTTATAGCTTCGTCCACACTAGATTTATAAAATATTTCGTCAATATCAACGTTTTTGTTTAATGAACGAATTTTAATGTAGTTTTTAATACTCCAAGGAGGTTACACGAAAGAGTTCTTAATCTATATATAATCTCTTATAGATAATTATTAATTATGTTTTTCAAAGTTACATAAACTATTGTGTAGTGTATCAAAAAAATACTATTACATATTATCTTAAATTGTTAAAAAAAAAACAGTAATTATTTCCATGACTGACGTCATTACGCATTAGCCAGTTAAGTGCAACTTAAATTTAGGTACATGTGTGTTTATGTCAAATAAAAATTATTTCTATAACAGTAAAGATTAAAATGAATAATAAAAATAAAAGGGGAGTAATTGGGAATGAAACATCATCTAGTTTATCTATATATAAAGATTATAACAATATATGTATACGAAAAGAGGAAAAATAATTCTAAATTGGATCTGACAATAGTTTTATACTTAAATAATGTAAATAACAAGACCAACTGACAGACATTCACATCTCGTCTTAATGATCACGGGTGTAAAGTAACCGAAACGTCGGGAGTATATAGTTTATAGTCAAAAATAAAGTCATGTAGTAAATCCGAAAAATATTAGTTTCATATAAATGAATACTGTTTCTATTGTTCTAGATATCGGTAAAAAATAACAGGAATTTCTTAAAAGCAAAAATATAAATAAATATACGTCGTTATTTCATTTGACAAACTCTTTCGTGTTTTCTCAACATAGTAAAATATAATAATTTGTCCAACAAATACTTAAATACTTTGACATTGGCTAAATATTCCACGATACCAGTGCGAATGAAGCCATAGCATAAAAATTAATTATAAAATAACATGATAGAAGCATAATAAATCTGTAAGTTGTTTTTAACTGATTGATTCTCAAGTGTTTCTCAGATAGCTGAGTCTCAGCTACACTTGAGCCGCCTGTAACAAACATTATCTTTGTACTCACTGATCTGACGCACTTGATTGATGTAATGAAGACGACTTGTATGTTACTTTATTATTGAATCGGTTTTAATGGAGTTTTAATATAGATATAGATTTAATTTCGGAGTTAGTTAGTAATTAAAATTATTGATAACTATCATTTTAACGTGTTATAAAATTATTTATTAATCTTTTATGTGTGATAAGTCTTTTCTCTTTTAATCTATATAGCGTCATTTCTTTATAATTTTAAAATATTCTCATTATAATAGTCTGTACCTAGGTACATTTAATATGAATGTCCTGACTTACTTCAATAACATCAAAATTAATAATTTACACACGTTAGATAAGTTAAAAACACGAAGAAACATACTAAAGATTTTAAATTTATATATATATATATTTAAAGATGGTAAATATTTAAACGAATTACATCTAAATATAAATCTCATGAGGTCAGTAGGTAGTCAGTGGTGGTCTAGTGGTTAAAAGGTCCGGGTCTCATACACGAGGGCGCGGGGTCGATCCTGGCCCGGGCAAGTACCAATGTGATGTTCCGAGTCATATGTATTTTAAAAGACTGTTTAGACATCACCGATTAATGCATTCCCAAAGAGGGTTGATGTCAGGCAAGCGGGCGGTCGTAAAAACAATTAGCCAAAACTATTCACAACATGTAAGGTAGACCCTGGCTAAAGCTGGGAAATTGCCAGGTAGAAGAAGAATCTCAAGAGGTTTTTTAATGTTTACGTGTATGTAGATGTTTCTGTTTCATAAAACAAGTGCTTTCATCTGTGGAATCTTCATGGCGTTGTTTATTGTTCTGTAAGGATTGTATTAGTATGGGATGTAGATTGTACTGAAATGATGAGAAGATAGATCAGAATCACAGATGAAGTGTGGATAAAGAGCCTAGCTGTGGTCAAGTTACTACAGCTCGAACATGTGCTGGCTTGATTTCCTCACGATATTTTCCTTCATCTGTCAGTGGTGTCTATACTCTTATAAAGTACATATGACTCGGAAAATCACATTGGTACTTGCCAGGTTTCGACCCCGCGCCCTCATGCACGAGAGGCAGGTCTTTAACCACTAGGCTACCATGACATACTATAGCAATAAGTAATTCTTTAAACGTAGCTTATATTCCAATTATGTTTTTATTTATGACTAGCTTTCCGCCCGCAGCTTCGCCCGCGTGTAGTTCGGTTATATCGCGTTTCCAACAGAACCTTTCAAAAGTCTGGTATAAAAACTATCCTATGTTCGTTCTCAAGGTCAACTCTATGTCTGTACCAAATTTCATTAAATTAGTTCAGTGGTTTAGGCGTGAAAGAGTAACAGACAGACAGAGTTACTTTGGCTTTTATAATATTAGTAGGGATTTTGCATTCTCTATGTGAGAAGAGGCAGCTCAGCAGTGGGCTCTGATAGGCTGATGATGATGATGATGATGATGAAGATGGTGATGTGTTTGTTGCAGTATAAATGTCTAGTTATGGAAGCACGTCTCCTTCCGACGAGGGCTTCGATAGATATGAGCCTCCTTTCTACTGCCAGACATCACACCAAGGTGAGTTGAGATCTATCCAGGATCTACACTAGTTAATACACGCGACTTCGTCCGCTTTTATATGGTAACATAGCTTCTGTATAACCAAAAATAGATTACTGAAGAACTGCTTATAAAATAAAAGATTAATAATGTGTTGAAGTAAAAGCATTTTTGTTTATAAAAATAAAAGTTAAATATGGAAATGTAATATTCAATAGTAATCTATGTAGTAATTTGGTCGTTTTAAGCAAGGGAAGATCTCTTTTTTATTCATATATAATATACATCTGTCAGTCTGTGTAAAACAAATCAGTAAAGTAGATGACAAATGAGAAAATCAACTGACAGACATTCACATCTATTCTTAATGATCACGGTTGTAAAGTAACTGAAACGCTGTTTTATGTAGTTAAAATAAAAAAAATGCGTAGTATACGAAAAATATTAGGTTCATTTAAATGAATATTTGTGAAAGTTTTAAATTTTGTTTTAGTAATCTGTATCGAATCAATATTTATTGTAAGAATAATATTCTTATACTACCCTACAATACAGTGTGTTCAAAACAATAATAGTAACACGAAAAGTGCTTTTTCAGTGAGAATTATTGCAAATAATATTGTTATTATAAATCTATATAAAAAATAACACGAGATCCAGTGACTCACGAGACGAGCTGGTCTTCCTCTCACTTATAGTACAGTGATGAGTGATGGCATTCATACAACATAGAGTCGAGTGTAAATGATAGTTGTATCATAAAAATAATGTTTCTTTGATTTTGATGATCAGGAAGTCCAATGGAGGGAGGAGTTTTCTGGTCAGGGGCTGGTGAGAGTCAGGAGTATGATCATCAAGATGTGTACCATGATGCAGGATACATAGGAAGAAATTATGGTAAGAAGATAATACAATTCAAAATACGCATTAGATAGGCCCCTTAAACGTACTTCTAAGGCAGCACTAGTAGATTAGTTTCGTTAGGTAGAGAGAGGAGCTTGGACAGTGGAGGTGAGCGTTTAACGTGTCAGATAGACGCCCCTTAAACCTACACCTGGGTCACAAGTCCCAGGCACTGTTGAAGCTCCTCTCACTACAACGATGGACCCGACACACGCACCGTGAATACATTGTATGATGAGAGGTTTTTTCTCATAAACATTTATATATAGATAACTTTGAACATAATATTAAAAATATATTTTCCACAGCCTACGACGAAATGCAGATACTGGGAAACGAACCTTACGACCTCTATCACAACACAATGATACATCAGAATTACCCGCAGAATAACGGAGGTGAGACAATCAGGTTAAAATTAAACTCACATATAACTGATAACTTGTAAAATAACTCGAAAGTTAGAAGATCTACATTAATATACATTAAAATAACAGTAATTATGTGGTTACTAGCTTTCCGCCCGCAGATTCGCCCGCGTGGAGGTCGGTTATATCGCGTTTCCAAGAGAACCTTTCAAAAGTCTGGGATAAAAACTATCTTATGTTCTTGCTCAAAGTCAACTCTATATCTGTACTAAATTTCATTAAAATCAGTTCACTGGTTAAGGCGTGAAAGCGTAACAGACAGACTGAGTTACTTTTGCATTTATAATATTACTAGCTTTCCGCCCGCAGCTTCGCCGCGTGGAGTTCGGTTATATCGCGTTTCCAAGAGAACCTTTCAAAAGTCTGGGATAAAAACTATCCTATGTTCTTTCTCAAGGTCAACTCTATCTCTGTACCGAATTTCATTAAAATCAGTTCAGTGGTTTAGGCGTGAAAGCGTAGCAGACAGACAGACAGACAGACAGACAGAGTTACTTTCGCATTTATAATATTAGTAGGGATAGTAGGGATTTAATGGAAGAATTTATATAGGAATAACTTAGAACATCGTGTTTACTAGTACTTAAAGTTTCTTTAATTCATAGGCCTAGATTGTGATATGCAATCTATACCACGTTACGACCGACCACCTCCATCCTTCGTGAGAGTAGTCAAGAGAAGAACTACAGCCAATAAGAAGGAGAGGAGAAGAACACAGAGCATCAACACAGCCTTCACTGACTTGAGAGAGTGCATCCCTAACGTACCGCCAGATACTAAGCTGTCCAAGGTGAATATAACGTAGAATAATATGATTATGATGAGTTACGATGACTAATGATGAATTATGATGAGTTATGATGAGTTACGATGAGTTAGGCTATAATGTATTCAAATTAAATCGTGATGAGATAGTACACAATGTTCTAACAAGAATTGATTGTAGATTTTCTTGCATTTGAATAGAAATTTCATTCATTGATTGAAGTAAAAGTAAAACATTACTATTTTATATAATTATTATGTGTCTTAATCTACAAGGGATGTTTAGTTAGTTACTATGATAGTATCGTATCTTCATTATGTAGAAGTTTTAAAATCTATTAATGTTTATTTATGATTTATATTAACTTTCGGAATATAAATTTTATGTTCGGTTCACAAAGAAATATTACCATTTTATTTTAGGACAGTTACTATAGTATTTCGTGAATCACCTAAAAAACTTCTTCACATATAAAATATCCCGGGTTTGTCTATAATTTGTCCGCTACAGAGCACGTTAGAATGCATCCATCTCATTAACCCGTACGTTGTCAGATGGTGCGACCGAGATCTGAGAGCATCAATGTAGCGTTCTCGAAGCTAAGGGATCGTATACCGAGCGTCCTTCCCGACACTAAGATGACTAAGGTTAGACATTATATACTAGTTTATACCCGCGACATCGTCCGCGTTCATTACGGAATTAGTTATATATGTATAGTTGACATGGATTATAAGGATACTACTTTCTGACCGCGACTTCGTCATTAGTATTATATGTATAGCTGATCGGGCGAATTATTCTTCCATAGAAGCTAAAAATAACCAGATATTGGAGTTTATTAAGTATTTTGTTTCGATCGAACAGAATTATATATCTTATGTCCTTTCTATGTTCTAATCTATCTCTCCACCAATCTTCATCCAAACCCGTACAGCCGTTAGAGTTATAAATAGTGTAACTAACACGACTTTCTTTTATATATAATAATAATTATTGTTTCAATGCTCATAGCTAGCTTACTCGCGTGCTCGCGTTTTTACGTGCTCTGTAGTAGAATAGAATAAGTTTTATTTAATTATTATCAATTGAAGCTAATTAATTTTTCTTCTATGTACGTTTTTCACTGATAGATACTTTCTTCCATCAGATAAAGACTCTTCGTCTAGCGACGTCGTACATCTCGTACCTACTCAAGGTTTTGGAGTCTGATGGGGAACCTGCGGGAGGATTTAGAGCTGAGTTGCATCATGCACCACCAAGAAGACGAGCCACGGAGACACAGGTAGGGTTCCATTATAATATATGAAAGAAAATGTCCTAGCATAAGTAATTTCTGCTTAAAACAATACCCTATTCAGTCATTGGAACGTCACGTCATCAGCCTATCAGAGTCCACTGCTGAGCCTCTTCTCACATGGAGAAGGTTTGAGCAAGTTATCATAAGTTACGGGTTCGAATCCTTCTTGTAAGGATGAAATTATTATTATAGAGACGAATCTTCTCATCATTGAATGTGTGTGTCGGGTCCATCGTTGTAGTGAGAAGAGCTTCAACAGTGCCTGGGACTTGTGACCCAGGTGTAGGTTTAAGGGGCCCCTATCTAACGCGCGTTAAACGCTCACCTCCACCGTAGGTACAAGCTTCTCTCCCTACTTATATTTTAATTCAAATTACGTACATTTAACCAATAATTAGAATAGCTTTGGAATGAGTTGTAAAATAACTAGAGAGCTAATAGTTAGTATTTAACAATCTATAATAAATTTATAGATGATATCTAAATTAATCTATAATCTAGATATGATTTTTTAGATTATTATATATATTTAGACAACACATATTTAATTTGAACCGAACCTTTAAACTCCCGAATGTACCCGAAGTGACGTTAAAAAGATGATTGGTTTGTTCACTTTTACGAGGGAAAGTATGTGTAGACGAGACTTGTGTGTTTGTAAACTGAATTTAACTTATTGAAGTTGTTTTAATTTAAGATAATAAATAATTAGTTTGTTTTTTTTTTGGGTTATTTAAAAGTACTGTCTTTCTTCTATCTGGCAATTATCCCGCCTATTGCCAGGGTCTGCCTTACATGTTGTGAATAGTTTTGGCTAATTGTTTTTATGACCGGCCGCCTGCCTGACATCAACCCTCTTTTGGGAATCAGCATTAATCAGTGATGTCTAAATATTCTTATAAAGTACATATGACTCGGAACAATCACATTGGCACTTACCAGGGCCAAGTTCGAACCCGCGGCCTCGTGCATGAGAGGCGGACTTTTTAACCACTAGGCCACCACTGACTAAAAGTACTGTCTTTATAAGAAAACTATATTTTTATAATGATTTTGTTACTATATATAAATATATTTAGACAGTCATGTGCCAGCATCAAAACGCGTCTGTTCGGCGCCGCTATACACTTGTATCCCTGAGAAAATGTCGAGTGCATTAAATGCTTGATAACTTATCTCAAATACACTTGGATGGATGTTTGAAGACTAAAATAAGCTCCCTAATATATATGAAACATACTTGTAATACATACTAGCTGATGCACGCGTGTCTGTCTGTTTATATCAAGCTTTAAGTAGAACATATAAATATAGTCGAATTTTATATATTTTTTGGGTAAATCAAGTTTTATAATAATAAAACATCTCGTCTTAATGATCACGGTTTCTGAAATGTAACCGAAACGTCGAGAGTATGTAGTTATATGTATGTAATAAAAACATACGCGCAGTAGGTACCAGGTATACAAGAAAAATATTAGTTTCATTAAAATTTAAATTACTTTATTAATATTAGTATGAAAGAAAAAGTAGATTTTTTTTAATCGATGACTGTAACTCATGGTATGCGAAATAGTTCGAGGCTCATATATTTATCTAAATAAATATTTAAATTATTTTCATACGAAAAAATATTCTGAATTTCCTTTTGGTGTATTTTTTAATATTTTAAGATAATTTTAATAATATATTCATTGTTTATAATCAGGTAATTTAAAAATAACTTGCGTCATGACTATCATATTGAATCTTCTTCCTCTTCCTGGCAATATCCCAGCTTTAGCCAGGGTCTGACAATATATTGAATGCGAACTTAAATCTCGAAATCGGATATTTTTTATAGGTCACCTGGAGTAATCTTACTATAGAATATAGACGGATGTCATTTAGGTATTCAAATTGAAATACATAAAAATATTGAGTTGTAATATATACATCTCGTAACTTTTTGGTTTTAAATTAATTTAAGCTTTGTTTTAAAACTTAATCTCTACTCTCGCCTATGACGTAAAGTGTTTAATTTTTCTAATGTAATAGTCAGGAGGTATCACGTAATATTCAAACACATACATACACTTTAACAAACAATATGGTTTTAAAATTATACATAAAATCTTTATATATAAAAGTAAATATAAAAGAGAAAAATTGTGAAAATTGTAGCAATGTATGTTCTACTTTATTCCAAGAACAATTAAACTGATTTTGATAAAACTTTACAATCATGTAGCTTAGATATGCAGGATACGACAAAGGGTATAATTTATCTTCTCACTACAAATAGTTCCTACAGGAACAACTCTGATAGTCATTTAACACACTTTATACACTTCTGAGTGTATTTTAGAGCGAAAGCCTATCTGTGGTCAAGTTACTACATCTCGAACATGTTCTGTCTCGACCGTAAGTACCACCCTCTCACTGAAGATCGGCGTGAAGTAGTCTTCAATGGCTGTTTTTCGTTCGATGAGTGAGAGAGTGCCCTTTTCTTTTCCCACCCTTTCCTGCCTTTTCCTCGCTGTTTTCCCTAATCAAGAGTGGCAATACATCCGCGAAATTATATTGTAAATGTTTGCTCGGTTGCCGCCTTTTCCCATAAAAATTTTCCAATAACACTTCCTTTAGAACAAGCTGGTGTATATAAACTCGATTGTGACTGTGGCTTGTCATACATTGGACAGACAGAGAAGTATCTGCACAAGAGTTAAGAGTACGTAGATTTTTGTAAAAAATAATTTTCCGTCCGCAGCTTCGCCCGCGTGGAGTTTGGTTATATCGCGTTTCCAAGAGAACCTTTCAAAAGTCTGGGATAAAAACTATCCTATGTACTTTCTCAAGCTCAACTCCATCTCTGTACCAAATCATTAAAATCCGTTCAGTGGTTTAGGCGTGAACGCGTAACAGACAGACAGACAGACAGAGTTACTTTCGCATTTATAATATTAGTAGGGATTAACGCGTAGTATATTCAAAATATATTAGTATCATTTAAATGAAATTTAGCATCCAAACTCCAGACGAAGCAGCGGGCAGAGCTAGTATATTAAACTCAGTGATGTTTGAACAGAAAGCAGACATCGTTTATTAGTGGTAATTTGATTACAGAACGCCACATGGCCCGCTGATAATAGAATTTATTTGATTGAACATTACTTGTATATAAAATGAGATATATTTATTACGAAATAAAGTATAATAAAAGTATGGATTTAATATATATTTACATTGATAATTATTTTTATAGATTTTCTTCAATAATTTGAAATATCTAACTTAGACTATTTTTAAGGTAAATTTAATTATTATTTTTGTTTGTTTTTGTTATTTTTTAATTATGTTTATTTTTATTGTAGATTTCCGTAAAATAATACTTTAAAAAAGTTCTTATATAAACGATTAAGAGTCAAGACTTATATTCAAAACATGTATAAATAATCTCGTCTAATTTATTTCAATAATTTTTTTCTCTACTTTTCTCTAACTATCCTCGTTTAGTACAAAATCACGGAGCTTTGTGATAATTATTATTACTTCAATATTGTCTTTAGAAAAAGTATGTATAATATAATTAAATTTACTTAACTATAGTAAAATTTGTAAATCAGTATGTCTGTTATTGTTATATAAATAAATATTTTTTTGCGTCTTTACAAATATAATTAACTGTTAAACGAGAGAAGTCTGGTTCTGAAGATTGTTTAGTTATCAGAAATAAGCTGACAGAAGTATTAAGTTCTAGAAACTGTCATGATTGGAACACCTGGAAATTTAGCTCCAGGTCTTGCTAGACTGTTACTTCTGAAAAGTAATAAAGAAATGAAACAACAATTAAGTTTCAAAGACTTATCCTTCAATATTACAATTCTTTTGAAGTTTTGTTTGGAAAAGTTTAATATATTTTCTTAAGATATGATCAAACATACACGTGATATTATCAAATACAGAACATATTATATTTCTTATATATAATTACGAGTATATTATAGTAGGTTTTGCTAGTGACTTCTTCTTTTTTTCTTATTCAATCGAACAGAATTAAATTTCCTATGTCCTTTCTATGTTTTATCTCTCCACCAATCTTCATCCAAACCCGTACAGTCGTTAGAGTTATAAATAGTGTAACTAACACGGCTTTCTTTTATATAGATTATAATTACAATGACCATATTCTCACATATATTCCAAAACCTATACTTTAGGTTTTCTAAGATGTCGGGTCTATATTAGTGAGGAGGCTGTGATCATCTCATCTCATGAAGATCTCTCAAAATAGATGAACACAAACCAGATGTCGACTGGAAGTTGTAAAACATTGTTTGTGTAAACAACAGGTAAAAAATATGTTTCATTACAACGGAGTTAACGCTTCCGTTATTATATATATATGTATTATATATATAAAATATTAGTATTTAATTTAGGAGTACTTCTAAATCCCCACTAATATTATAAATGCGAAAGTAACTCTGTCTGTCTGTTACGCTTTCACGATTAAACCACTGAACTGATTTTAATGAAATTTGGTACAGAGATAGAGTTGACCTTGATAACGAATATAGGATAGTTTTTATCCCAGACTTTTGAAAGGTTCTCTTGGAAACGTCATATAACCGAACTACACGCGGGCGAAGCTGCGACGGAAAGCTAGTAACTAATAAAACCTTACCTAAAACAAGCTTATTATTAGTAGGTTCTTTTGAAATTGTGTTATGTAGACAGAGGAGCTTGGACAGTGGAGGTGAGTGTTTAACGCGCGTTATATAGGGGTCCCTTAAACCTACACCTGGGTCACAAGTCCCAGTTACTGTTGAAGCTCCTCTCACTACAACGATGGACCCGACACGAGCACGGTGAATACATTGAATGCTAAGAGGTTTCGTTTCCTCTCTTTCTTTATATAAAACAATTATTTAAACAACTTGTTCTTACCACTAGTCTCCATCACTCCACACTACTCGTCTGCCGTCTATCATTCAATTCGTTAATACCTACTGAGTGAGTTATGAATGATGAACTGATAAAAATTTACTTTGAAAATTATCAAATATTATCGAACTTTAGAAAATACTTACTTCTAACTAAAATATCAAAATAAATATAATCATAAATTAAAAATTCAGTAGATTGAATACTAAGATTCAAAAAAATGTCAATTGCTACTTAAAAAACTTTGGGAAAAAAATCCTCAACATCGCTAAACTATAAGATAAAATAAGATTTTTGCGTATCTATTTTTATACTCAGGGATTTTTTTCTAGTAATATAATAGGTGTATTTTTTAAGTCGGGGTTCGTTTCCAGCCACGTGGTAACAATTAACCCAGTGATACCTTTTTTTTTGTTACAATTACGTGTTCTGTGTCTCCATTCATTGGCGTGTAATTTCAATTTGTTTTAACTTTATATATACATATAATTATGTTGTTGAAGTTATTTGTGCTATTTTGTTTAAAGAAACGTATTTTTATGCAAAAAAATATATTTACGTAATGAAACATTACAGCTTGGAATTCAAAATATTTTTTGTTTCTCAAACGATGACCCAAACAATAATTATGGCTATAAAATATTTATTGTATTTAAATCGGTACCTGGCAAGAACCAATGTGATGTTCCCGAGTCATATGTACTTTATAAGAGTATTTAGACATCATTGACTGATGAAGGAAAACATCGTGAGGAAACATGGACTTATCAAATTATAAGTAAATCACCAACCCGTCTTGAGCGAGCGTGGTGATTAATGCTCAAACCTTCTCCATGTGAAAAGATGCTCAGCAGTGGGCTCTGATAGGCTGATGATGATTGTATTTATAACAATTTAAATGCTAATTTATATGTTTTGTTGCAGAATGTGGAGAAAAAGGGCAAAGGACGTACCGGTTGGCCACAACACGTCTGGGCTCTCGAATTGAAGAGCGAAAATAATTTACAGACATAAAATTAAGTCTAATTTACATATATTATAGAATCTTTATTCCATTTTTTGGACTTATTCTACAGAAATAGATAATGGTTAAAATTTATCGTCACTTTGTAAGCCTCAGTAATTAACTTTACAAAACAAAGTTAATAATAATAATAATTAAATGTTGTAGTACATTTGATATTAAATTATATAGATCGAATTTCTTCATCTTAAATTATCTTTTGTTTCTTCAGATCTCTCTTAAATACATAATTATAATAATGAATTTAATTTGTAAATATGTTAAAAATTACATTTATTTTTTTGTTACATTTAAATGTATATATTAATAAATAGATAATTGTATCACACTGTTGCTTGTAATTCATTTAATAGTGTTTCATTTTGTTTAGATATTAAATGAAATAGGTTGGAATGAAAAAAATAAAAAGAATGTAATTTGTTGATATCTACTGCTGTATTTAAAATTACTGTAATCTTCCTTTTTAATTGTTTCTTTGATAACTTTTTTAATGAATTCATTTGGATAAAACTTTTTGAATTCAATAGACTTAGTCTCAAATTTATTTCACATAGAAATAATGAAGATGAGTTCATTGAAAGAATACTAAGAGAAAATAATTATTGGACTACATAGAAGTAACAATTATAAGAGATTTAGTTAAATATAATATTGTTTAAATTATTTTATAAGTCACGTCTGTAAAACAACGATGCCAAAGAAATAAATTAGTGCCAATTAAAAAATACTTTTTATTCATTCCTTTCCTTTGAAACCTAATGAAGATTTGACGAAAAAAAGTGATATAAGTACTAGTTTACTAAGTGATATAATAGGATATTTAATACTTTTTGATAGAAAAAGAAAAATACTTATTATATTGCAATCTTCTTCTTCTTCCTGGCAATTTCCCAGCTTTAGCCGGGGTCTGCCTTACATGTTGTGAATAGTTTTGGCTAATTGTTTTTACGACCGGCCGCCTGCCTAACATCAACCCTCTTTGGGAATGCATTAACCAGTGATGTCTAAATACTCTTATAAAGTACATATGACTCGGTAAAATCACATCGGTACTTGCCAGGGCCAGGATCGAACCCGCACCCTCGTGCATTCCTTTTAACCACTAGGCCACCACTGACATAAAATTGCAATATCTGGTTATTTATATCCTCTTGGACGAAATAGAGGTCTCCCGTTCAGATATACATATGTATGTAAATGTATTACTTATGAAGACATTAATGCGGACGAAGTCACAGGTAAAAACTAGTATACTTATAAAATATAAAATAAATTTATAAACAGATCATATTTGATGTATCTAGTGTAGACAATTAGTTGTTATAGCATTACTTACAAGAGAACTAAATGAATTAGGGATAGGTACTAACACTCAAAAACTAAAGCGCCTACACGTTTCATTAAGCATTAAAACAATTTGTTCTGTTCCTGTTCATAAATTTTATATTTTAATATATTTTTAGTTTTAGTATTTGTCTTATTGTTTGTAAAAAAACCTAAAGCAAAGAAATCTATAGAAAATATGATGATTATCTTTTTAAAGAAAACTAATGATAGCAGATTATCAGGTACTTAGACTGGGTAGATGAATACTTATATATTTTTGACAAATAATTTAATAAAAGGATTGTAAGTTAGTCTGTAAATATTTTTGAATAATTTTCTATGAGTTGGATATTTAGGTATAAACATTAAATGAATTATAAGTAGTATTTATTTATAGAAAAAAAACAGGCGAAACCTCTCATCATTCCATGTATTCACGGTGCGTGTGTCGGGTCCATCGTTGTAGTGAGAGGAGCTTCAACAGTGACTGGGACTTGTGACCCAGGTGTAGGTTTAAGGGACTCCTATCTAACGCGCATTAAACACTCACCTCCACTCTCCAAGCTCCTCTGTCTACCAAATTTGAAACGAACCTACTGAGGCTGTCCTTATAATTGACTAACATTTTAATATATGAGTGGCATTTGACATAAAGAGAAATGAATTTGCTATTACCTTGTATATCTTATATGTATGAGATATTATAACATTTTTATAAGAAATTACAACATTAAATAGAATTTAAATATAGTGATATTTGTCCCAACAGATGTATCTATGTACAGATGCACTTACGTTCGTTTTTTCCGCCACCAGATATTCGATAAAATACTTAAATTTATTTTTATAATAACGTAGAGAGCGTGTAATTTGCCAGAACGTAATGTTTTTTATTAAACAATCTATTTGAAGTAACTCGTTTACATCTTCCGTTAGGGCCATGTGTTTTTGGCGCGCGCCGAGTAGGATCACCATGCTAGTGTAGATATAATAAACTTATCTGATACAAATTTGACTTTGAACGAATTTTTTGATACAAAATTACAATTACCAAGTTAAATTTAGTAAATTATTGGGATATTTATAAATGAAACTAATATTCTCGGATTACTACGTGTATGTTATAATGAGGTTTAACGAGTTGTATTCATTTAAATGAATACACGCGAAAGTCTTAGATCTCATTAAATAATTATATGGGTGGATAAGTATATTTTATATGAAAAGAAAATAAAGAAATCTTCACTCAGTTACATTTGGTGTCAACATTCTGTTCTCGAGCGCATCTTTTATTGTGCTTGATTTGAAAATCATGGAGATTTTAATCTTGAACATAATAGTATATCTAAAAATAATAATTTATTATGCTACAAATCTACCAATGACTTATTATTAAATAACAATAATTTATCTTTGGAAATCAAGTATATTTTTTATTTCTACATATGTATATTTACATTATATAAAAGTCAGTGGTGGCCTAGTGGTTAAGAGGCCCGCCTCTCATGCATGAGGGCGCGGGTTCGATACTGGCCCGGGCAAGTACCAATGTGATTTTTTCGAGTCATATGTACTTTATAAGAGTACTTAGACATCACTGATTAATGCAATCCCAAAGAGGGTTGGTGTCAGGCCGGCGGCCGGTCATAAAAAAAAATTAGCCAAAACTATTTACAACATGTAAGGCAGACCCTGGCTAAAGCTGGGAAATTGCCAGGTAAAAGAATATATGTATATTTATATTAAATAAAGTAGTTAAAATCTTATGTAGATATTTTCTAAGACCAAGGAGTATATGTGATGCAAGAAAAACTGCTGCCAAGAGACTTCTCATTTACCACAACTAGCTATAATATTTAGTTATCGAGAAAACCCGTTATGTGAGTTGGATACGTCATTTCATAGAAAAATAATTTATGTGAAGTACATAAGAGTAATAAAAAATAAAACTAGTAATGAATGATTATTTAATATTAATGTGTTTTTATAATGTAATGCTTTCAAAGCTAAGATATTTAAGCTAATTAAGAAAACAAGGAATAACTGGAAGATTATATTTTGGCCTGTTAGCAGAGTTTCAGCAACCACGCTTTGTAACCTACTCTTCGTAATAAGTTGAAATTAGTAAAATTGAATAAAAGAAGAAAATGTGTAATAACTTTTCATTTTTCACTGTTTTATAGTAACAATAATAATGTAATAATCGACATTCTTATGTTTCAAAATGAATTATTGTTTTTTATTTTTTTTTGGATTTAGAAAGAAGTGGGGAAGAAAATATTTTAAATATAAACTTTTTTTATATACAGTAAATAGTTTTTAAGTTAAGAAATTTTTCACGGAGTACCCCTAGACATTATTGATGTTTATATATAGGTATATATAGTATTGCTTTCTCTTTAAAACTTGTCAGACATTTATACAATAATACATAGAATATATATCTGTCTCAAACTGTGTCAATATTGGTTTATATTATGTCATCTGTTTATATTATGTATTGTATGTCTGTGTCAGTATTATGATCGTTTATTTGTAAAAATCATTGAATTTCTTTAAACCCAAATTGCTTCCTTTTTTATGACAGAGGGACAAACGAGCAGACGGCCTATCTGTTGGAAGTACCGTCGCCCATAGACATCCGCAAAGTTTTGCAAATGTGTTGCTGCACTTATTTGGGAAAAGGGAGAGGAAAGGAAAGGGTGTGTAAACTGAATTTGATTACCGTCTCTCTCACTCATCGGACGAAACGAAGCCATTAAAGACTACTTCAAGTCGATCTTCTGTGAGAAAGTGGTAGTTCCAGGGTCGAGCCAGCCCATGTTCGAGCTGTAGTAACTGACCACAGCTAGGCTCTACCACCTACCTGTTATTCTTTAATGTTTTATAACTGTATATGGTATATATTTTCTATATTTTTCTCGGTGACACACAAACCGACTGACAAACGCTTCATCAATAAAATATATATTTTTTTATATATACGATTTTATTAGACATTTTAAATCTATCTACCAACTAAATGACTAACACTATATCATTGGAATAATTTTATTGAATAACTAAATGATTCTGACATTTGGTTGTGATGCACACCTTCCAGAGGTTCGGGCTGTGGCCTAAGTTCAAAGCACGCCAAGACCTGCAGCTAAACCGCCAGCGATTGCTGCATCGGTGCCCACTTTGGCTCCAGCGACACCTGCTAGTCCTGCAGCAGTACCTTGCGCGGCACCAGCTGTAGCGAGGTCGTTACCAACACCTGCACCGACAGCGGCACCGACGACTGCTGTTGCTGCCGCAGGGTTACCCGTCGCAGCAGCAGCTCCCACCCCAGCAGTTAGACCAGAGACGATCGCGACATCATTAGCTACTTTAGTTGCACCGATTGCTGCTAAATCTCCAGCTGCCGCCTTTGCACCTCCAACAGCTGCAAGATCACCTGCAACGTGGGCTTGAACTGCAGCACCTACAACTGCGGCAGGTCCTACTCCACCTGCCGCACCAGCAGCGGCAGTCACAGCCGCCTCGATTCCTGTTTTTGGAAGAGCTCCTATTTTGTCATCGCCAGGTAAGCTATCTGGTTTAACATCTCCCGGTTTAATGTCTCCTGGTTTAACATCTCCTGGTTTAATGTCTCCTGGTTTAATGTCTCCTGGTTTAATGTCTCCTGGTTTAATGTCTTCTGGTTTAACATCTCCTGGTTTAACATCTCCTGGTTTAACATCTCCTGGTTTAATGTCTCCTGGTTTAACATCTCCTGGTTTAATGTCTCCTGGTTTAATGTCTCCTGGTTTAATGTCTTCTGGTTTAACATCTCCTGGTTTAACATCTCCTGGTTTAATGTCTCCTGGTTTAACATCTCCTGGTTTAACATCTCCTGGTTTACCAGCTCCTGGTTTAACATCTCCTTGTTTACCAGCTCCTGGTTTACCAGCTCCTGGTTTAATATCTCCTAGTTTGTCGTCACACGGTTTACCGTTTCCTGGTTTATTATCCCCGGGTTTACCATCTCCTGGTTTGTTATCCCCGGGTTTACCATCTCCTGGTTTGTTATCCCCGGGTTTACCATCTCCAGGTTTCTTATCTCCTGGTTTGTCGTCACAAGGTTTACCATCACTTGGTTTGTTGTCTTCGGGTTTCCCATCACTTGGTTTGTTGTCTCCGGGTTTCCCATCACTTGGTTTGTTGTCTCCGGGTTTCCCATCACTTGGTTTGTTGTCTCCGGGTTTCCCATCACTTGGTTTGTTGTCTCCGGGTTTACCATCATTTGGTTTGTTGTCTCCGGGTTTCCCATCACTTGGTTTGTTGTCTCCGGGTTTACCATCATTTGGTTTGTTGTCTCCGGGTTTCCCATCACTTGGTTTATTGTCTCCGGGTTTACCATCACTTGGTTTGTTGTCTCCGGGTTTACCATCTCCAGGTTTGTTATCCCCGGGTTTTTCATCTCCAGGTTTTTTATCTCCTGGTTTGTCGTCACAAGGTTTACCATCACTTGGTTTGTTCTCTCCGGGTTTACCATCATTTGGTTTGTTGTCTCCGGGTTTACCATCACTTGGTTTGTTCTCTCCGGGTTTACCATCATTTGGTTTGTTGTCTCCGGGTTTACCATCACTTGGTTTGTTGTCTCCGGGTTTACCATCAGCTGGTTTGTTATCCCCGGGTTTACCATCTTCAGATTTGTTATCCCCGGGTTTTCCATCTCCAGGTTTTTTATCTCCTGGTTTGTCGTCACAAGGTTTACCATCATTTGGTTTGTTGTCTCCGGGTTTACCATCACTTGGTTTGTTGTCTCCGGGTTTACCATCAGCTGGTTTGTTATCCCCGGGTTTACCATCTTCAGGTTTGTTATCCCCGGGCTTACCATCTCCAGGTTTTTTATCTCCTGGTTTGTCGTCACAAGGTTTGTCGTCACCTGGTTTATTGTCTCCGGGTTTACCATCTCCTGGTTTGTTATCCCCGGGTTTACCATCTTCAGGTTTGTTATCCCCGGGCTTACCATCTCCTGGTTTGTCGTCACAAGGTTTGTCGTCACCTGGTTTATTGTCTCCGGGTTTACCATCTCCTGGTTTGTTATCCTCGGGTTTACCATCTCCTGGTTTATTATCTCCGGGTTTACCATCTCCTGGTTTGTCGTCAGAAGGTTTACCACCTTCTGGTTTATTATCTCCCGGTTTAACATCTCCTGGTTTAACATCTCCTGGTTTAACATCTCCTGGTTTAATGTCTCCTGGTTTAACATCTCCTGGTTTAACGTCCCCTGGTTTAACGTCTCCTGGTTTAACATCTCCTGGTTTAACATCTCCTGGTTTAATGTCTCCTGGTTTAACATCTCCTGGTTTGCTGTTTTCCTTCTGATGTATTTCATCTTCAACACATCCTTCGCCTTTCCCAATTACACCTGCACCAACACCGGCTTGATGTTCCAACCCCACCGCACCACCAATTCCTATCTGAGCGACTACGCCGCCCCCGACCCCCGCTGCACTTGCCGCACCCGCCTTCAGAGCATCCGCCTTGTGATCAATAAGATCTAGAGCTGGAATAAAAAACATATAACTAATTACAACAAGAATACTACAAGCAAAGATTAGAATAGTTTTAATTAGTTTATAAATGTTAAAAAGGTTTGGACGAAACACATTTAATGCCTCGATACATCGCTCTTCTTTTGTTAAAGGTAAACTTAATCCTCAATGATCGTATATCTGAGTGGTTGGATGGAATGTTTGGACTCTAAAACAGTGCAGGTTTTGATGACCATGAAGACTTTTTAAAGTCCACAAAAACTAGAAAAAGCGATGCTCACACTTTTTGGTCTTTTTGGGTGATTTGTCAAAAGTTTTACAGCTTGTGATCATCGTCAAATTAGCTGAAATGCATACTTGTTGCTTTATATTAATTAATTTATAATATTCATTATTTTTAGTTTGATTTAATACACATATGATTTTATGAAATAGTATTTTATTTTTAAATTTAATAAGATTTTTTTACAATTACGAAGTTTCATCTCTTCCGAGCTTAGGTATTCCAAACACAATTTCTTCTTTATTTAATCTCCTTATTTATTAATTTTGTTTATTATAATAATATAATTAAAATGACGTAACACAATATATTTTTTATTTCAAGGTAATTTCATTTATAGGACAAGACTGGCAGATACTTATATTCTTACTCATATCGTCAACAGTTTATCATTCATAACACTTTTCAGCCTATCAGACCCACTGCTGAGGAAAGGCTTCTTTCTCAAATGGAGAACGTTTGAGCATTAATCACCACGCTTGCTCAAGACGGGTTGGTGATTTCAAACTTATGATTGTGAAATTATTAGTCCAGGTTTCCCACGATCTTCTTCATCACCTTCTGTCAGTGGTGTCTAAATATTCTGAGAAAGTACATAGTACTCGGAAAAATCACATTGATACTTGCCAGGATCGAACCCACGCCCTTGGGCACGAGAGGCGGGCCCTCTAACCACTAGGACACCACTGACTCAGTATTAACGTATTGAATGAAAGACGGGAGACGAGTAGTGTGTAGTGATGGAAACTAGTGGTAAGTACACTGTTCTTGGGAAATACTTAAGCTCATAAATGTCTTTGTTCCGAACTTATTTTTGTAACAGAATTAAAATATTCTTTACCATTTGATTAAACATTGTGTCATTTAATAATTATATACAATAAACACATACATATATTGGAATTATATTTTATTTCACCTATATAATCTATCATTTTGTCAATCACTGAACATTAGTTCTATCAAAAAGGAAGCGGGCATTCCAAATATTATTCTGTAGCAAGAAGAGTAAATGCATAAAATAATATTAGTGACTTTGAATATAAACAAAAAAACGAAAAATACTCACTCGGATGCGGCATAGCATTGACTGCAGCGCAGCCCTGAATAAAAAAAATACATAATTAATATTATTATTAATTAATTCATTAATATATTCCCAAAGAGGATTGATGTCAGGCAGGCGGCCGGTCGTAAAAACAATTAGCCAAAACTATTCACAACATGTAAGGCAGACCCTGACTAAAGCTTTGAAATTGCCAGGTAGATTAATAAAAGTAAAATAAGTAAAAAGTAATTACTCACAATAACTAATAGTGCGAAGTAACTCATCTTCGATGTCACTTACAACTATGAAACGAGTTTAAGATACAGCATTATATATGAAACATGGAAGCGTTACTAAAAATATGCAAACACACACTGACGCAAATATTTTAGTGAAATTTGAATAATAAATATATGTTTTATTAGATACTAATTATGTATTAATAACAATAGAATGATCTAGAAAAACTAATGTCATTTATATATATATATATATATATATATATATATATATATATGTATATCTTCTTCTTCCTGTCAATTCCCAGCTTTAGCCAGGGTCTGCCTTACATGTTGTGAATAGTTTTGGCTAATATACGTGTGTATATATTTTTATGTTTTCGATTAACCTAACTTCTGTTCCAATGTGTGTTAGCATCTGATACAATTATTTCAGTTTTTAATTGCATTAAATTGGTTTATATATAATAATTGAATTAATATAACATTTTATAAAACTAAAATAATAATCCAATAACAAAAACGATATAGTATAATGAAAATGTAATACTTTTTATTAGAATTTGTGTATTTTGCCTCAATTTATATTAATTTCTTTTAAAATATATATTTTTTTTCATTTAAGAAAATAATATTAATTTTAAAACAGGTAAAATTCAGAAACTTTTATGCACTTTTATGTAATATCTATTTTTTTAAATTCGTCGTTTTAAATTGTGATTCAATTCAGAAATCTTTGAGTTTTTTAATTGGTACAAGTATATACAGTTTTCTTTACTAGTTAGTCATTATTATAGGACTATTTCAAACATCTACTACTTAGTTTAGAATAAAATATTTCATACCAAACAGAGTCACTACATTGACAATAGTTGAACGGAGTTCAGGACTTTCTGGTTTCAAGCATACTACCTTCAAAAAAAGCGTAAGCAGTACGCTATCTACCCAGTCCACTGAGATACTCTGTCCTAGTTGACGGGAGGTAGTCAGAAAACTTTTTGCATTTATGTCTAGACTAAACATTCATCGGATGAATCTAGCTGTTCATTAATTTGATAGTATTTGTTTTATTTTACAAGCTCTGTATTATTCAGTAGGATGTCCAATAATAAACTCGTTATTCGCATAGCTCTTAATGCCTGGAAATCTTATTGTGAGTTAACCAGAGCGAATTCGTAAGCATGACAACTCGAGTGGTCTGTAGACCAAGAACAAAACCTCTTGGTGATGAGCATAGAAACTAATAAGATTTTGACATTCCTCAAACCAAGTTGTGTCATCGTATTGATAAGAATAAATACTATGTAGTTTGATTCCCATAATCCACAAGGACCTACAAGACCGATAGATCACAGTTTTTGGAAGGTAGAAGTGATGATACAAGACTTCCTGTCTAGTATACATCCCTAAAACTACCACGTCTCAGGAATCCATGTTTGATCCTGTTGGCAAGGTCCACTAAATAAAATCCATCAAGAAAAATGGTCGACTATTCAGTATTCAGTTACTGACGAAGTTCCTTGAAATTGCAGAAATACACTAAAGTGAAAGAGGAAGACGTTAAAAAATTCCTTGTGTTTGATATATATATGTATATATGTATAAGTATTGACGAAATAATCAAGCATTTAGTTCTGATTCTACGTTTTTTGAGTCGATAAAGTTAATATATTAATATTTTTTTAGTTTCTCTACTATAAATATTTCTTAGCCCACTGCTTAGCCTCTTTTCACATGGAGAAGGTTAGAGCATTAATCACCACGCTTGCTCAACATGCTTGGTGATTTAAACTTATACTTTTTAATTATATATAATATACATAATAAAATATAAGTTAGTCAGTGGTGGCCCAGTGGTTAAAGGCCCGCCTCTCGTTGCCGAGGGCGCGGGTTCGATCCTGGCCCGGGCAAGTACCAATGTGATTTTTCCGAATCATATGTACTTTCTAAGAGTATTTAGACATCACTGATTAATGTTGATTCCCAAAAAGAGGGTTGATGTCAGGCAGGCGGGCGGTCTTAAACACAAATAGCCAAAACTATTCACATCATGTAAGGCAGACCCTGGCTATAGCTGGGAAATTGCCAGGTAGAAGATACATAATAAAATATAAGTTAGTCCAAAGCAGGCTCTGGGATAATGTTCGTCTTTGAAACCAATTTTATTTGATCAAGTGTTGTGCTCAAACAAATATTCTCCATTATTATATGATATGTAAATTATAAATATGTTTCAACATGTATGACTCAATAACTTAAATACGAAACTTATGTTATAGAAAATGATTAAAATGTATACTTGAACTACTGTGAGATTGAAAAAAATATACTTTTATATATAAATCAAAGTTAGTTCAATACTTAGTTAAGAAAAGAATTTTAACTGATACAATCTATTGTTTTAAAAAAAAATCCAAAATCTATATATATATTTTCAATTGTAGGCTCTAACTGGCAATTTCCCAGCTTTAGCCAGGGTCTGCCTTACATGATGTGAATAGTTTTGGCTATTTGTGTTTACGACCGGCCGCCTGCCTGACATCAACAATCTTTGGGAATGAATTAATCAGTGATGTCTAAATACTCTTAGAAAGTATATATGACTCGGAAAAATCACATTGATAATTGCCAGGATCGAACCCGCGCCCTTGTGCATGAGAGGCGGGCCTTTTAACCACTACGACACCACTGACTAACTGATGTAATAAGGAGTGATTTAAGATAACTTTTTATCTTGATCCCGAAATTAATCGTTATTAAGTTTTAACTTGTTTTTTTAGTTTTTTTAAGCAGACGGTATCACGGGTAACAGTTAGTATATTAATATACATTGAGAATTCAGTAAATAAATATTTCTTCTTTAAATAGACTATTTGTTTGGATTTGAATCTTTTTCTTTCTCTCGAGAGATCGTTCTTGAATACAATATCGTACAGTTTTAGAATTAAAACATCTAAATTCAATAAAATATCTTTTAATATTTTCCCTTACATACACAGAACGAAAATAAATCACTTATACCCTTCTTACTTTCTCAAATCTTTCTAATATACATATATATAATATATACAAAAAATATTGTTATTAAAATCTTCTAGAATATTTATTTAAGTGGCTTCATCTTAAACTATTATTATTTCGATTATTCTTCTATCAAATTTTAAATATTATATGTATATGTTTTTATTTAGACTTCTATATCAAAATATTTTATATAACGTTTGCTTATATTATATATTAGAAAAAAAAATGAAATCATAGTTTTCATTCAATTTTAATATTCATTCAATATTATACAAGACAAAAGAATAGCTACAATAATTAGTTTATAAAATAAATTTCATAATGACGTCATTGGTGCCAAAAATAAAACTGAAAATACAGTACAATCTTTATTTCAATATCAGTTCTGTAGATATTGAATTATTAACATACATACAAATTCTTTAAATGAAGTCCGATTAGGTTCTTTTCTAATTTCGTAGAGAGAGGAGCTTGTACGGTGGAGGTGAGCGTTTAACGTTAGATAGGGACCCCTTAAACCTACACCTGGTTCACAAGTACCAGTCACTGTTGAAGCTCCTCTCACTACAACGATGGACCCGACACACGCACCGTGAATACATGGAACGATGAGAGGTTTCCTCTACTTGTGTACTATAATTAGATGATGAACTATATTTAAAAGTACAATTTATACTAAACAATAAAAACTTTTAGTTCTTAGTAATGTTTCGAGTTACTCGCTTAAACTGATAGTAAATAGTTTCGTCTTCCTGAAAACGTGATTACCAATCGTAGATGGTAGACGTCTAACTGGAAGTTAGCCGTTTGTAATGATTATTCAGCTAAAGATAATAATAACATTGTTTATTTAAGCTCATCAAGATAACCACATAATCAGAATGATAATGAGAGACTAGAATGTTTATTATGTATATAATTAAATAATATGTCAGAGAATACACTTGAATTAAATAACCTAAACGTAAAAAGATGAGCTTTTGAAAGCCACTGGTACATCACGTTTAAATGTATGTAATGCAACATGAGATAGACGAACACATCAGTCAGTGTACTACAAACTGCTATAATAAAAGAATAAATCAAAAAATATGTTCTTTGCACAGACAGAGTTTGTCAGACTAAATAATTATAGAAAAGAAATCTTGCCTGAAATAGTTATATTAGGGTTTTTAACTTCTAATCATGATTCTTAAAGATAACTGACTGCAAACTTAAATTTGTTGAATATTTATTCTAAAGAATGAGTAAATTAAATATCAATATATATTAATATATCAACTATATATTGATATATTTGTATTATTACGAGTATTTTATTTTTGTTTATAAACTACATAATATACCCGAATTTTCGGTTACTTTTCAGCAACCGTGATAACGGGCAGACGAAATGTTATTGTCTGTTCGTTGGTCTTATTATATAAACTAAGCGTAGTAATCCGAAACAAAATATTTTCATTCAAATTTTAATACTTTAAACAAGCTTTTCATCTGGAGAATCTATCACTATATTGTTCTTTAAATGCAGGTCGTATTTACGTACGCCTGCAATTTCCAGATTATACCTGACAGCTGGAAGTTTTCAAAACTTCTCCACCATATAGTTCACATTTAAGTAAAGTTCTTCAACAGATGAATTATTCTTTACATTCTCTTAAACTAATGAATATTTAATTATTATCAAACACATCTGTTGCAATAAAAACGTCAGAGTGAAGTCAGGAGAAGCCATCGAACTTAATATGTATGAATCACATTTGAAAGACATTTTTATTGTTAAAAATAATATAAATAGTGCAGTCGTTTATTAATTTCATATACTTTTGTTCCATAATCATGAAAGTAGCAGTATTCGTGGTTATTTTAGGGGTAAGTGCTAATTGATTTCTTGAGACGCGATAGTTGTGTTGTAAAAGGAATTGTACGCGATATATGTATATAGGTAGCAGGTTCGAATCCCGCCCGTGTATATATTTTATTCGAGTATAAGTTTAATATTGATGTTATATATTAGTTTGGATGTAATTTATAATGTATTTATAAAGTATATGTATTAATTAGAAACTGTTATAAAGTTTTCTAACAACAAAATGATATTTTAAAGAGTTGGTTGCAGTCGAAACTCCTGTCAGTATAGTGTGTATATGACACTTATATATTTTATCGCATATATGTATGTATATATTTAATCAGTGGTGGCCTAGTGGTTAAAAGACCCTCCTCTCATGCATGAGGGCGCGGGTTCGATCTTGGCAAGTACCAAAGTGATTTTTCCGAGTCATACATATGTACTTTATAAGAGTATTTAGACATCACTGATTAATGCATTCCCAAAGAGGGTTGATGTCAGGCAGGCGGCCGATCGTAAAAACAATTAGCCAAAACTATTAATAACATGTAAGGCAGACCCCGGCTAAAGCTAGGAATTTGCCAGGTAGAAGAAGATATATGTATATATTTCTGAGAAAATTTATTAATATGCTATTAAGCATAAACAAAACATGTAAATAAAAACAAAATTGCTTGTTTTTTATATATATTGAACATCTTTGTATAATCCTTGTTCTCATCTTTCAGTCTCTGTTGGTGCTGGTGAAGGCAACACCTAGTAAGTATAAGAACAGTTAAGGTCACATATAAAATCTATTTTCTTATATTAATATTTTTTTTCAGCTATATGGCCGGAGTCTTTGCCAAGTGAGTTACAGATAATAATCTTCTATATATATAAAAATGGATTGCTGTTCCTTAGTCTCGCTAAAACTCGAGAACAGCTGAACGGATTTATCTTATCTTAGTCTTGAAATGTTCGTAGAGGTTCAGGGAAGGTATAAAAGCTGAAAAAAATTGATTAATAACTGGGAAAACCATAAAAACAGCCCTTTTCTATTTCTCATACAAACGTTATTTTGACATAAGATTTGACAACTAACTAATATGTCAATCATTCTGTCGCACTTCAAAACACGGAGATTTACAGGTAAACTCCAAAAATATAAATAAAAAACGTAATAGATATTTCTTGATTATAGGGCGATACGAAGTTCGCCGGGTCTTCTAGTCATTATATAAATAAATATTTTATAAGATTCTTCTGTGATCAATTCTTCTGTTGATTATGCTATATATTTCTACCCTTCTCCCTTTAATAATCTTTATCATTGTTTAAACAATTTTGCAATAAATCCTTACCTAAATGTTTCAGCGAAATGCGGCAAGCATCCTGTGAGCAAACCAGATGAAGATGACCCTGATGATGAGCCACATACACATAAGAAGCATAAACATCATAAAAGGAAACCAAAAGATGATGATGATGATGATAATGATGATAATGATGATGATGATGATGATGATGATGAGAAACCTAAACATAAACGTAAGAAGTGCAAGCACTGTCATCATCACGACTGGTACGGTGATGATATTTCAGGAGTTGGTTTTGGAGTAGGAGTGGCCTTTTAATGATGAGGTGATAGAAATACACATATCTCCGTCTCGTCTTAAACTTTACAATAATATTTTGTATTACATTAGTGTACTTATTTTTTATGTAAATTTAATGATGAATATATAAATATTATAAAAAATCTTTGTTGTCATTTTTGTCTGTATTAACTGTACCTCTTCTCTTTGATGTCGGTAACTTAACCTAAGATTACATTATTTTATAATTTTAATGCATTAAGATTAAATATTCGTTCTTAAAATAAATATATGTGAAAAGAATATTAATTTTGTTTTCCTTATTAATTAATTAATATTATTTCATTTGAATTAATAATTTAAAATATTATAGATTATTTAAATAATGAAATACAATACGTTTAAAGAACTGTCATCTATGCTCTGTGTTACATTCTATAGACAGGGAATTAAGGTATAAAATATATAAGACATTCTCCTATCTAAGCTTGGTATGACAATATAAAGTCCCATCAAAATTTGTCCAGTGTTAGGTAGAGAGAGGACTTTGTACGGTGGAGGTGAGCGTTTAACGTTAGATAGGGGTCCCTTAAACCTACACCTAGGTCGCAAGTACTAGTCACTATTGAAGCTCCTCTCACTACAATACTGGAAATCACACCCACACGGTGAATACATGGAATGATGAGTTTTCATCTCTAATTAAAACACAAACTAACGTCCATACATCAGTTTAGACATAAGATAATATTGGTAAAATTTATTTCTTAAGCATAACTAAAATAACTAAATTATTAAGAAGATTTATATGTGTGTATGTTCTGCCACTTTTGCTGGAAGGTTTTCCTTTTCATCAACTCCTTGCAGGTTTTCCAGGTGTTACAATAATTTAAGGAATGTAAAAATAATCTATATAGGACTGAACTGGAAATAGAGTATATACAGATCTTTAACTACAAGTCTTGGTGTCCTAGTGGTTAAAGGTACGCCTCTCATGCATGAGGGCGCGGGTGCGATCCTGGCAAGTACCAATGTGATGTTCCGAGTCATATGTACTTTATAAGAGTATTTAGACAACACTGACAGATGAAGGAAAACATCGTGAGGAAATAAGGACAAATAATATCAAATTATAAGCTTGAAATTACCAACCCGTCTTGAGCAAGCGTGGTGATTAATGCTCAAACCTTCTCCTGATAGGATGAGCATTAATAGTTTGTCATTCATTAAACGTAGAATATTTTAGTATCAACGAAGGTGTATCAACTCCAAACGCCGCGTTTATAGTAAGAATATTTAAACTTGTGTTAAAGGCTTTCAGTTACAACAAGACGTAACTACAAAAGATATTATATGATAGAAGAAATATATATATACATAATATATAGGGTCTGATACCTCAAATACACTTATACATCAGTGGTGGACTAGTGGTTAAAAGGCCCGCCTCTCATGCACTAGGGCGCGGGTTAGATTCTGGCAAGTACCAATGTGATTTTTCCGAGTCATATGTACTTTATAAGAGTATTTAGACATCACTGATTAATGCATTCCCAAAGAGGGTTGATGTCAGGGAGGCGGCCGGTCCTAAAAACAATTAGTCAAAACTATTCACACCATGTAAGGCAGACCCTGGCTAAAGCTGGGAAATTGACAGGAAGAAGAAAATATACATTCATATTAGTATCAAAGTTAAAATCTTTTTAATTAAACTAAGTTTCTCAGATACTAAGCGCCTTTTATTATTTTATGAGTTATCACCAAATATGTGTGTTTTCGTATGCCCTAGATGACAGCTTGTGTAAAGAAACGAAAAGTCAGAATTATGGAGTTGTGTAAACTTGGATTGTTTTAAATGTAAACGAGAAAATTTTAGATATCATTAAAATCTTTTACATCTTTGTTATTTACTTTTCAATACAATAAATTTATAAGGGATCATATTGTTTATGACTCTGAACATTTTTATATCATATATGTAACAATGAGGCAATCTTTCTCTTAACATACTTGTTTGTTTTCTTGTTAAATAAAAATTTCTGAGGTGGTTTTAATAAAATTGTCTTTTCATTGATAAGCTCAGAGAAGTTAGTTTCTTATTATTTAGGATGGCAGAGCAAAAGAATTATAAAAAAGCATTAATAGTGCTTCAAGTTCCTCTGCGTGGAAGAAGTGAAAGTTCATAATGTTGGAATGAAAACAGAAAGGGGGTGGGAATTGATTTTTAAGGAATATTTGAGTGTTTCTTTAATACAAACTTTATTAACATTACTTACAAGTCACTATTGATTGCATGCGTTCGAGCTCACTCGCTCTGTTTCATTAATTAATCTCCCAGGAGCGTTAAACGTTTAACGCAACCTTGTTGGAAGTCGCGTAAACAGTTTCACTTCAATAGTAATAATAAAAATGTTTAATTTATTTTATATGAAAATTCCAATCAATCGGATTAAGAATCTTTAATCACACTAATAATTGAATAGCAAAATAAATAAATAAAATATCAAAACATTATTTTATTTTACGATTTATTGAGTTCTATAAGAGAAACAGAATAATAAAGTGACAGACTGGGAGTAAAGGTTGAAGAACGATTGGTCACAAAAATTGATCATGAAAAGGATGTCTCACAAACCTTCTCTATGTGAGGCTCTGATAGTCTGATGATGATGATGAATGAACCTTATAAAAAGAAGTCTTCACAGTCGTTGTAGCTAATTATTCAGAAATATTTAATATACCTATATATTAAGTTAGTTACAATAAAAATAACTTTTATATACCATACAAATAAATATTGAATAGTATTTATTTACAAACAGTGTGAGTGAACTGAGTTATGTTAATTTATTTATGGCACAATACATTGTTTATTTATTACTTGTATATAAATGCAATTAAAGCTGCAGTTTCAATAAGTTCTTCATCAAATATGAAGCTGGCTCTAGCAGTAGTGATATTTGGGGTGAGTGGTAATAATATACATATTTTTAAGTACCTAATATCAAATTTTAATATGATTCTTAATTATCATAGATTAGATTGATTACTTTATAATATTTATAAAATATATTTAGTTTAAAATAAATATAAAATTGTTGTTAAAATTACAAATTTATAAGATATATGTACTTTTTATTATAACACAACTAAGAGTTTCCATTGTTAAATACATTTTTTTATATTCTTCTCTGTAATATGATATATAATATTTTAAATATATGTTGCATATTATAACGAAAAAAAGATTTTGAGTCATATTTTTCTGTAAAATTCAATAATTCGAATTAACTTTAAAATTCATATTATATTATACTATCAAAAGGTGTAGTAAGAATAATATTGATGATTCCCTTAGTTGATTTACAAATATTTTTTTATTTACTAAATGTTTTTATAGTAAATATGAAAAAAAACCTAATTTTTCTCTTCTATTCCCTTACAGTGCGCGGTGGTGATGACACACTCGTTACCGAGTAAGTAGTATACTATAATAAATAAACTAAACAATACATAATAATATGTACTAATATATATATTCGTGGTGTCCTAGTCGTTAAAGGGCCCACCTCTCATGTATGAGGGCGCGGGTTCGATCCTGGCGAGTACCTACTATGTTATATGTACTTTATGAGAGTATTTAGACACCACCGACTGATGAAGCAAAATATCGTGATTAAACATGGACTTGTAATTACAAATTATAAGTTTGAAATCACCAACCCGTCTTGATTAATTAAGCGTGGTGATTAATGCTCATATGTTCTCCATGTGAGAAGAGACTTTTGCTCAGCAGTGGTAGGCTGATGATGATGATGATTTCTAATATACCAATTTTTTTCTTTTTCAGCCATACTACCCAACAAGATACTATGTAAGTAATTTTCATATAGTTGACAAAACGAATATGTAGTTACTGTAACTTCAAAAATAAGTAACACATCATACTTCTTTCTTTAGTTAAAATAAATTGAATATTTTATTTTATAGGTCACTTCACGGATTGTATAAAACCACCTGAAAAGGATAAACCGGACAAAGACAAACCAGACAATGATAAACCAGACAAAGACAAACCCGATGAAGATAAACCCGATAAAGATAAACCAGATAAAGATAAACCAGATAAAGATAAACCGGACAAAGATAAACCGGACAAGGATAAACCAGACAAGGATAAACCAGACATAGATAAACCCGATAAAGATAAACCAGATAAAGACAAACCCGATGAAGATAAACCAGATAAAGATAAACCAGATAAGGATAAACCGGACAAGGATAAACCAGACAAAGACAAACCTGATGAAGATAAACCCGATAAAGATAAACCAGATAAAGATAAACCGGACAAAGACAAACCGGACAAAGATAAACCGGACAAAGATAAACCGGAGAAGGATAAACCAGACAAAGATAAACCCGATGAAGATAAACCAGACAAAGATAAACCCGATGAAGATAAACCAGATAAAGATAAACCAGATAAGGATAAACCGGACAAGGATAAACCAGACAAAGACAAACCTGATGAAGATAAACCCGATAAAGATAAACCAGATAAAGATAAACCGGACAAAGACAAACCGGACAAAGATAAACCGGACAAAGATAAACCGGAGAAGGATAAACCAGACAAAGATAAACCCGATGAAGATAAACCAGACAAAGATAAACCCGATGAAGATAAACCAGATAAAGATAAACCAGATAAAGATAAACCGGACAAGGATAAACCAGAAAAAGACAAACCTGATGAAGATAAACCAGACAAGGCTAAACCAGACAAAGACAAACCTGATGAAGATAAACCAGACAAGGCTAAACCAGACAAAGATAAACCAGATAAGGATAAACCAGACAAAGATAAACCCGATGAAGATAAACCCGATAAAGATAAACCAGATAAGGGTAAACCGGACAAGGATAAACCAGACAAAGATAAACCGGACAAAGACAAACCGGACAAAGATAAACCGGACAAGGATAAACCAGACAAAGATAAACCAGATAAGGATAAACCAGACAAAGATAAACCCGATGAAGATAAACCCGATAAGGATAAACCAGACACAGATAAACCCGATAAAGATAAACCGGACAAAGATAAACCAGACAAGGATAAACCAGATACAGATAAACCCGATAAAGATAAACCAGATAAGGATAAACCAGACAAAGATAAACCCGATGAAGATAAACCCGATAAAGATAAACCAGATAAGGATAAACCGGACAAGGATAAACCAGACAAAGACAAACCTGATGAAGATAAACCCGATGAAGATAAACCGGAGAAGGATAAACCAGACAAAGATAAACCAGACAAAGACAAACCCGATGAAGATAAACCCGATAAAGATAAACCAGATAAGGATAAACCGGACAAGGATAAACCAGACAAAGACAAACCTGATGAAGATAAACCCGATGAAGATAAACCGGAGAAGGATAAACCAGACAAAGATAAACCAGACAAAGACAAACCCGATGAAGATAAACCCGATAAAGATAAACCAGATAAGGATAAACCGGACAAGGATAAACCAGACAAAGACAAACCTGATGAAGATAAACCCGATGAAGATAAACCGGAGAAGGATAAACCAGACAAAGATAAACCAGACAAAGATAAACCCGATGAAGATAAACCAGATAAAGATAAACCAGATAAGGATAAACCAGACAAAGACAAACCTGATGAAGATAAACCCGATAAAGATAAACCAGATAAGGATAAACCGGACAAGGATAACCCAGATAAGGATAAACCGGACAAAGATAAACCAGATAAGGATAAACCGGACAAGGATAAACCAGACAAGGATAAACGTAATGACTATGATGATGATGATGATGAAGATGAAGATGACGATGAAGATGACGATGATGACGACGATGAAGATGATGATGATTGGCCCAATGATGGTGAACGAAGACACAGATATAGACCGTACCCTCCTGATAATGGATATGGTGATATCATAGCGGGGGTTGGTTTCGGAGTAGGAGTGGTCCACTAGAGGTGATGGAAGTAGAACATCACGGGAGATTGATTCCTTAACAATATATTCTTTTCATTCAATATAATTAAATAATTCCTTTATTTATGTTTCAATAAACTACATACATTTTAATACGTATTTTTTATAAAATTGTTTTGCAATATAATAGATTTGAAATAAAATCTATACTTTTAATATTTCAAAAGTTCTTTGAAAAACTGGATTTTTTTATAAATATTGATATTTCATTTAACTGAACAATCTGTCTCTTTTCTCTCTTACATAATATAAGCACTAGGTAATTTAAAAAAACGTAAATAATTAAAAATAAAGTAAATCCTAAGATGATAATAATATTAAGACATATATCTGTTCTTTTAATTGATGATTAAAGTTACATGAACTAAAAAGAAAATAAAGAAAAACAAAATAGCAAAAACTCGTTGCTGTTTTTTTTTCTTGTAATCGAATAGAAAGGTTGTTTATTAAAATAATATATATCGGATTTATTTCAAATTCGTTGTTTTAAAAGAGAGGGACGCCAGCCTCGCTGACGTTACAAATGTCACTTCTTCTAGAGTATTCGATGATATTTTAAAATGAAACTTCAATTGATCTTAATGCTCCTGTATTTCTCAAAGATTCTTCATAATAACATACTTCAATGATACACACTCACTGAACTCTGAATTACCAATTCTGAATTCTCAATTCTGGAGTCCACCGTCGTGAGTCCAGACGTCATATTTATAACAAGATTCAAACATAGTTCTAATCTCCTTTGATTTCGTTTTACTTTTAACAATAATCATAATTACTAATGAAGTTTAATAAGAATTGATGACAGCCTCAAATTATTTTCAAGTCGCATCCGTTATTAAAACTGATAGCGCCGATATATATAATAAGAAAACCAATTATGTATATATTTAACCTTATTTTTTAATTTAAATCAAAATATATATTGAAATAATAATTCTTCTATACTGAAAATTTTTAATATATTAATAAGGATTTTCGTAAGTAACGATACGTTCTGAAGATTGCCGGTTCAAATCCCGCTTCCATATAAGAATTTTGCATTATTTAAGTACATAGAAACATCAAAAAACACGTCCTTTAAGAACGCCTGTGTTAATATATTATTATATATTAAAAACTATTATATATTTGATGAAAAACAGGAGTTTGATTTATACAATAAAGTAAAATTAAATATTCATATTATCATATTACGTACAATGTATTGCAAATAAAAATAGACGAGGCAACGAGTTTATACGAATGACGCTGCTTACTCCACGGAATAAACTTGGTCGTTTAAACCAGAATATACCTGATACCACAAAAAGAAAGGGATTTTTTTATATACATATTTCATAGAAAAAATACTAAGTAGATAACATGTCGATCTTTTGAGCCAATCATTATCAGTGATTACATAGCTTTGTAACTAAGTCTGGACCATGTGAATTATGGTGAACCAGAAATTAAACAAAGAATACAGATATGGGAAAAAGAAAGATTAATTTTCATAGCTTTTTCACCATCCACAAACATTCAACCCTTCCATAATCAGTCTAAATACGAGATAAAGACAATGTTTAGTCTTAAGTCTAACATATAAACCTTTAAAATATTTATTTTATAATTATATGGTGACACCGGAGGTTCCAGGAAAAAACGAAACTTACTTATATGTACATACATATATTATAATAAGAATTACATATTAAAACCTATAACCTACACCTAAGACTACATGATTGTCCCGATGTTAGGATAGCAATACCATTCCTTAGCTTGTGTGTATCAGGAATCTTCTGGTTCACACGGCTTGGTGTTCGTTCCGCGGAGTCAGCGGCGTCACTCGTTATATATTATATATACAACAATGTCGCCCCGGCGATGTTCATTTATTTTTATGACCTTGCATACACAATAATAAAAATACTAATTAGATTCATAGCGTCCTTGTTTGTACGTCTGCGAATAATTAAATAATAAGTCAATAAATCATTTTCAATAATTATTATAATCCATATTTGTACAGCTTGCGTATTATTTAGTATAAATGCATTATTTTTTTGAGTCAAATCGTATTCGGTAACCATGAAGTTGTCTGTAGCAGTGATCTTGTTGGTGGTAAGTTTTATTGTTTGAATACTGTAAATTAAGGCTCAATTACTGATAGGTACTTGTATCTAACAGCTTCTAGTTGTTTTTTAATATTTTTCAAAAAATCTTTTTGTGTTCAATAGACTTTATTGTCGAGTATCTTTCAAATAAATTTTATTATTATCGCTTTAAGTATTCAGTAATTAGAAAGAAACACTTTTTAAGTGACATTTGCATAGTATAAATGTACTTTGTTTTTAATCATGACTTTATTTGTATAAAAATGTTAATTTTAAGTAATTTTATATATTTTTATATAATTTTCATTGCTTCTGTAAACCTTCTCAATCATTTTAATTTTTACTTACACAACTTCTTCTGTCACTTTCTTTTTCTTCCTGATAATTTCCCAGCTTTAGCCAGGATCTGCCTTACATGTTATGAATAGTTTGGGCTAATTGTTTTTACGACCGGCCGCCTGCTTGACATCAACCCTCTTATAGGAATCAGCATTAATCTGTCACTTTCTATCTTTGTATAATAATCTCGTTTGTTTGCGATTAACATATTAATTATTTTAACAATAACATAGGAATATATTTTTCCTATTTAAACTCCTTTTTTAGACTAGCTCTAGATGTTCTTCAAAATATGTTTATGAATGAAACTAATATTTTTCGGGGTTACAACCGTGAACACGGGTGTTGTAAAGTAACCGAATAGTCGGGAGTATTATATGTAGTTTTTTGATAAGAATAAAAATCGCGTAGTAAATCCGAAAAATATTAGTTTCATTTAAATGAATACTCGCGAAAATCTTAGATCTCATTATGTTAATGAAGATTACTCTAATAGGGACGTAACATACAAGATATATTATTTTAGTTAGTTTTTATTGTTTAATACTTTTTCTTTGTTATTTATGTGTAATAACATTATTTTTATTTTCAGTGTCTGGTGATAGTAGCTAAGGCTACACCCAGTGAGTATTTAAATTTTTTCCTTATTAATTAAATAAAAAGCAGAGTTTTTTCAAAGATAACCATGAAATGAACGATTAATAACCATTTTCATTGTTGTTTCAGCAATACCGTTGGGTGAGTACTAACATTCTTCTTCTACCTGGCAGTTTCTCAGCTTCAGCCAGGGTCTGCCTTACATGTTGTGAATAGTTTTGGCTTATTGTTTCCCTCTTTGGGAATGCATTAATCAGTGATGTCTAAATACTCTCAGAAAGTACATATGACTCGGGAACATCACATTGGTACTTGCCAGGATCAAACCCGCGTCCTCATGCATGAGAGGCGGATCTTTTAACCACTAGGCCACCACTGATCATACTACTATTATATACTAACGTTATGACAGGAAATTTTGAAGAAACACTCGCAAAATAAAAGGAAGTTTGAAGAATTAAAAAAAAGTTCACAATATACATAATTATTTTCTGATACTTTTAATTAAAAATATGTATTTTTATATACAGAGAGCTCTGTTATATTCATATATGTAGAAGTAACGTACTTGGTCCCACTAAAGACACTTCCATCTCGTCTTAAAGATCACGGTTGCAATAAAGGAACCAAAAATCTGGATCATGTTAATAAAAAAAACCGCGTAGTAAGATATCCAAAAAATTAACTTTCATTTAAATGTGTAAAAAGTCAAAGGTATCAGTATCCTTTTAGGGTCATCGTATTTTATGACAATAGTATTTCTTTTAAATTAAACTAATATTTTTTGGATTATCCTATGCCTACTTTATTGTAAAAAATCACAAACTCCCGACATTTCGGTTACTTTTCAGCAACCGTAAAGGTAAACGTTAATATTAGTTTCATTTAAATGAATAATAGCGAAAGTCTCAGATCTCATTAATAGTATTTCTATTAACAAAATATATATATATAAAAACCCTGAAAATGGTGAAAATAATAATATTATCATCATCATCAGGCTATCAGAGGCCTCTTCTCAAATGGAGAAGGTTAGTGGATTAATGGAGCATTAATCACCGGGCTTGCTCAAGATGGGTTGTTGATTTTAAACTTATAATTTGATTATAAGTCCATGTTTACTCACGATGTTTTCCTTCATCAGTCAGTGATGTCTAAATACTCTTATAAAGTACATATGACTCGGAACATCACATTGGTACTTACCAGGTATCGAACCTGTTCTCTCATGCACGATAGGCGGGCCTTTAATCTCTAGGACACTACGAGCACAAAAATAATATATATTTCACCCGCGTGGAGTTCGGTTATATCGTGTTTCCAAGAGAACCTTTCAAAAATCTGGCATAAAAACTATCCTATATTCTTTCTCAAGGTCAACTCTATCTCTCTACCAAACTTCATTAAAATCAGTTCATTGGTTTAGGCGTGAAAGCGTGACCAACAAACAGAGTTACTTTCGCATTTATAATATTAATACGGATATATGAACCATTGATTTATTAAATATAATTGTTCTTCCAGGCTCCGGACCCGTCTTGTATCACGGCCCAGATGATGGATACGACTACGGATATGATAATGATAACTACGATGGTGGATACTACTACGATGATTATGACTACAATGATAGATACTACGGTAGATATAGATACCCGTACAGGAGATCAGGCCTAGGCCTCGGAGCGGGATTAGGCCTGGGTATCGGCAGCCAATACTACTAGGACTACACTCAATAAATGCTTGTTAACCGTTCTTATGTTTGATATTCATCATTATATGTATTCAGAAATATTTCTTGTTTTATTTGGCTATACATTATTACATTTAATATATAGAATGGCAACTGGAGGTTCAGGAAAATGACGAAACTTATATGTATATTATAATGAGAATTACATATTAAAACTTATAACCTACACCTAAGACTACATGATTGACCCGATGTTAGTATAGCAATACCATTCCATAGCTTGTGTGTATCAGGAATCTTCTGGTTCACACGGCTTGGTGTTCGTTCCGCGGAGTCAGCAGCGTCACTCCTTATATATTTTATACATACAACTATGTCGAACCAGCGATATTCATTTATTTTTTAATATGTAGCGCGTACTAAAATATTTTTTTTATTTATATCTACATTTCTGATAATTAATTTTATATTCGTCTAGCACTATGTATATCTGATTTAAATGTTATGACACAGTAAGATTTGTATTAGTTTTTGATAAAGTTTTACTAAGACAGACATACCTACAATATATAGCATACGTAGAACTAAAAGAATAACTCTATTCTAGTTCATATAAATTCACTAACCTTAGTAAGTCAGTTTAATAGTTTAGTTGAGTAACAAGTATTTTATAAAAAAATTCTCCATAATGATTTATTTATTATTATAAAAAATATATATTTAAAGCTTCTTTTGTAAAATTAACTATGTATAAACAAAGAACTAATAGTTTAACAATAGTTTTAATATAAATAGTAATATACTCAGTTAAAACACAAATATCTCACTTCTTTATCAAATGAATTTTCTATAGATGCTTTTTTTAAGGCTTCATTCGCACTGGAATCGTGGAATATTTAATCAATGTCAACGTTTTTATTTGTTGGACGAATTATAATCTTGAGTACTGTGTGGAAACACGAAAGAGTTTTTCGAATGAATTAAGACGTTTATTTAATTATTATTCACTAGCTTTCCGCCCGCAACTTCGCTCGCGTGGAGTTCGGTTATATCGCGTTTCCTTTCAAAAGTCTGGGATAAAAACTATCCTATGTTCTTTCTCAAGGTCAACTCTGTCTGTACCAAATTTCATTACAATCAGTTCAGTGGTTTAGGCGTCAAAACGTAACAGATAGACAGATAGAGTTACTTTCGCATTTATAATATTAAATAGGAATTTATTTATAGAAAATTCTAATTATTTTCTTACCGATATCTAGAACAATATTTTATATTTCATATTATTTAAGCATTAAACTATTGTTTGACAAAATTTAAAGTTATTTGATCTCCTTTCGTATATAAATATATTACATATTATGTTATAATCTTTGTATATAGATAAACTAGATGATGTTGACAGATTTTTGTTACTCCCCTTTTATTTTTATTATTTCAATCCTTGTTTTGACAGAAATAGTTTTTATTCAAAACTTAATTTATATTTTTACAAGCACCTAGAATAACAAAAAAATTATGAATAACTATAGTTGTATTTCCTAATCAATATGTAGATTAAATGTCTCAGTGATGTAGTTTCAACATCTCTACGTCTGTTAAGAGACATTTCTCATTACAATTACAAGAGAAACCTCTCATCATTCCATGTATTCACGGTGCGTGTGTCGGGTCCATCGTTGTAGTGAGAGGAGCTTCAACAGTGACTGGGACTTGTGACCCAGGTGTAGGTTTAAGGGACCCCTATCTAATGCGTTAAACGCTCACCTCCACTGTCCAAGCTCCTCTCTCTACCTAATTTGAAAAAACCTACTAGGGCTGCCTTCGAAGTACGTTCCAACAATGAATTGATATTAGTTCTGGCTAGATCCAAGTCTTTTAGTAGGCTATAGAGAGATTAAGCCGTTATACCTCTCGCTCCCACTTCTACCGCGTACATATTTTAACCAATTTACGCATTAATTGTAATATTTAAAAGAAATTAGCCTGATGTAAGTAAAACAAAACCTTGAGTAAATTAGCCTCGACGTTGTATTTGTTATTTATACAGCTTTATTTAATTATTTAAATAACAAAACTTCGTTTATATTAAGTATATATATTATCATTTTCAATATAGTCTGTATTTTTTATATTTAAATTAGTGTACAACACTATGGGCTAAACGATTTTTACGTTAATTTAATTTTTAATATTATTTTGGTTGGTACTATGTAGAAATGTTTAATTTTATTTATTAATAAATTGTGAAAAAATTAATTTAATTCCTCTTATGTAGGTGTATAGTGTTTGAAGATGAATTAAAAAACACTTCGCCTTATTTCTAAAGTTTTCTTTTTAATTATTAATTTTACCTTTTTATAATCTGTCAGCAAATTTATTTTAAAAAAACTTGTTGGAAATCGAGAATCTAGACTACATAACTATAATTTAAAATTAATACGTATTCATAGAGATCGTAAAATTATAGCGAATTTCTTTTTTACGACATTAATATAATTTAATATAAATTCGAAGGTGGTAGAGCCTATCTGTGGTCAAGTTACTACATCTCGAACATGTTCTGTCTCGACCGTAAGTACCATCCTCTAACAGAAGATCGGCGTGAAGTAGACTTTAATGACTGCGTTTCATCTGATGAGTGAGAGAGACGGCTATACCTTTTCCCTTTCCCCCCCCCCTTTCCTGCCATTTCCTTGTTACCAACCCTTTCTCAACAATCAAGGTCGACAACGCATTTTTTATTATTATACTAGAAGACCTGGCGAACTTCGTATCGCCCTATAATCAAGAAATATCTGTTACGTTTTTTTATTTATATTTTTGGAGTTTACCTGTAAGCCATAAATCTGCGTGTTTTGAAGTGCGACAGAATGATTAACATATTAGTAAGTTGTCAAATCTAATGTCAAAAAAAAAACTTTTGTATGTGAAATAGAAAAGGGCTGTTTTTATGATTTTCCCAGTAATGAATCAATTTTTTTCAGCTTTTATACCTTCCTTGAACCTCCACGAACATTTCAAGACTAAGATAAGATAAATCCGTTCATCTGTTCTCGAGTTTTAGCGAGACTAAGGAACAGCAATCCATTTTTATATATATAGAAGAAGAAGATTGTATAAAGCAAGCAAAGCCATGTATCAAAGCTAGTATATAAATCTCTCGGCTGTATAATAATATCTGTAATCTAATACGACGCGGTAATACAAATGTTTTGACAACAGACGCACGCCGTGACGATGGTAATGTCAAAAGGGGCGTCCAATAATTTGATTATATAGATAATAATCGTAATAGAATTATTTAATTTGTGGTTTTATTTTTATTTGGAAATGATTATTATTAAATAAGGAATATTATTTTTATTCACACATGGAGAAAAATTTAATATATTAAGTTGCTTTATATTAAAAGTTGAACCTTTTTTCGATTGATTTTCATGTGTCTTTGTTTTTATTTTTAATTGTATTATTTTTACAGAAAGTTAATAAGTTTTTTAAGAAATTGGTTTAGATTTTAAAATATTTTTTCTGAATACTGAATTTTTGGAATACTGAATAGATATTTTTTCTGAATTAGATACTGAAAGAGACTTGTTTTTAAAATAATATTGGACAGTTAGATGAGAAAAAAAATTATATTTCTTATAATTTATACTCTGACATTTGAAATTCATAGTCTCAAAAGAATTGATTTTAATTATTTTATTATAAAACATATACTTACATACTTACATTACCTCACGATACTCAAGATTATTATTCGCCTTATATACTCAAGATTATTAATAAAATCGTTGAAATTGACAGAATATTTCACGATTCCAGTGAAATGAGCATTAAAATTTCATTTTTCTGTAGCGAGGTTTCGATATTTTAAAAGCCATAAATAATATCTTAATTGCAAGACTCCACTTACATTTTATTATAATGTGTTTCATTGTGATCCCGATGCGGCGAGGGTAGAGGTTGATAAATTTTATTGCCCTATAAAATAATGAGCCATCATACAAAGGGGAGTGACTTGACGCGTCTTACTTACCACAGCTTCACTTAACATTATTAAAATAAGATAATATTTAATATAGTGCTATGTACGCGCTACATATTTAGAAATAAATGAGCATCGCCGGGGCGACGTCATTGTATGGATTAAATATATAACGAGTGTCGCCGCTGACTCCGCGGTACGAACACCAAGCCGTGTGAACCAGAAGATTCCTGATACCACACCAGCTATGGAATGGTATTGCTATCCTAACATCGGGTCAATCATGTAGTCTTAGGTGTATGGAATAAGTTTTAATATGTAATTCTCATTATAATATACATATAAATATATTTCGTAGTTTTCCTGGAACCTTCAGGGCCACCATATATAATTATAGTGAATCAACTAGAAAAATGATTATATTTTGACCATAGACAAAACTGAATATTTAAAGTGTCCAAATTATGATAGCTTAGGTGTACATTTATATGAAACTAATTATTAATTTTGTAACATCAAAGAGAATCTTTCATCTCGTCAGTCCGTCATCATTTCTGTTAAGGAACCGAAACGTGTAGATTATGTAGATATAAAATAATAAATAAAACTCTTAGTAGGTATATGAAGAACTTAGTTTCATTTAAATATGTAGATTCCAAATATTGAATTTATTGTTCTGCTTGCAAACTAGTCTGAATGGATTTTTAACTTTTTTTTTTATAATAATAAGGTTTCATATCATGTAAAAAAATATATGTGGTTAGGCTGTACCTAGTAAATAATTCGGAAGTTCTTTAACATATATTTAGCCTAAAAAATATAGACAATATATTATTGTTTTTTTGTGTGTAAAACTGAGAAGATTGCTATTTTCGTGAACAACTTTAACATCTATTTTTAAGTAAACCAAGGCGTATAATTCTCACCTAATTAACAACTCATGGCCTGTTAATAGTTTCTTAATACGACACGCGTGCTCTCGTTTAGGGAGATTTATGTAAAAACATTTTACTGTTCGACCTTTTTTGTGTGTTTTTTTTTTAGCCTTAGATCACAATAATATGGACTGTCTTATTTTTTGTCAATACAAATATAATGATAAGGTTTTTGTTGTCTTCCTTCAGTGTTATTAAATAAATGAGGGAAGTTATTCTGTGTTAATTATAGAAGTATCAAAGATTTTTTTTTGTGCTTTTTAATTCAAGTAAGTACCTTTTCGATTCTAGATCTTCGTTCTCATTGACTAATACTTTAAAAGTGCTAACACCATTTCTATTAACTTTTTGATGCTCTGTTTTTCATAATCTGTTAGTAGTAATAATTGTTTATCAGTTACAAAATGATACGAAACTTATCATTCAATGTATTCACGGTGCGTGTGTCGGGTCCATAATTGTAGTGAGAGGAGCTTCAACAGTGACTGGGACTTATGACCCAGATATTTCTTGACGAGATAAATAATCTTAGCTACTTATTTCATTTCATTGTTATTGCTAAATGTTGGTTGAGAATGTTAATTTTTTTTTTTTGTCAGAAGTATATTTTATATTACCTACTCCATTACTTAGTACATGAACAAAATTCTAGGTTTTTGATATATATAAAATAAAGTTAAAGATTCGCTGATAGAGTAAGATACATATATACATATGTATATGTACTCGGTACACTACTAAATTATATGTTTATATAGGTACTTAGTTTTAAAATTGATAAAACCTGTTGAATATAAATTCCCAAAATATAAATATTTTTTTCTTATTATCAGTCATATATTTTACATAAGAAAATGAATATATTTTTCTTAAATCGAATTTACATAAACTAAATGTGAATCACGAAACATAAATGAAATTGTACTTTGAACCCACAAATAAACAATAACTACGTAATTTTTAATAAAAATGGCTGTATACCTTACAGCAATAGCCAATACTTTATCTTTGAGCATAAAAAAAGTTACGCTTCAATTGATTTTGACAGAAGCCGTTCAGAAGAATTTGAATATCAAAAACAAAATGTGTGCTAACGCGTCTGTAAGTCAGAAGACTTCGTGTATATTTTGTAATATCGCTAATAAGTTGGAGAGCACGGAGATCCTGTATGAAGATGAGGAGGTGTGCGTGTTCAGGGACATCAAACCAGCGAGTGACTACCACGTACTGACGATACCGAAGCGACATATAGACGATGTTAAGTGCCTTACATCAGCTGATAAAGAACTTGGTAAATATGTAGTCATTGTAATAGTAGGAACCTCCTTGGTATGATATTGGCTGAATATATTTATGCCTAGTATATTTGTACAATTTATTTGATTAATTTATCATGAAAGATGAAACCTCTCATCATTCAATGTATTCACGGTACGTTTGTCGGGTTCATCGTTGTAGTGAGAGGAGCTTCAACAGTGACTGTGACTTGTGACCCAGGTATAGGTTTAAGGGACCCTATCTTACGCGTTAAACACTCACCTCCACTGTACAAGCTCATCTCTCTGCCAAATTTGCAACGAACCTACTAGATTTAATAGTATATCTAAGAGTTTTTTATTGCTTTAAGTGTAATACATACAATCCTAATTTTCAGTTCAAAAAATGTTAGCGACTGCCAAAGAACTATTAGCTAAGAATAACTTATCAGTCGAAGATGCTAGGTTCGGATACCACTGGCCGCCATTCAGGAGTATAAAGCATCTTCATCTTCACACCATTGCACCGGAATCGAAAATGGGTTTCATCGGCAACATGATATTCAGGAAGAATTCATTTTGGTTTGTTTCAGTGAGTATTATTAACTTATATCCAATATTTTTCTATTATATTTATTTTTCCTTATTTGATACAAGTTTTAATGAATATGGATAATAAAAAGCTATTTTTTCCTATAATTATTAAAAAGAACTAAAAATTAACTCAATTGAAATCAGTATTACTACAATTTATACCTTATCGCTATACAAAGCATTTACCGAGATCATTCAATATGTGACAATGTTTGAATGTAAAATTGAGAATGCTCCGGAATTATTCTGACGATTGCAACTCAGAGTCATCATACTAAACAGTTGTGTAATGGCTATTTATGATGTATAGTTGTTTAAGGAAAATATTTTAACACTATTGTATTAATAGGAATCAAAAATCAAGGTTTTCAGCCATAAATATATATTAACATGTAAATGATTTACAAAATAATAAAGCATGGGTCTATTTTGAGGTTTTTCTGTGTTTTTAAAGCTATTTTTCATGAAGAAATTCATTAAAACCCACACATATATATCATGCACACACACATTTACATGTGTAAATACATATATGTATATCTTTTCTTCCTGGAAATTTCCCAGCTTTAGCCAGGGTCTGCCCAAGTACATATATGTGTATGATGATAATATATGATCAAGTTCAGTATATAACAAACATTATATTTTTCAGCCGGAATACATAGAGTCAAGACTATAAGGACTTAGCGGAGATTATATTTTGGAAGCACCAGTGATAACTTAGTAATATTACTCTACCTTCCACAGAAGATTGACGTTGGACCCAAAACAGAGTTATTATCAGTTTTCATCGATAATTCTTACTTAGGTTAATGGAGACTTAAAACTGTCGGTATGGAGTTTTTTAGTGCATACACATGGTAAGGGTGTAGTATTATTAATGGCTCAATAATACTTGTTTTACCTATAATTTAAAGACTATAGCTTGACATATAACTTGTTGAAATGTAAATTATAATTAAATAAATTTATTTATTAAACATATTAATATATCTTCAATAAAACCTTTTTTTTGTTTCTTTTTTATCTATTACCCGTATTTGTAGCAAAGATTGTACTTTCTGTGATATGTTTAATTATTAATGATGATTTGAAAGTTAGATGTTATGTTTTAAAGTGAAAATTTATTGTTTAGAATATATTAGGTAAATTGATTAAGTATCGGATTTAGATGTAATGATAATTCATAGTCATATCTTATTATAAATCTTAAGGTCTGCCTGACATGTTGTAAATAGTTTTGGCTAATTATTTTTACGACATACTGCTGCCTGACATCAACCCTCTATGGGATTATATATCTCTTATATCTTTAAATGAGCAATACTTGTAATATATATTATAAATATACATATTTATTGGAATCTCGGAATCTGCTCCGAGGATTTTCATGGAATTTAGTATGTAGGGATTTCGGGGGTGATAAATCGATCTAGCTTGGAATAACTTTTAGAAAATGTTATTTTATTTAAAAAAAATATAAAAAGGAGTCGTTTAAAATATGACTCTTCCTGACATCTATTGGCGAATAGTAATACTACTTGTTGCTAATTGCTTTTACTAATTGATTTAACGACATAACAGCAGATGGCGTTTTAAATACTAGGAAGTCAACGAGTGTTTGTATTGAGATTAGACTAAGAAATTAATTATTGATTTATAGGTGAATATACGCTATTTGAACTCCATTGGTCTATAGACAAATTTTATGTGAAACTTATTATGTCATTGTCTCTCCATGCTTAAAAAATAAATAATATTTTAAAGGTATACTCCTCTGGCCTTCCCATTTATGAATTAAAATGAACTTATGGCTGAATACTTTCAAAAAGTACACAATTATGTTTTTTATTTAATGTAGACATACGCTTTAATAAACATCGAAACATATTTTAAACAAAATTAAGAGTAAAAATATTTATTAATATAAAATAATATAACTTATTTTCGAGTCATTTTACAATTCTGTCACTTCATCTGGCGGAAATCAAAGACTTAAAAATTTATAAAAAATCACAACTTTGTGCTTTTGATCTTAAAGAATAAATCCTAAATAATTTGAGCAAAATTAAAAAAAATTGGATCAGTTGTCGATAAACTTTCGGAAAGAAATTTTGTGCCAGTCGTTGGAGTATTTCCTTTGGTAAGAATATATATTTGTATTTTATCGTTACGTAATTGTTAATTTCTATAATCAATGTTTATTGTCCGTAGATAACTTATATAAACTTAAACCGATGTAAGAAAAGCGAGTGATGTAAATTTTAATACATTATGAGTGATTTTGTCACTTTTCTAGCGTCACTCCTCTGGCATATTACATACATGTACAATGTACATACATAGCCAGAGAAGTGACAATTTTTTTTTATATAAATAAATAGACGTTTCATTTAATATGAGTCAACTTTCTTAGCTAATAATTAATGGTATGACAATATCCTGCTTTGATTTGTTACTATACTCTGGCAACAGTGTCATTCCTCTGGTAACACATTTCCCTCTGGTGCTTATAAAACTGAAAAAAAATAATATTCGTCTGGCCCCTGTGATTACTAATTATAAAATAGTGTCAAATAAATCTTCTGGGAGTGTGTATGTCACTGAACTTCTCTCAAACGACTGGACAGATTTTGATGAAATATTTTGTGTGTTGAAGGGGATCTGGAAATGGTTTAGATTCACAATTTTGTCCGCTGGACAATGTTTTTTTAATTAATTTTTAATTTATTAGTAGTTGTTGATACAAACGTTTTTTTTACATTAGATTTGAAAACTAACTAATATGTATTGACATGATTGCATTCTCTCGTACTTCAAAACACGGAGATTTATGGCTTTAATAGGTAAACTCCAAAAATATAAATAAAAAAACGTAACAGATATTTCTTGATTATAGGGCAATACGAAGTTCGCCGGGTCTTCTAGTACATATATTCCTAAATATTGAATGGAACCGATAACATTTACTTCTGGGACACGAAAAAACCAAATAGAGTATATTCACCCTAATATTGTTTTGTGTCTTCTTAACGCGTTCACTTAAAAATGCCTAAACGAAATTAAAAAAAAAAAAACAAAATAAATACTAATAATTCTTGTATTTGCTCGGTATTTAAGAATTATAATACATATGTAATAAACTTATAAACCTGACATTAGATTTGAGTCATTATTTATCTTTATATATATAAGAAAGTCGTGTTAGTTGCACTAAGTATTTATAACTAACCCGTACAGCCGGTACGGGTTTGGATAAACATTGGTGGAGAGATAGAATAGAACATAGAAAGGACATAGGATATATAATACTGTTCGATCGAAACAGAAATAAAAATTAATAAATTCCTATATAGTGTTATTTATGGCCTCTAAGGCGGAATAAAATTCACCCGGTCAGCTGTACATATATTACTAATGACGAAATCGCGGTTAAAAACTATATATATATATATATATATGTACGAGACATATCACATAATATTAAAAATGTTTTTAAGAACATCTATCTGTTTAACTTGTCTAGATTTTAAAAAGCTCAAATCTATTAAAACGTGACTGTTACTGCAATTTTTTCCTTGTAGGAATTTTATTTATTTAAATTTGTATGATAAATAAAACATAGCTTCAGAGCAAACTAAGTCGCGGTAAATGCTAGTATAATATTTGATTTGCACAATGTGTTATAGTGTAGATGATAACATACGATTGTTGCTGTTAATTTATCGTGGTTACGAAATTAACTTGGTTTTATAAAAAAACAATATAAATATATATGTATAACATTGAGTAGGTATACGAATTGTTATTATTCCCATAATAAAATATTTTTACTTTTAGTTTTTAAGAAAAAATAAACGTAGTATTACCGATAATATTAGTTTCATTTAAATGATATTAGTTTCATTTAAATTTGTTGTAAAACTCGGGAATCTTTGATCTCATTATTTTTAACTTGTCATCTTCTTCTTCTACCTGGCAATTTCCCAGCTTTAGTCAGGGTCTGTCTTACATGTTGTGAATAGTTTTGGCTAATTGTTTTTACGACCGGCCGCCTGCCTGACATCAACCCTCTTTGGGAATGCATTAATCAGTGATGTCTAAATACTCTTTAGAAAGTACATATGACTCGGAAAATCACATTGGTACTGGCCAGGAGCGAACCCGCGCCTTCATGCATGAGTGGCTGGCCTTTTAACCACTAGGACACCACCGACTCTCTAAATATATATTCTCATTTATTAAATTCAATTATGAATTTCCTTGTAATGTGTACAGAGATATGGCTAAAAAATATTTAAATGAGGATATTTGTTGTAAAATTTATTTAAAATTACATTCTCTTGCTTTTGGGATGATAAGTAGAAGTTTTATGTAGACGAAGTCGCGGGCAGAAGTATATATATAAAACTAATATACCTAGCTTAGTTTTAGATAAATATTATCAATAAGTTGCAGTAATCCTTATCAAAAGATAAAATATATTGTAACTAGTTCATTATATGAATAGTAAAGTCATATATTGAACGCAGCCTACTCAAAGTCAATGTCAAAATTCGCCAAAACCGATTTATTTTGAAACATACTAATAAAATAATTAAATATGAACAAGAAATTACATTGAAATGACGAAAATCGCGGAGATTAGGTCATTATTTGAGGCGAAGATCAAGGATGGGATCCCGGATCCGCCTGGAGAATTCGACCCTCGCGATCTAAGTAGATTGAATAGTGATAAATATTTGTACAGAGTTTTAGAACACTCAAGAAATAATGTCCAGCAGGCAGTCGAAATGCTTTACGAGATCATGGTCTGGAGAAAGATGATGAATGCCAACGAAATCAACGAAAATACGGTCAATTTGGATTACCTGAAAGAAGGTATCTTCTTTCCGCAAGGTAGGGACATAGATAGTTGTTTAGTATTCATTATGAAGTCGAAACTTTATCATAAGGGGCAAATAAACGTGGATGAAGTTAAAAGAATTATTATTTACTGGTTGGAGAGGATTGAAAGAGAGGAAGATGGGAAGAAGATTACTCTCTTCTTTGATATGGATGGCTGTGGTTTAAACAATATGGATATAGAGATTATCATGTACATGGTGACTTTATTGAAGAATTATTATCCAAATTTTATTAATTATATAATAATTTTCCAACTGCCATGGATGTTATCGGCTGGGTTTAAAATTGTTAAAGGCCTACTACCCGCTGAAGCTATTGAACGACTTAGAACTGTGAATAAAGATAAGCTGAAGGACTTAATAGCTCCGGAACAGGCTTTAACTAGTTGGGGCGGCAAGAATGAGTATGTTTTCAATTTCTTTCCGGAGAATAGAATCAGTGTTGATAACACACCCAAAACCTCGATACCTGATAGTCAACATTCATTAGGTGAAATGTTAAGCTTGAATCCGGGTAAGCTATTAATATTTAAGGTCGAAAACGACAGAATCTGTGCTCAATTAACGATAACAAACATGGATGATAGCGTTATATCGTTTAAAATAAGAACAACGGCTCCTGAGAAGTATGTTGTTAAACCGAGCTCCGGTATTTTAACGAGCAAAGCATTACAGACTATCCAAATACAAGTAAACTCCGGGTTTCAAATCAACTCGGTGGAAAAGGACAGGTTTTTGGTAGTGTCAATGCAGATACCGAGTGCGGATATATCGGCCAAAGAGATCAGCGATATGTGGAAAACTGTTGGCTCTAAGGCTGACGAGTACAGGCTAAAGTGTTCGACAATAAATACGTTGAAGTCGGAACCAGTACAAGAAAAATCGAGCCACGAGCACGACTCGATAATGTACAAATTGAATAATCTACAGAATAATCACAAAATGCTGGTGAAAAACGTCAAAACTATGAGGATGTACCAGTATGCGACCTTATTCCTTACATTTGTCAGCCTAACCCTTGGTTATGTAACTTTAAATAAGGATTGCCATCTATAAAATCACAATATATTAGAACTTATTTATATTTTATCTTCCTTTTTATTTATTTTGTTATTTAAATTTTAAATCTAAAATATGTATATCTTGAATTACTGTGAATTTAACCAAAGTAGAGATTATTATTTTTTTTGTTATTAGGTGTTTACCAAAAAGGTTAGTTTCAAAGCTTTACAACTTTGTACCTCTTACGATAAGCGAAATATATTATTTGTTTGAAAAAATGCATTTTAATTTGTAATCCATAGTTTTATATCCAAGATTTTAGCAGAAGAAACAAAGTTTTATGAGATTTTAAGTAAACTCTTCTATAGAAAACTGCATTTTGATGTACCATCTGTATATATGAAGATTTTAATATAATGTTCAATGATTATTATCACAATTCAGTGTTTGAAAATACCTTATTAATACTTTTGTTCGTCATTATGGTATGGACGCAGTATTTCAAGCAGTTTTTTTCTATTTATTAGTGTATTCTTCAAAAGGAAACTTACCATACTATGTACCTACATGTGGCATTACCGCCTGAGGAATAGAAGTAAACTAAAAGGCAGGCCATCAGCTAAAGATATAGCAAATAATATATTAAAATACTCCTTAAAAATTTTCCCGGTATGTATAAATATTGTGATTTAAATAGTTTATATAGTTTCACGTCTTAGTATGATTAATCATGACGATCCCATAACCCATTATTATTAAGATTAAAAACTTGAAATGATATTCTAAATGGAGTGACTCTACGAAATATTTTTAGATAAATAACAATTATATAGGCAGACCCTGGTTAAAGCTGTAAAATTGCCAGGAAGAAAAAGAAGAACAATTATATGAAAAATAAATACTTACATCACGGCCTCAGGAAACCACAACATTAAAAAAATAAATAAAACAATAAAATGAATGTAACAGGAGCATTTATAAAATGCCGCCAGTTTCATTTAATAGTAATACAAAACCGATAAAAAACAAAAACCGGTAAATTTTTACAATCTTTTGTTAGTGCTGTACTCCTCATATTTTATACCAACTGTATAACTTTTGTCGATAACGTCGCAGGCGGCTGCAAAATCCTCTTTAGTTCTGTATTTATAATATACTTTACAGGTCTTCCACTTGCAGGTGAACTGTGGATCGCTGAAGAACGGAACGAGAGTCTGGATATCGAGCGGTTGTTTTTGGAGCGGTAATACCAGCCTGTTGATGAAAAAACAATATGTATATTGTTAAACTTACTTCATTTTCTAACGTAGATAGTTTTGTATTTATACGCCAACTACACAGCTATATATTTAAAACATTTCAATGGTGTCTTATTTTAGCGTATCTAATCCACGTTTTCTTAAAATGTAATCTTAATAGTTCAAATTATATCATGCATATGAGGGTTCAGATAAAATATAGTATATTAAAACTTGCTTCATTATATATATTTCATAATTGTACCTGTATATATATATATATATATATATATATATATATACATTTAATAATAATAATAAAAACAAACATAACTAGGTATACTCATTCATACTCAAACACATTCATTCCATTACACATAATTGTTATATGAATATGTATTCATTGTATTATATATATTATTCCTTAACAAAGTCCACTAATAAAATGTATTGTCCTAGTTCAGTAACAATTAATCTTTAGGAAATCTTGTATGGCCTCGACAGCACAGGTTTACCTAGTATGGATAACAACGGCTAATTATAGGTATTGTAAAGGTTTTTTGAATAATAAAGATATTATTTTTTTTTCCTATATATCTCCCTAACAATAGGGGCAGATATTCCCGTCACACGGGTCAGTGACCAAATGTTTCTGGGATGTGAAAAAAAGTCAGTCAGTCAACTCATTATCGGATTCCAAAAACTTACGTACTATTCGGCAGGTATTCAAAGTTGCAGCTTTTTGCATTGTGATGTATGCGAGTGGTGGTAAATCCAGATTTTTTTTATTATTAATGATACCTGGTCGCGTGTAGAAACATTCTGTGTGGTACAGTGTCCACGGGAGCGCTGTACGTGTAGTCTCCAAGCAGGGTGTGACCGATGGAGAGACAGTGTACCCGGAGCTGATGCCGGCGACCTGTTCACGAACAAGCAATCATATGTAAATACCAGCCGTGCCCGTAAATGAAAATAAAATGATACAAAGTAAAATACTTCCTATTACATTAGCTATCTTATAGTGAAAGTTCCGTCGAAATCGGACTGGCCGTTTCAGAGACTAACAGGAATAGGTAGGTATATAGAATAGGTATATAAATATAAAAAGTGATATTTTTATATGAATAATGTTTATATAAAAAGCGATTGTTCAATATTACAGATAGATAATTAATTTGGTGCCCTCAGCCTTAATTTCCACCTTTATTTATTTTTTGTATAATATATTTTAAATTTCTTACTATTCAGGATCTCGAATCTCGATTCATTAAGAATATCAATGAATATTAACATTGGCAGATCAAAATAAACTAAAATTGTCACAATCTGTAAAATTTTTCCTCACCGGTAATCGGTTTCAGCAACACAACACTAGCGGGATCCGAACCGTAAAACCCTGTCTCCAATAAGAGGATACGAGTGAGAGCTTCTCTCGGAGAGCCGCAAGTTGTATCAGCGGTCTGTGTCGCCATCTTGTGACTGTTCTCTGGGGATAGATCCACGCCTGGAAAACAAGAATTCTTATTACATTACTTTTCACTTCAAATAATAGCGAGGAAGTTTCTCTTGTCCAAAAATACATGCATTGCCCTCAACTGTAATCTCGTCCTTCCGTGGTCACGGTTGTCGTAAGGGAACTATGGTCGGAAGTACGTAAATAATTACAAACGCGTAACACATCCGAAAAATACTAGTTTTATTTCAATGAATACTCGCGAAAGTCTTCGATTTCATTAAACCAACCAATATAAATATTTTACTTCAAATTCATTACGAAAACCGTAATTTAATAATAAATATATGCCTCACCTATAGGATACCTTATGTCCGCTAACTCAAACTTCAAATGCTTCCTTACTATCGCAACATAATATTTTTTAGTCAATCTCTTCTCAAATAGTTTTCCTGCTTGGGCTGCCGCTGTTTTGCTCTTGGCGATGCATATAACACCACTAGTAGCGAAATCCAGACGTTGGACGAAACGAAGTGGGTTAGCTGATGTAGATAAATGTGAATCGTGGCTAGCTATTTGACATACCAAGGTGTTCTGTAATTTATAAAACAATACATTTATTTTTTGATCATGTCTAAATTCGTTACGATTTTTTTGTATTTACCGGTTTTTATTTTATACATGCAATCACTACACAATTGATTTTTTTTTGTCTACTGACATTTGTTACAATTTTACAGCCAAACATTGTTATCGTTGAAATAACCTTAAATATTATGACTAAAATTACACAATAATGATGAAAACGGTGTTACCTTCTCGTTTTCATCGTCAGAATTAATATACATGTCGTATGGTTTATTCACTATGAGGAAATCATCACTCTCGTATAACTTCTCCACAGCCATCTTTGATGTCAAGTTCCAACCCGCGACAATTTGAATTAGCTTATATTAAGATGTTAGAAAATGAGGAACGTAGATTTTTAGAACAAATTTGTCTTTTTTCTATATTTTTAAGTAACGGTATATAATTTGATATTATAGGGCAAAAATGCAAGAGGATATATTGCAACGCCGCCTGGGCAGCCCTATCTAGACACGCGTTAGCAATATCCTCTAAAGGCATTTTGCCCAGAAATGAATTTAAATATTACACTTTTTCAATTAGTAAGAATTTTGCAATTTTTCTTTATATAATATAGAACTCTAAATCTGACAAATTGTATTTTTTTTTCTTCATGTATTTTCTTAGTTCTTATATTACGGACAAACTAGATATAACCAAACTCTTTGGTGACAACCTAAGTTTATTGACAGTTCTGTCATCAACTGTAATGTCAAAAAGCGTATAATCCTACAAAATAAAATAGTCTTAAACATAAACGAATGAACTCTATTAAACTTGTCTACTCAATATATCAGTGTAACGTTTGTTTTGAGTTATATCGAGCCAAGAATTGATATAAAGTTGATATAAAAATGAATGAAATTAGAAAAAACTACTAACAAAGTTCCTAATTGTGACTTCAATCGTGGCCGTTAAATTTTATTTCACTTAAAAGTTAATCCTGGATCGTGTCTCAATCTACACGACACTGGCAGAATATACTGTGCACTTTGCACGGATGAAGTCCATATTTTAAACAACCATCCAAAAATGAATAAAATGAGGAAACATAAAATAAAACGTGAGATAGAAGCGTCCTCGTCGAATATAAAGGAAGAACATGACCTAGCATACTACATCCATGACCGTGTTGAGTTGATGCACCAAGTCTTCTCGATGATCAAGCCGAAAGAGCTGAAAGCAATGGCTCCAAGCTGCGTGCAACATATATCAATAGATAATTTGCAGGAGTTATGCACGGAGGAGGTTTGATATCTTTTAATTTACCTTTAAAACTTAATTAAAAAAAAAAACCCGCGGTGTTACTCGCGGATTTCCGGGATGTAAAGTAGCCTATGTGTTATTCCTGGACGTCAGCTTCCTGTATACAAAATTTTATCAAAGTCAGTTCAGCCGTTTGAGCGTGAAGAAGTAACAAACATACACACACTCACAAACTTCCGAAATTATAATATTAGTAGGATATATGTATTTGGGTAGACAGAGGATTGGATTATATCCACAATTTCAGCATAAAAAAATTATACATTTATGTAATGACTTACGAAATTCTCAAGTTAAAAATATGAAAAGATTAGAATATGTTCCATTAGTAATAAAACGGTAATTTTATAATCTTGAAGATAAGACATATCTTAATATTTCTCTCATTTATTTTCTTATTGAAACTGTTGTAATTATTTTTGTTACGTTAAATTCTCAAAAACCTTTAGTTAATGTTCAGTTTTGTAACATTATGCTTAAAGAAGTCTAAGCAATTACAAAATCTGGTTTAGTCTTATTGGTACCTGCTCGTAATTAAATCTTAATTATGATTATCAATGTTTATTAAAATCGTACTGTCCTAACTCCTAGTGGTTAAAGGTCCCACTCTCATGTATGAGGGCCCAGGTTCAAAACCTAGCAAGTACCAATGTAATGTTGCTGAGTCATAATTGACCAGCTATAGTATGCATGGAAATAGGGCTTAGTGTTCATTATAAGAACAACTATTAAGGTTCATAAGATTCAGACTGATAGACAGAGAGAGTAGTTTTAGTTTTAATGTTTCTCCATTTGACTATTTGATAATAAAACTAAATAATTAATACCATGATATTATTATAACATGCTAGCTGACTCAGCAAATGATGTATTGCCAATTATTTCTTGGGAATGTCTAGTCTAGAAAATAAATAATTAAATTGACTGTTGGTTTGTATAAAAAACGTGAGAGTATGGTAAACAGATAGTCTCGCTCGAGCTGTTGTTTGCAACAGACCTCAAAGTCAGGGTTTTATCAAACTGCCTATGAGGTTTCTTACAATAGTTTCAGAGCCTAATGCTGGCAAGAATAAAGCCATTCTTAATATCAGTTATACTGACTGCTTCTAACTCTGTCATATAAGATTAATTATTATATGATTTCTTTGTCGCCAGCTCCTCGGTATTAGTTCCAAACGTCTCTGCGCAATCCTAGATGGCGCTGAACCACCCACTGACACAGAATCATCAAGCTCTGAACAATTGGAGACCATATCTCTTGATAGTATATCGTCAGACGATGATGTATTGAGTGAACCGACGGCTAAAAAAAAGGTAGGTTGCAAGATTTACAGGTGTATCAAGTTCAACTGCTGGAACTTAGAAGTTATTCATACAAAAAAATCAATTTCCAGCACAAACACAGGAAGAAACATAAAAGCAAAACCAAGCATAAGCACAAGCATTCATCGGAATCCGAGGATAATAATGATACAGGCAAGGAAACGGAGAAATCTCGAGCCACACGAGCCGGGCTGACGGTGCTCGAATTATTGGAGCTACAGGCTCGAGCTCGAGCAATAAGAGCACAGCTGTTGAAGGATAACGCTGGCAGGATTGAAGGTATGTTGAAACTTCAACTTAGAAACAACATTAGATGGACTTTTTTTTACATATTCTATACGATTTCAATATTAATTTATTAAATTTACACATAAATAAAAATAATTTTAAACTCATTAATCCAACTTATCGTGTACTGTAATCTGTATATATCACAAACTATATATTTAATCACAGTCCACACACGATCTATTAATATATCACACTAAGGTGATACTAACAGAGAGTGTTGATCTCTTGACCACTGATTATATGTGGCTCACACCTCTACTACTCTCATATATATCTACAATGTATATAAAGACATTTTCCCAAAGAGCGTTGATGTCAGGCAGGCGGCCGGTCGTAAAAACAATTAGCCAGAACTATTCACACGTAAGGCAGACCCTGGCTTAAGCTGGGAAATTGCAAGGTAGAAGACATATAATGACATTAAGAGTTTATGGTAATATTCTATTTTCAGATACGGAACCCGACAGAAACCATTCTTCAGATGAAGTCGAGATCAAGGAGGAGCCGCCCGAGGTTTTAGAGATCAGTAGCGATGAAGAAAAACCAAAAGTCGAAGAGTTGCAGAAAATCGTTAATAACGGTAAGAAATTCCTATATATAGAATACTAATATTATAAATGCGAAAGTAACTCTGTCTGTCTGTTGCGCTTTCACGCCTAAACCACTGAACTGATTTTAATGAAATTTGGTACAGAGATGCAGTTGACCTTGAGAAAGAACAAAGTTTTTATATCAGACTTTTGAAAGGTTCTCTTAGAAACGCCATATAACCGAACTTCACGCGGGCGAAGCTGCAGGCGGAAAGCTAGTATAGAATAAATACTAACTTCCAAATTCCTTTAAAACTTCCCTATATAATAATCATATATACTTTATGCGTTTGATGATAGTTTTTATAATTATTTTTGGCAAAATAAGTAATTTATGAAATAATTTTAATTTCCAGTTCCAAGTAAGCAGCAGGCATCAAACCAACCTTCAACTAGTTCAGAAAATACCGAAATGAGATCACAAACAGTCACTAAAGTTGTAAATGACTTGGTCATCACTATACCAGCGAAACCAACGAAGAAAATAAAACTCAATAGGAACATATCACTTAAGAATAGTGTTAGTGAAGTGAAAGATATTGTTAGGACACAAGAAAAGAAAGAAAAAGAAAAACAAGATAAGAAAGAAAAAGATAAGATAAGAAAAAAGAAAACAAAGAAAAAAAGTAAAGATGGCAGCGATCATGATGAAATAACGCTTCAATTATCAGATACGGAAAAGATGGATTTATTAGAAGATTTGGATAGGAAGAATTTTGATAATGTTACGAGTTCCAATGATAGTTCTTCAGATGAAGAGGAACCAACAGAAAAACTGAACATACAAAACAATGAAATAACACACATAGATGTAAACCATGAAAATAAAGAAACCGAATCTTTGAAAGATACTGAAAATATAGCGAATAATAGTGGTGTTATTGAGGTTACAGAAGATTCTGATAGAAGTAATAATCAAGAAGATAAGAAAGAAACGGAAACAGAAGTAGAACATAGTAATAATGAAAATACGGATAAAGTTAATGAAGAAGTTGATACTCATAATGAAAATAGTACGAAAGAAGCGGTCGAAGACGGAGAAATAACTAGCAATAAAGAATTATCAGACGGAGAGATTACGGAGGGAGAGAGAGATGTCGTCTGCATTTCCGACGATGATACGGAGATACATAAAAAGAAGAAAAAAGATAAGAAATCCAAAAAGGAGAAGTTGGATTTTCAAGAAAGTTCCGATCAGAACTTCTTTAAAGACAACGATGAAAATATTTACGAAGTTCTGGAACTATCAGATTCTGATTACGAAGTTGATATACAAGTATCACAAGAGCCGACCGCTGAGGAAATGAAAGCTCTATCTGCTAAAATAGATGAAAAAACTAAAGAAGAAGATATTAACATATCTTGGAGGGACAGATACTTGGACAGCAAGAAAGTAAAAAGAGTATTAACAACAGCAAACTTACTCAACGCTATGAGAAAGAAGAATAGAGAACTTAAGAGCAAACTAGAAATGAAACCGCAGAAGGAACAAGAAGTACAGACAGATGTTAATATAGAAGGGACAGTAGAAGAGTTTAACACGTTAGAAGGTTCCACCAAATACGTGGACCCAATAAAAGAAAAAGATCTAACAAAGGAAATGAAAAAAGACGCAAAACAACTTATAAAGATGTACAAAATGTTGATGAAATATAACGACATCAACAAACAGAAGGACAAAAAGAAGAAGAAGAGTAAGAAGAATAAAGAAAAGAAGATTACAAATGATACTTGACTTAATAAACATATTAGAAAATTTGAATTTTTTACTACACTTGACTTTGTAGACATTTTTGTCAGAATATTGAAATTTTTGTAGTTTAATTTATATGTATAGAAAAAATTGTATTTATTTGCTATATATCTTAAAGTGATAAGTAATATTTGTCTAAAAATAGCTATGAATATATTAAAATAGCAAGAAATTTTCAAATTATGAGGAGATAATAGAAAAAAACACTAACGGTACATAATTAAGTATTAGAAAAATCGCTCATACACAAACAATCCTTACATTCAAATAGTCAATACATTTGTCTAAATGAAACTAATATTTTCGTATTATCGAGACTATCTTTATCTTTGATTATCGAGACATCTCGTCTGCCCGTGATCATGGTTGCTGTAAAGTAACCGAAAGTTCGGGAGTATGTAGTCTATAATTAAAAACCGCGTAGTAAATCCGAAAACATTAGTTTCATTTAAATGAATACTCGCAAAAATCTTAAATCTCATTATTCATTTGTCTAATTTAATTTTTATTACGAATAAAGAAATCAAATAGTGAGGACGTATGATTTTTTTTAGATCATCAATAGATAAACCTTATAATAATTAAACAAGGTAATTACGTTGATCTTTTAATCAGGAGTTTTTGTATTCTAAAAATATCACAATATTATTAATTAATTATACATATGTTATATTTATTATTATCTACTAGTGGAATATAAATCTTTATATCATATAATAATCAATGAATACCAAAATAATCCTAATGAAAATGAATGCTACGTTAAATTGACCCATTATAAACAATATTTAATCTATTTTAATCAAACAAGATATTTCCTATATTTTTTATACAGTAATTCTATATGTCTAAGAAAAAATTGATTAAACATATTTTATATTTCACTAGTTGAAGTTAACAACTTTGTTCTACAATACATACATGCAAGTATCGGTATTTCTTCTTGCACTGACAACTGTCAATGTCTCCTACAATAACAAAAATAACCTAATCACAATAAAAATGAAATTTTCTTTTCTATTTCGCTTCCAAAACCCGTTATTATCACATGCATATCGCAAATATTCAACGGAGGCGTTACCTAGGGCGTTGAGGAGTTTGAAAGCTAAATCCACTCGTAAAACTGTGCAATATTATGTAGATTCGTGCAGAGTTAGAGCCGTCGCAGGAAATGGTGGTGATGGATGTATTTCCTTCCTCAGCGCCTGGTGCAAGGATCAGGCGGGGCCGGATGGAGGCGACGGGGGTCACGGCGGTCACGTAATATTTCAGGTAAAACAAAAATTCAATAACAGTTCCCGATTTTGAATGTAGCCATTTTCTACAGAAATTTATGATTCTGTGAGTATTCGATTAGGATAAGGTAAATTAAAGCACAAGCATATATAATGGAAGTAATAGAAGTGTAGATAGACACAATAAAAGTGTTACGAAGTAATGTTGATACAACATAACAACTTACACATTGTCATAAGCTACTCAACTATTATTAAAAAGTTTTAAGTTAACTTCATTTAGTTTAAATTTAACATTTACGTTTTGCGGTTACTGATACTTAGATTGGTTACAAAAAAAAATTATGAGGTATGTTCTCATATATACTCTCAAGTTAGTCTTATTTGCAACATTCAATACACAAACACACAGAAATAATATTACTCCATATTGAAGCTTGACAAGTCTTTAACACCCTATTATTTTCATTTTCTCTGAAAATATATGTTTCCTGTGTAGAATATAAGTTTTACTATCAATAAGGTACAGTGAGTCAGTAAATAAATAAATGATTTTTCATTTATTTTTGATAGAAGATTTTAGTTTTTTATAGGTGTAATACATGGTAGCAGCTAAATAATCAGTAATTTTGTTGGTAGTATTGTTAACTTGTTTGTTTAGCTTTTATAGGAGTTGTAAGAGGTCGGAAAAACTTATTCAATACTAACATAAAGTGTTAAAAGGGTTTTGTTATAGAAATGATCAATTAATTGAGTAATGAGATAATTTTCATGCTTAAATATTACATATATAATATTTGTGATGTTAAATACATGAAAAGCAATACTATTTGACAATATTAATTCATGCAGAGTGGATCATGTCATGAAAAATATGGAAAACCTCTTTAGAGTCTTTTATGTATTAGTTATGCTTGCTTGGTGTTGTTATAATAACAGTATGTCAAGTATAATGTAGGCAGGTCACTTTATTATATTAGTTACTGTCACTCAGTTTGATACTTACCACTATAAACACATGACTTTCATATAGTTTTAAATGAAACTAATATTTTTCGCATATACTACGCGTGCTTTATTTTTGTAATAAACTTCGTACTCCACATGTTTCGCTTACTTTCCAGCAACTGTGACCATGGCCAGACGAGATGTGAATGCCATCGTCTCATCTCAAAGTCTTAGTTAAAACTAAATAAAATGAATACTGGCAAAAGTCTTTGATCTAGATTTAAAGTTTTATTGAATACTACAGAGACCGTGTCTATTGTTACTTCCAGGCGACCCATGCAAAGAAGAGTCTGAACCACTGTCACTCAGTCATACAAGCGAAGCACGGTGGCCGTGGTATGAACAAAGATTGCACCGGAAAGACTGCATCACATCAAGTCGTTGAAGTTCCACTCGGTACTCTCATAAGAGATAACCGAGGAAGGGTTGTGGGTGATCTTCAAGAGGAAGGGGCAATGTTTGTAGCGGCTCGTGGTGGGGCGGGTGGGAGAGGCAATAAGTTCTTCCTAACATCAACGGAGCAGGCCCCGAGTGTGGCAGAATTGGGTGCAAGTGGTGAATCATTGACATACACATTGGAAGTTCGGTCGATGGCTCATCTAGGCTTGCTCGGAATGCCCAATGCTGGGAAGAGTACTTTACTCCGAGCTGTGACAAGAGCCAGACCAATGGTTGCACCGTATCCATTCACAACTCTCCGACCACATATAGGTAATTCAATGACATTTTTTTTATACATAGGTATAAGGGCCAATGTAGCAATTTAGACATTACTTTTTTGCTTTAAACACTTCATAAGCAATACATCTGTATCAACATCTGTATTCAGCAATATTCATTTTAAAAAATTGTGTATTTGTTGGTGGAAAGACTAAATTTTTATTGCAGTAAAATAGTATTAAAGTAACACACTTTTTAAAGTAATCAGGCTTATATAATGTATATTATAAAAAAATATACAGGGTGACTGGTGAATTACTATCGATATTTGAGGACGTGATATTTGACGATCATATATGACAAAATAAAAATTAATATAACATAAATATTAATAAACCTCTAAGTAAAGTTAACCAAAAGTTATGTAATTAATTACGCATCGTGTAAACACCCTACAGATTAGGTATACACACACACTCACACATACTCGTGCGGCGGCGTAGTGTTATATCAGCACGCCGCCGCACGTGTCCACACTTGGAACACTTGGAACGTGTCAACACTTTGTTTATTTATACGGAAATTTTGTCAAAAATTAAGTGCCTATTTTTTTTACATAATTCGAATGAGAATCATGTACCGAGTATTCTCCTTAAATATCGATAGTAATTCACCAGTCACCCTGTATATTTATAAAACTAGTATGCTTACAAAACAGTTTATCAAACTTAAATGTCGTACATATATGTCATAGTTGCTATACAAAGTTTCACAGCATCAGTTGTATGTACAAGATACATTGAAATCATACATAAAATGCCTCTACTGAACAATTGACATTTTCCACATTGGCCCTTATACATAAGTGCCATCTATATACCAGCTTTCAAAATGTGTATTAATACTTATGTGTATTAATAATATCTATAAGAATAGAATTGGGTTCAGGTAGAAATTATTTATATGACTGTCAGCGCATCTATATTCTGACATGAGACTACACAAAATCAAATTTTTAGGACTTTGAGGTCTAAACTCTAAGTAAATCTGTTTTCTTAACTACATCACATTAAAGTTTTATCTAATTCTGTTCAGTATATTTTATGAAAGAACAAACATTGATACATAGTATAGAAATTTAATAATTATGTTAAATGATTCAATTAATTTGAGAATATAATTTAACAAGTTATTGTATGTAATAAATTGTGAGTTTTTTTTAATATAACTATGTTTTAATAATATCTAAGATTACCAAGTATTTATTGAAATAAAACTAATATTTTCCGATTACCACGAAAATAACATCTCGTCTTAATGAACATGGTTGTAAAGTAACCGATACATCAGGAGTATGTAGTTAAAATAATAAAAGAACGAGTAGTATAGAAAATATTAGTTTTTCCTTTGTATGTAATTCATATTTTAATTTTGTTTACCAACTTATCTATTCTTTAACTTTCAGGCATGGTGCCATATGATGACTATGAACAGGTTGCTATAGCAGATCTTCCCGGTTTGATAGAAGGTTCCCATAAAAACCATGGTCTAGGTTTGTATCTGGTTGACTAAAACCATAACATATATATTATATACAGGGTGACTGGTGAATTACTATCGATATTTGAGGACGTGATATTTGACGATCATATATGACAAAATAAAAATTAATATAACATAAATATTAATACACTTCTAAGTAAAGTTAACCAAAAGTTATGTAATTAATTACGCATCGTATGAACACCCTACAGATTAGGTATACACACACACACACACACTCGCGCGCGGCGGCGTGTTGTTGTATCAGCACGCCGCCGCACGCGTCCACACTTGGAACACTTGGAACGTGTCAACACTTTATTTATTTATACGGAAATTTGGTCAAAAATTAAGTACCTATTTTTTTTACATAATTCGAATGAGAATCATGTACCGAGTATTCTCCTTAAATATTGATAGAAATTCACCAGTCACCCTGTATATTAAAATCTGGTTACCGATCTCTGCGCGGTATTTAGGAATTATTAGTACTTATTTTGCGTTTTTTTTAGTTTTGTTTAAGCATTTTTAAGTGAATACGTTAAGAAGACACAAAACAATATAAATCAACCATTAATTTTTTAGTCTAATCTCAAAACAAACTCTTTGACTTCCTGGTACTTAACAACGCCAACTGCTGTTGTGTCGTTAAAGCAATTAGTAAAAAGTAGTATTGCTATTCACCAATAGATGTCAGGAAGAGTCATATTTTAAACGACTCCTTTTTATTATTTTTTTTCATCAAATGACATTTTCTAAAAATGATTCCTAGCTAGATACTAATGTTTTCACAAAATCGTTGGAGCCGATTCCGAGATTAAAATTATAAATTTATATCTATACGAGAATTGCTCATTAAAATACATATATAAGATAAAACTACTTTCCATAAAAAATTTAATCAGATAATGCACAGATTTTTATAAGAATTCCAATAAAAAATATGTTAGCCTAAAAGTTTACTCCATTAGACATAATAAGTTAATAAAACTTGTTTTATATATAACTAGCTTCTGTCCGAAACTTTGTCTGGATAAGTTTCATAATTATAAATGTATGGTTGCCGGCGAACTCTGTTCCTTAAAGACAGTAGATAAGATTTTGTATTTTATAAACTTATTTTATTTTTCAATCATATGTAAAGTAACCTATGTCCTTTCTATGTTCTAATCTATCTCTCCACCAATCTTCATAACTGTAATTGATATATATATGTATACAGGGTGACTGGTGAATTACTATCAATATTTAAGGAGCATACTCGGTACATGATTCTCATTCGAATTATGTAAAAAAAATAGGTACTTAATTTTTGACCAAATTTCCGTATAAATAAATAAAGTGTGTACACGTTCCAAGTGTTCCTAGTGTGGACGCGTGCGGCGGCGTGCTGATACAACACTACGCCGCCGACGCGTATGTGTGAGTGTGTGTGTATACCTAATCAGTGGGGTGTTCACACGATGCGTAATTAATAACATAACTTTTGGTTAACTTTACTTAGAAGTTTATTAATATTTATGTTATATTAATTTTTATTTTGTCATATATGATCGTCAAATATCACGTCCTCAAATATCGATAGTAATTCACCAGTCACCCTGTATATATATATATATATATCAAGGACTCCTATGTTTAAGGACCAATGTGCAAAATGGATTTTTTTTAGTAGAGGTGTTTTAAGTTGAATTCAATGTATCTTTTACTAAGTCTTTCCACCAAAAAATACTCATTCTTCAAAATGGATGTTGTAGAATACAGTATAATAAAGTGTCTAAAGTAAAAAAATGTCTAAAATGCTACATTGGCCCTTATACATAGGAGCCATCAATATCTTTATACATATATATAATTCTTCTGTGAGTGTGTATGTCACTGAACTTCTCTCAAACGACGTGACTAACTGATAAAATTTTTTGTGTGTGTTCAAGGGGATCTGGGAATAGTTTAGATTCAAAATTTTGTCCGCTGGATAATGATTTTTTAATTTATTAGTAGGTGTTGATACAAACGTTTTTTTTGACATTAGATTTGACAACTAACTAATATGTCAATCATTCTATCGCACTTCATAACACGGAAGTTTATGGCTTGAATAGGTAAACTCCAAAAATATAAATAAAAAAACGTAATAGATATTTCTTGATTATAAGAGATACGAAATTCGCCGGGTCTTCTAGTACTTATATTATGTAATTCGTCATTCACAGGTATCCAGTTCTTGAAACACGCTGAGAGGTGTCGCGGGCTAATCTTTCTTCTAGATGGTTCCGATTCACCTTTAGAACAATACCAAATATTGAATCACGAGTTGACACAGTACAGCGAACATTTATCACAGAAACCGAGATGCGTTGTTATAAATAAAATAGATCTACCACAAGCGAAACAGAATTACGACGAAATAAAAGAAAGCATGCAGGTTATAGGAATATCCGCGAAGAATGGTATCAATCTGGCGGAATTATTGCGTGTATTCCGCAAAATGTATGATAGTGAAGTCGATTGAGTTATAATATTGTAAAAATAATATAAATAATTGTATATATAGAAATAAATTGTTATTTGACGACGTTTTTTATTTATTTTGTATTTCTAAGTTCTAACAATATTTGACATTTACAAATGTCATATGTCAATTCGACAGAAGTTTCATAACGTTTTAAATAAAAATATTTTATAATAAATAATACGATTTAATTAACCATTCATATATATTTAATTTAAAATATTGTTTCATTAATCTTCTTCTTCGTGACAATTTCCCAGCTTTAGCCAGGGTCTGTCTTACATGTTGTGAATAGTTTTGGCTATTTGTTTTTACGACCGGTCGCCTGCCTGACATCAACTCTCTTTGGGAATCTTCCATTAATTTATTATGGTGATCAAAAAATGATGCCGTAAATATATGGAGCTCATTATAATTTTCTAAAATGGTAGTGTTTTTAATAATTGAAAGGTAACTTCAAACGTACGTGTATACATAATTAATTTATTACCTCTTCGTTAACATTATGAGTCAGTGGTGTCCTAGTGGTTAAAAGGCCTGCCTCTCATGCACAAGGGCGCGGATTCGATCCTGGCAAGTACCAATGTGATTTTTTCGAGTCATATGTACTTTATAAGTATATTAAGACAACATGATTAATGAAGGAAAACATCTTGAGGAAACCTGGATTTATAATTTTACAATTATAACTTTGAAATCACTAACCCGTCTTGCGCAAGCGTGGTGATTAATGCTTCTCCTTCTCTATGTGAGAAGAGACCTTTGCTTAGCAGTGGGCTTTGATAGGCTGTTGACGATAACATTATTAAAGATGAATAATGATTTTGATTTTTAGAATAAAAAAATAATTTACATGTTAACATATTTATTCGTTTATATTTTATAATAGGATTTACAAAGTTAATTTAGTGATATTTATCACTGATTTTTGTATAGAAATATTTCAATAGAAAAAAATAATTTTATAATTTTGATAGTGAATCAATTTGAAACATTTCTTATATTTAATATTATGTTCAAAATTTCATTAAATATTGATTTGAAGTCAATGGTAAATTTAGCACTGAGAGGGATTTTTCATCTCCCAATAGCTTAGCTGTGATTCCAGATGTAGCGAGTGCAAGTACAACATCATTTTGAGAGAGAATCGTTGCTTAAATCAACGAAAACTAATATGTTATTCTTGTACCATCTACAGCGTCATTAAATTTCCTCCATTTCAATGATTTACGATTTTCATTATTGTTTTAAATACATACATATTTATTTTTAATGATTGTAAACCTTTAATTATTTATTATAGTAAAAAAAGACGTACAAAAAATAAATTATCACAATTGGTTGAGACACTTAAGTTATGCGGTAAGCAACATTCGGGTTTACTTATATAGATGATAGATATAGATAGATAGATAGCTAGATATAGATAGATAGATAGCTAGATATAGATAATTTAAATCAAATGAAACAATAAAACAAGTCATCGTCGATAATCATTATGATATAACTACAGCCTTGTAAGGAAAAGTTTTTAACGCAACGTTACATTCATAATTAATTGTATACAATCAATCTTATATGGAAAAGATGACCATAATTATTGTCACACATCGATATAATTATAAAGATAAGCTGATACCGCGGTTTCGTCTGCCAATTATTATTAAATTAATCTAGATAATAATTTGATTAGAAATAACATGATTCATATCTCTGCAGCTAGGCTTTATTTAGATCGAAATTTTAAGAGTTTATAATTTTTTTATTAAAGTTTCAATAACTGTGATTTAAGGATAATGTTTAAATTTACAGAATAACAATAATTTAATACGGAACGTATATCTTCATCATCCTATTAGAGCCCACTGCTGAGAATCTTCTCACATGGAGAAGGTTTGAGCATTAATAACCACGCTTGCTCAAGAGGGGTTGGCGATTTCAAACTTATAATTTTAAAATAAGTCCAGGTTTCCTCACGATGTTTCCTTCATCTGTTAGTGGTGTAAATACTCTTACAAAGTACATATGACTCGGAACAATGACATTGGTACTTGCCACTTGCCAGGCTTCGAACCCACGCCCTCATGCACGAAAGGCGTGCCTTTAACCTCTAGGCCACCACGACCTTCTGAACGTACATTTACAGCATTGTAGGGAAAATAGACAAAAATATTATAAATTGAGTAAAAATATACAAATAAGTTGCTTGAGAAATATTATTAGGTGAATTTAAGTTTTTTTGGATACTACGCCTTTCATGAAAATTTAACACACTGTCATCTTGTCTAGCTGTTATCATTGTTGTAATATATCTGAAACGTATTTATCATTTACATATGAAATTATTTCTTGGTATGAATGTATTAAAACAAAAAGTCAATTCAACTTTATATTATAAGTATAAACATATACATATCATATCATTGCAAACAAGTAAACACTTATTAATTAATGTAATACATTATATTATCATATTAAAGACACTCCACCTAAAATATATTATGATTGTATGTTGAGATTACTTTACAATATTAATTCTTCTTCTTCTACCTGGCAATTTACCAGCTTTAAGCAGGGTCTGCCTTGTGCCTGTCTGCATTACATGTTGTGAATAGTTTTGGCTATTTGTTTTTACGACCGGCCGCCTGCCTAACATCAACCCTCTTTGGGAATGCATTAATCAGTGATGTCTAAATACTCTTAGAAAGTACATATGACTCGGTAAAATCACATTGGTACTTGCCAGGATCGAACCCGCGCCCTCATGCATGAGCGGCGAGCCTTCTAATCACTAGGCCACCACTGACTCTACAGTATTAATTATAAATGTCAAAATTTAAATAATAATGCATCTGTGGCTTTTTGTAAGACAACTTTAAATAGTAATATGTGCTTAAATCAATATAAAAAGTAAAAAAGATACAATAATTTCTTATATGAAAGAAATGTTGATGGAAAATCTAGCCCTATTTATAGAACAACTAGATTAAAACTAACTACAACTAGATTGAAAACATTTAGATATACTTATTACAGCTAACTAGACGACACAAATTCTATATCTATGTATATTAACTGTAAAAACAAAATACATATTCACACAGAAGATAAGCTCTCAAATATCTTACGTATCTTTTAAGGTAAAGATGAATTTTAATACAGTAACTAAAACAAGTAAAAAAGTTTTGTTTCAGACCAATATAACTTATCAGATTAATTATTTATTTTACAACCTTGTTAGACTTGTTTCTTACATTCATTACTTATCTAAATACATAAGTATATATATAATTGAACAGACACCTTGTCATATTAAAATAAACGTTTTTCACTACATGCATATTATGTATATATTAAATTCACCAAAATATTGTTTTTAATTTTTTTTTGCCAATCCGTTTGTTTCGTATTGTCTCTGAAATAGTTGAACTAATTTTGACGAAACTTTTACTGGCTACATAGATATCTTACTTACTTTTATCCCGACCCCGAATCAGCAACCTGAAATTAAGTGTTAGTGAGTTGAGTCTTCCCTGTATATATCTCTATTACATACTAAAGTTTGGAAGACGAGACTTTCTTTACATAATTCTTTGAACTGACAAATAGCTGAAGAAAATTATGAGAAAAATATAAAAGACAAAGTGGCGAGTAACAGCTTGTCTATCAATATAAAGTAACTTGATAAGAAATGTAGTTGCCACTGACTTAAGGTCATGACATTACTATTACTTAATAATAAAATAATTATACATAACTTAAAGTACAGGTTCTCATAAATGAACTGAGAAATACTATCATACTTCATTTCATATGTTATTGATATTGTCATAAAGAAGTTATTGTAATGACGAGACACAATGAACAACAGAAGATAATGATGCAATACTTGGAGATTATACTTTAGTGATCTCTGTTGGCACCGGAGTGTACTTCAAGCCAGTATCATTGAGCAGTGTCACCACCCAGGCGTCCTTCTTCAACTTCCCAGACTGCAGCAGCTTCACTGCAGCCAGGACATTCGCTGCACTCGTGTAACCCACGAACAGACCTTCCTTTTCTCCAATCAACTTCTTGTACTCCAAAACTTCTTCGTCACTGACGCTTATGGTCTCGTCCAGATTGTCATATTTGAACAAGTTTGGAACACACCCGTAGCCCGAACCCTGGAGTAAATGTAATGGCTTTGTTATATCGCAACCTCTTATCGGTTCCGAACCTTCTGGTTCCACGACCACACATACAATGTTCGGATTCTTTTCCTTGAGGTATCTGGAGGTCCCAGTGAAGGTTCCTGCTGTGCCAACTGTGGCTACAAACGCATCGACTCTCTGGCCAGTCTGTCTCCAGATCTCTGGGCCCGTAGTGTCATAATGAGCGTCAGAGTTCATCTCGTTGTTGAACTGGTTGACGTAGTACGCTCCAGTCTCTTCTACCATTTTTAAGCCTTTTTCCTCAGCTGCCTTGACATCAGCTAATGTCACATTACCATAAGTGCCTTCTACCTGTGGAACTCTCACACACTTGGCTCCAAGAGCCTCCATGTGTATCGCTCTCTGCACGCTGTTCCCTGCAGACATAGTCAAGGTCAAAGGATGTCCCAGCACCGCGCACACCACCGCCAGACCACACCCCTGGTTCCCGGAGGTGATCTCCAGGACCGGTTCCCCCGGCTTCAAAGCTCCGGACTCCAACGCCTTAGTGATCATGTGAAGCGAGGACCGGCATTTGATGGACGCTCCGGGATTCATGAACTCACATTTGGCCAGGATCCTTCCAGGGCCAGGCCAGAGCCTGTCCAGCGCCACGAGTGGAGTGTTGCCGATCAGCTCCAAGGCCGATGCTTTGATGTCCGTGCTCCCGCTCGTGTGAGCCATTGTAACGTCGAGTGTCTTGTGTGAAGCCGCGAGTCCTACTGAATCAATTGACCGCGCGGACGACTCTTTAACACTTATCTGTGACGAGGCGAGCTTCTCGGTTAGTCATAGTCACCTCGCTCAGCCGATGTTAATCTGTCCTACTGATATTATATATATTAAAGTTTGGACGGATGTACGGGTGTTTGTCACACTTCAACACGAAAACTGCTGAGCGGATTTTAATGAATATTTAAAATAATGTTGCTTGGACATTACTATAACAGAAACTGCAAAGAGTCCACAAATTAGACGACCATTTAGTTAGCATTTCTATTTCTCAGCCTAATTTTCTTTGCCAACCTACGTCCTATTTCAATTTTGTATCCAAACAAAGTCACGGGCTAAGGCTTATGTTATATAATATCAATATAATGACTTGTGTACATAAAAATAATATATACTAAACATAACTGAGATGCTAATTGATCTTCACTTCAAGATATAAGTTAAAACAATATTTTATTTACTTATTTCCAAGTATTATTGTATATACAGACTCATTACCATTTATTAAATGATGATTTCAACAAAATATTGTTCATTTAAATGAAACTAATATTTTTCTTATATACTAAGCGGTTTTATTTTTGTAAAAAACAACATACTAACGACTTTTCGGCTACTTTCCACTTTACCACGGTTGCTGAATAAAAATGAAAGGAAAAATATTAGTTTCATTTAAATGAATAACTTGCGAAAATCTTAGATCTCATTTAAGTATTATTCTAGTAATCATTTGAAATTAAGTTTTTATTTGATTTCAATCACTCATAAATAAAAATAATATTGGTGAACACGATATTATTTATTCTGGACACCAAGACCAAGAAGCAAATATTGGTTATGTAGCTAGTATATAATACATATAAGGACCTAAGATGAACACAATAGAGGCTTGTGCATAACAAAAGAGTAGCTATTGATATAATTCCCAACCTTGACACCGTATATGAACATTCCTTAACTAGTACTGCTCCGCGGCTTGTCTTGGGTTTTGGGAAGACTTTGTTTACTTAAACAAAATTAACTAAATTTCCTTTAGACTCTCCAACCATCGATTACTCTGTACACTAAATAATATTTGCGATAATCTTCCTAAATTTGATGAAATAGCTTATTCGTTAAATTTTTATACATATTAGTTTTTGCCCGCGACTTTGTCTGCGGTAGTTCATAATTAGTAATGTATAGACCGGGCGAACTCTGTTCCTCCTTAAAGACAGTAGATAAAAAGATTTCGTATTTGATCAACTTATTTTATTTTTCAATCGCATGTAAAGTAGCCCATGTCCTTTCTATGTTCTAATCTATCTCTCCACCAATCTTCATCCAAACCCGTACAGTCGTTAGAGTTATGAATAGTGTAACTAACACGACTTTCTTTTATATATATATACACTATATAATTCTATATTAGTGAGTTATCTAGTACAAATTGAATAATTAAACTTATAAGGACTTTTTCTTTGACACTTAGTCCTTATCTTAAAAAATTCGATAACCACGTTTAATCTTAAGTTAATACAATGAACTACGTTGTGCATATTTTCTCTACACACGATAACTATGTGAGTGAGAGAGACGGTTGCTCTTTCTCTTTCCCACCCTTTCCTCTCCCTCCCACAATCAAGGTTGGCAACGCATCCACAACATCCTTTACGTTACAGATGTCCATGGAAGACAGTATCTACCTTCATCAGGTAGGAAGCTTCCTCGTTTACCCCTTTAACATAAAAAAACTTTTGTAAATAATAAAGAAATCTTAGAAGATTTTAAATCAATATAAAACAAATAACTAAATATATTTATTGTAGTATATTAATATAAATTATATTTGAATATCTTATACTCAGTGACAAGCACCTTAAATATTGCGTGGGTGTTCATTAATGTAACTTCATTATAATACTTGTATTTAATATAATTATTATTTATTAAATATAAACATATTTATTAACATATAAAGTATTCAATACTAGTAGATTATTAATGTACTAATTCTAAAGGTGTCACTTCACTTGGCGTTGCGTATTCGCCGCATTTGTCCAAATATTTGTACGTAGTCCAAATAGCGCAAACACGACATCCACACTTGGCATCACAATACATGTTTTCGCGTTTCAGCTTAGCTGTGTATGTGTGTTATTTTTGCAAATATGTTAAATGAAGACGAATAAATCCTCCACATATGGTCTTATTTACAGGTCTTATTTACATATTTCTAATCGTTTTAAATCTAGTTGTATCTAGTTGTAGTCTAGTTATTCTATAATTAGGACTAAGATTTCCATCAAGAAATCGTTCATATAAAAACCTATTTTTTCACTTTTTATTTTGAATCTAAGAACAGATAATTATTTAAAATTTCTTAACTTAATACTTACGTTAATAACGCCACTGAATATAGTTTTTAAATATAAATTCTTTCAAAACGTAAACTAAATAGAATTATGGACACTCAACTATTTCAAGAAGAGAGAACTATAACTTGTAATATGTTCTCGAGGAAGTACATCAATGTAACTTTTGAAAACCTATTTAGTTAAGAGACGATTTAACTCCTGGGAACGGAAAAAATATTGCGTGGAGACCTTCCGCGGGGAAAAGGAACTTCGTAATATTGGAATGAAAACAGGAGGAAAGCGTGGAAATTGATTTTTAAGGAATTTTTTGTGTTTCTTTAAGACAAACTTTATTAACATTATTTACAAGTCACTATTGATTGCATGCGTTCGAGCGACACGCATTACCTCTCGCTCTGTCTCTTTTATCCCCTCCCCATGCGTTAAACGTTTATCGCAACCTTGTTAGAAGTTGCGTTAGAAGTTTCACTTCAAAAAAATAGATAATAAATCGATGCTTGATAAGAAGAAGATCAACAGATCTATAGATTAATCAAACATATATTCTACTTCCCATTATATTAGATAAGATATTCCCAATATATAGATAACAATACTATCAGTGTTATCTTGAAATAAATATAATAAGAAATATCTTGTTACGTACGCGCTACATATGAAAAAATAAATGAACATCGCCGGAGCGACATAGTTGTATGTATAAAATATATAACGAGTGAGGCCGCTGACTCCGCGGAACGAACACCAAGCCGTGTGAACCAGAAGATTCCTGATACCACACAAGCTATGGAATGGTATTGCTATCATAACAACAATTAATAACAACAATTGCATTCGTTCAGTGGGTCGTGTTGACTTTAATTTCTTTAAGGCAAATAAAATCTTATAACTGGCACAATAAATTTTAAAATATTACAAACGTGGATGATATGTTGACGATTTTTTACAAAATATTAAATAATGTGAAACATGTACCAGAAAGAAAATACAAAAAATCATTAATCCCAACTTGGTTCAGCATATCACTTATTAAGTTGTTTTACGAAAAGGATAAATTAAGAATGCACTACCGCAAATAAAAAAATCCGTGAGACTTAATAGAATACTAAGAGGACGTTGTGATAGCCTATTTAACATAAATTATTGTCATTACTGTACTAACGTTGAGTCAAACATAATAAAAAATTCAAAACACTTTTCTCGGTTTATGAAAGATAAAAGAAAGGGACAATCTGTTATTCCTCACTCAGTATATCTTAATGGAAATAGTGCCCATTCTGGTGTAGATATAGTCAATACATTCGCTCAACATTTTTCTTCGGTTCAATTCCCTCTGACAGGCCTCTTCAATTGGGTAGTGGAAAAAATATATCACAAATAAGTTTTTCTGAATATGAAATTTTGAAAAAAAAAAATAAATCTTATACAGGGTGACTGGTGAATTACATACTATCGATACTTGAGGACGTGATATTTGACGATTATATATGACAAAATAAAAATTAATATAACATAAATATTAATAAACTTTTAAGTAAAGTTGACCAAAAGTTATGTATTTAATTACGCATCATGTGAACACCCTACAGATTAGGTATACACTCACACACACATACGCGTGCGGCGGCGTAGTGTTGTATCAGTACGCCGCCGCACGCGTCCACACTTGGAACACTTGGAACGTGTCAACACTTTATTTATTTATGCGGAAATTTTGTCAAAAATTAAGTACCTATTTTTTTACATGATTCGGATGAGAATCATGCACCGAGTATTCTCCTTAAATATTGATAGTAATTCACCAGTCACCCTGTATATATAAAAATGAATTGCTGTTCCTTAGTCTCACTAAAACGGATTTTTTCATATAAAGTTTAACGAAATTCGGGATTTAGGTGTTACAATTGATAAAAAACTGACATTTGTGCCCCATGTAGATTGCATAACTAAAAAATCTATGCAAATAAAAAGAAATATAAATTTATTTTAAACCAGTTTTTTTTATTATTATTATTATTTCTCTGTGTGTGGAATTCCTAAAACGACAGCATATGCTGAGTGATTCTCCTTTTTGTGCTATCATACTGCTGTGTAGGCAGCATTATGTTTAGATTTATTTATACCTTCTGTTCTTTAATCTTCATTAGATATTATTTAATTGTATTGTTATTTTATGGTTTTGTTTTTATTTCTGTTTATGTTAGTGCTGTCTCGCAAAGATGTTCACAAATAAAACATTTTCTTTCTTTCTTTCTTCTTCTTTCTTTCAAATGCTAGGGTATTTTAAAACGCAATACAAAGATATTTAAAAATCTCCACACCAAAATTATACTGTTTAACGTATTAGTCCGTAGTCAGAGTATGCTTCATCGATTTGGAATCCAACTTATAGTATACACAGTCAGCGCATTGAACGAGTCCAGCGAGCGTTTACTCGTTACTCAAGCATTTTATTCTCATGAAATATTCAGATGCCCGTATGAACAACGTTTAATTCATTTTGGCATGAAGAACTTGCATGCTCGACGATCAATTCATGATTTGATGATTTTTACTCACTGTGATAATTAACGTAAATATTTGAGACGAATTATA